AGTGAGTAAGTCGCCTTGTTGCCGCGCTTTACATGCCTCCTTTCAACGCCGCACTTACAGCTGGATTTGCTTCAACCGTCTTCCTGGTAAGTCAAAATATGCCCTCCCCAAAATCACCTTCCTTTATCCCTGTTCCCCGTTCCGTCCCATCTTCCCCCGTTTTCCCCCATGCCCCCTTCCCCTATCCACACGAGTCTCCGCCCCAGCACTTCCACTATCCAAACGGCCTGCACGACTTTCTTGACTCCCCTCCCCTCCATCCCTCCCCTTCTCACCCATTCCCCCCCTCTCTCCCCCCACCCACACCAGCTTCGATGCCACCACCACAACCATCCAAGGGGCCTACGAGATCTTCGCAGTTCTCCCCTTTATTTACCCCCGTTCCCCCTCTACTTACCCCCCTCTCCCCTCATCTTCCCCCATTTTATCCCCCACCCCGTTCCCCCCCCTGCTCCCCACCCACATCCAGCTTCGATTCCGCCACCGCCACCATCCAAGCGACCTACAAGATCTTCGCAGCTCTCCCCGTCGCCCCGCCCGTCTACATCACGCTGGCAGGCACAACCGTCCCCGGATGCGACCCGCTCAGGTGCAGCCTGCCCCCGGGCAACCCCACGTGGGTGCAGCCCGTGCCGTCCGTGTGGCAGGCCATCGGCACGTTCACCAGCAGCCCTGCCACGGACCCCGAGCGCTACGGCGCGCTGCTGCAGCTGATTGATAACTCGCTGGTGTTCCCCGGGGTGGTCATGGCGTATAAGGACGCGCAGGGAGCCATGCGCCCCGTCATGGCGCAGCTCCGCGCGGACGCCATGCGGAAGTCTCGTAAGTTGGAGAGCGGGTAGTGTGTAGAGAGGAAAGGGGAAGAAGGGAGGGTGGGGGGAGGGAAGGTCGAGCTTGCAAGCAGGATGTTCCGACCTGCTTGCAAGAAACATCCTGCTTGCAGCACACGACTGCAAGCAGGAACTTTTTTTTGTTTGGGCTCTTTCTTGTAGTCGTGTTGTGGTAGCCAGCTTTCCCTTTCACCCTTGTATCTCAAGCTTCCTTCCTGCACACCCTTATCATTCAGTAAAACGCTCTCCTCGCGTTCCAACCCCACCATGCATGATTCTTTCCTTGCTGGCCTCCGCTTCTGCATGCAGTGACAGTCGAACCCGTCCCAGCATTGAGTTGAATTTTGAGGCGCCTCAAAATTCAACTCGTGCAGTGACAGTCGAACCCGTCCCAGCATACATGCCGAGCCTCTTATTTTAGGCACCTCAAGAGTCGTTCCTCACTCCCCCTCCTCCCCTCTGCTTCTGTCCGCAGTGGAAGTGGGTCCCATCCCAGCGTACGTGCCAAGCCCCCAATACGTGGTTCGCTTCCTCTCCTACATGCCAGGCGGTGCCAACATCTCCCTCTCGCACTCGTGAGTCACCCTCTTCCACTCGTGAGTCACCCTCTTCCAGTCGTGTGTCACCCTCTTCCAGTCGTGAGTCACCCTCTTCCAGTCGTGAGTCACCCTCTTCCAGTCGTGAGTCACCCTCTCGTGGTCACTCCCTCGCTCGTGAGCGTAGACAACACCGCACCGCACCTTGCACAGCACCCACCACAATCTACATGCCAGGCGGGGCCAGCATCTCCCTCCCCCAGTCATGACTACCTCCCATCGCCCAATCTCACGTTTGTACATGTTGCATGAGCCACGGCTTTGGCCCCATTCCCACCTGCCTCACTGTTTACTTCTGTCGTAACAACTCACCGTGACTTCTCGCGTTCCTCTCTCCTTCCTCCTTCCCATTCTGTGTCCATTCCATTCCATGCCTCCACACCACAGCCCATCACGGCCACCTCACTGTCTTCTTCTCTGCACCTGTTCCGTGTCTCCCCCACTACAGAGCCGACGGGCTGTCCTTCCAGGCGAGATTCGTGGCTGTCGTGGAGTGGTGGTGCCCTGCCCACCCAGGAACCCATCACGACCATCTCACTCTCTTCCTCCCTGCGCTCCTTCCGTGTCTCCCCCACTACAGAGCCGATGGCCTGTCCTTCAAGGCGAGCTTTGTTGTTGCCGTGGGGCGGTGGTGCCCACAGATAAACCCGCAGATAAACCCTGGTCATCACCGTCTCCCTCTCTGTCAACTTGCTTGATGCCCTGCCACCCTCCACCACCCCCCTCAATGTCTACTTCTGACTTCTGTGTTTGCTCCACTCCTTTCCTCTTCGCTACAGTGCCGACGGGCTGTCCTTCCAGGCGAGCTTCGCTCTTGCTGTGATCGTACCCACTGAAGAGCCCATCACCGTCTTCCTCTCCGTCAACTTCCTCGATGCCCTGCCACCAACCCTCCACCACCACCACCACCTCCTCATTGCCACTTCTGGCTTCTGTCTTCCTTCCGTTCCGTGTCTCCCCCACTACAGTGCCGATGGGCTGTCCTTCCAGGCGAGCTTCGCTCTTGCCGTGGTCGTGCCCTCAGAGGAGCCCATCACCGTCTTCCTCAACGTCAACTTCCTCGATGCCCTTGCTCCCCTCACTGGCACCCTCCTCATTGCCCGCTTCTCACTCGACCACTCCCAGTGACTCCTCATATTCTCACCGTATTCCTCTCTTTGCCCATCCCATACCCCCCCATCACAGCGCTGACGGGCTGTCCTTCCAGGCGAGCTTCGCTCTTGCCGTGGTCGTGCCCTCAGAGGAGCCCATCACCGTCTTCCTCAACGTCAACCTGCTTGATGCCCTGCCACCCCCCCCCTTGCCCCCTGCCGGGGGGTGCGCGGCTAAGAAGGAGAAAGGGAACAACAAAGACAAGAGCAAGGACAAGCCAAAGTGTAACAAGGGGAAGGGGAAGAAGGGTGGAGATGATGATGAGTGCTGCGACGACGATGGCGACACGCTTCCTCCCCCGCCGCCGACGACGCCCAATGTCACTTCCACACGTGCGGTTCTTTACAGCAACAACAGCCCGTGTGATCTCAACTGCACGTCTGTTATTGTGCTCCACGGCACGCAAAGCTGGAGCTTTGCGGGTTTGACCCCGGATGCCCTTGCGGCGAGTGATGGGTACAATGCGTTGGTGGCGCTTATGCAGTATGCGGCGACCGGTGTGAAGGGACGGCTGGTGAATGCGACGATGAAGCTCGCGGCGATTGACCAGCCCAATGGCCCCAACGACCTCCTGCAACGTGTATAGTGGGTTACAAGATTTTGCGGCCCTTGCGGCGAGTGATGGATACAATGCGTTGGTGGCGCTCATGCAGTATGCGGTCTCGGGAGTGAAAGGAAGGCTGGTGAATGCGACCATGAGAATAGTATCCATGACATGCCTAATGGGCCTATTGACCGGGTTTGACCGATATTGTATGGAGTAGTGAAGTATCCAGTTTTGAGGAGAATCAGGATGCAGGGTGCGTTAAAAATATCAGCCTGTATGCATCGTGATGTGTTATAAATATTATATAAACTGTTGCATCAGTTCATTGTGTAGTACGTGCGAATATAGCACTGGCATGTCCTTTACAGGTTATAGACGATATAAAATAGCACTGCTGCCAAACTGGTTGTACTATTGGGAAAACAACTTGCTTCTTTTGTAGAGGATAAATTTCCTCCCTATCAAACATGCTGTCCGCTTTTGCACGCCGAACGAACGACTTGCAGCTCCGTGAACGCTCCCAGTTTCACTTGAGTTGCGAAGGGTAGTTACCCATTGTTTTCCTGCTGAATAATATGCCGACATGAGCTTCCGCTGACTGGCTCAGCTCACCTGACGGTTATCATACGTTACTGCAACCGGTTAGAACGGAAGCAATATTTTTGGTCGACAAGTCCGTTACACGTTCGACATTGGCTTGACAGAATGGATTCGACTATTTTGAGATTCGGCTGTGGTCAGATTTGTCACGTGATGAATCCTCGATGATGTCAAGTTGTGGCTTCTAGTGCACTGTTACTCATCACCCCCCCTCGAGGCTCACGTGACGCTAACGACAGTGCGGGACGCGGCTTTTTTTTTGAATTGTTGTATTTTCGGCTGAGCAAAATTCCACTCTACACGCAAGCTTATATTTGTGTATGTACGTTCAGTGCTAGCTCTTATGAGGCTTGTGAACTGGTGCTTCTGAACTGGTGCTTTTCTGGTTTGGGTTACGGACCATCACTAAAACTGGAGTTGGGACTCGGGCCTCATCCTTGATGCTGCTGGACCAAATATTTGAGAGTAGTTTGTTATGTTGAAAAAATCATGAGATATCTGTCCGGAGCAACATCGTGAAAGGACATCCTCACATCTGCACAGTGAATCAGTCGCTAGCGACAGCTCGTGCCGTACCATGTGGCGGGCGTGGATGTCCACGCCAGAGCAAGACTCGTGTCCCGTACAATTTCAGTGTCGAAAAACTCGACATTCATGCCCGTCCGATAAATCCCAAACAGCCTAGCTGCTCCATCGCAACCGTCGATACCACCACCGCCCATTTCTTGCGTTGGTGTTTCCCACCAATCCATCCGCCCAGTGGCTCCATGGCATCTCCGCCTGTTCCCGTTTCTGCTGGGTCCTCTTCTCACAGGCACGCGTTTCTGTGGTTGTGGTGCAGCCGTAGGAAGGTGAGGGGCGAGCGGCGCATCACCGCGTGATTCCTTCCCTTCCCAGGTTTTGGCTCTGGTGCTTCTGTGGTCTCCGCTGTGTCGGTTGGTGGCGGAAAAGGAGGCAAAAAAGCTGGTGGAGTTCGTTGAAAGCTGGCGGTTTTCACTGTCTCCAGTGTTACTTGAAGCTCACAAGCGATCATGTCGTTAGGTGTGCTCTGCTTTCTGTAATGCATTGACCTCACTTGGACAAATGACGGTTCGGCTTTCCGACTTCGGTCTCGATCTTCTCGAGCATTAGTAGTCAACCAGGCGTAACTAGCACGCTATTACGCTTTGTTGGTTAGTTCCTGCCAGAAGCCATTTCCTGAATTTCCGGGCGTACATCTGTCCTCGTATTCATTTACCTCACCACCCGTGCACTAGCGAACTTAGCGAGCCGCGAATGGCGGAGATGGATCCGGAAGTGGTGAAGGGGCCCTGGAGTCCAGAAGAAGACGACAAGCTTAGAGAGTTAATCTCCAAGTACGGACCGCGTAATTGGTCACTGATAGCCCAAGGACTTAAGGGGCGGTCCGGCAAGAGCTGCCGCTTGCGATGGTGCAACCAACTGAATCCCGATGTAAGTTCGATGAGAGTCCCACTAAAAGATGCCGGACGGTAATCCGTCTGAACTCCAAGAATGATACCCACATCGAATGTGTATCGCGGATACCTTAGCGAGTACACGTACTGAATTCCCTCAGGATCTCGGAGGTCATGCGTGCTTCTAGGGTTGCCGTCTGTTCTCGCCAGTCGTCGCTATTCCTCCAGCTAGATCCTACGTTTGGCAAGCCAATGTTTGTCCACAGAATTACGAAGAAGTATGAGAAAAGAGGTTCGAAGGGTACGGGGGTAGACGAGAATGAGGTCGGGACGGTGTCATGTCGGCGCGAAAAGGATGGCCGAGACGGAGAGACAGGCTGGGTGGACCGCTGTGCAAATCCACACCTCATTCTGTTTGCATTTTCGTTTCAAGCGCTAGTTCACTAGCGCCGTCCCTTCAAATTCGTCAACGCTCTTCTGTTCACCAACCGCTGTCGTGGATGTGGTAGCAAGCAATACACTAGCTAACTGTTGAGAATTGTCGAAAATAAACGCGAGCGATAGATAGAGCTGGGTGGGTGTTGATTCTCCCTTCCTCATCGCGCTTCGTCGCTCTTGTGCCGGCTGTCGGATGCTTGACACGTGGCAGGTGAACAAGGATCCGTTCACGGACGAGGAGGATCGCATCATCGTGATGGGGCACGCGGAGCACGGCAGCAAGTGGTCCATCATCGCTAAGAGCCTCCCCGGTCGCACGGATAATGCTATCAAGGTACAGCTGTAGTGGTGGGTTGAAGTCAGCATCACAGCGTGTAGTGTTGAGTCGACTCGGCACGCGGAGCACGGCAGCAAGTGGTCCATCATCGCTAAGAGCCTCCCCGGCCGCACCGACAACGCCATCAAGGTACGCCTATTGTCGGCACCACAGCGGCTAGTCGGCTCCTACGTACCACGCAAGCATTTTTTTTTCTTCCTTCTCTGTTTTTCTTCTCTTTTCCTTTTCCGGGCTGTTGCGTGAATGGGAAAACTGATGTGTGTTTTTCTTCCCGCTTTCTCGTCGCGGTGAATGGCAGAACCACTGGAACTCCACGCTGAAGCGCAAGTACCCCGCCATTCTCGCCGACATTATCAGCCGTCGCGTGAGTATTACTCCATTTCTCCTCCCCTGTAGACCGCACTCGGTCGACTAATTAAAACCATGCGCTGTTCCGACATCATCAGCCGACGCGTGAGTTTTACTCCATTCTCGCTCCCCCCTTCCCACTCCTCTTCGCCCCCTTTCTCCTCCTCCCCCCTCTCCTTCCCACGCGCTCTCCGTCCCTCCCACTCCGTCTTCCTCCTCCTGCCGCCTGTTAACCCCCCGTTTTCCCTCTTCCCCTTCCCCGTTCCCTCTCCCCACCCTTCCGTGCGCAGACCTCCCGCCTGCTGGACTCTCCGCGCGACAGTATCAGCGGAAACAGCAGCGCGGGCCCCGCGTCCCCCGCATACGCCGCCATGTACCGCTCCGCGTTCCCCGACAGCCCTACATTTTCCCCCGGTAGCGGCGCCGGCACACCTGGGAGCGGCCGATACGACTCTAGCCGAGTAGAACACGTGAGTAACCCGCCGCATTTCGCACGACCTTGTCGCAGCTATCGCAATCGTCGCAAGTGTCGCAAGTGACGCTTCTTCTTCGCCTGGGCTCGTTTCCTTCGAAAGCTTTTCTTAAAATGTCTCCCCCCCGAACTTGCACTGCTGGGCTCGCTTTTCTCATTCCCCCTCTTCCTCTTCCCTTCTCTCTCCCCCTCACCCTCCCGCCGCGCCTCCCCCGCTCCGCCCGTTGCGCAGATCCGCGCGCTCACCGATGTGCTCCGCCGCCTCGCCACCACCTCCGCCGCCGCGTCCACCTGCTCTTCCCCCAGCGGAATGCACTCCGGCGTCCCCTCCCCCCATCCGCTCTCGCAGCCCTTCTCCCCCCACGGCCTCTCCTCCAGCAGCGGAGCGCCTTCCCCCGGCTCCGCGCAGCCGTTCCCCTTTTCCATGGGCGCTGGCGCAGGCGCAGGCGGTTTCGGTTCCGCCATGACGGGTATCTCCGGAAGCGGAAGCGGAGGGGATGACCTGCTCGACTTGCGCCAGCAGACCGCGAAGCGCCTCCGCCTGGCCGCCGCGTATTCCGGGATTCCGTTCTCCGAACTCCCCTCCCCGCAAGAGGTTCTCGCATTCCCCAAAAGCGCGAGCCTGGGGGAGCCCTCCGCGCCCACTCCGCCCATAGTTTCCCCCCTCTTCCCGCGCTTCCTCTCCTCCGCCGGCGCTGCCGGCGCAGGGGGGAGCGGCGCAGGTTTCGGCGGAGATAACGCGCTGGCGGCGCTTGCAGCTGGGGGATCGGCTGGGGGAATGGGCATGGGTGGTGGCGCAGGCGTGGGCGGGTTTGGGGGAATGGGCGCGGGGGTGGGGTCTTCCCCCCTCGGCTCCCCTAACACCATGTTCCGCGCAGGTCTAGGTGGCGGAATGGGCGGAGGGCTGGGGGGAAGCGGAGCAACTGCGAAAACGCCACCGTTCTCCGCCTTTCACCACCGCTCTCTCCTCCGCTCCTCGTCCTCCCCCGTAGAGCGCGCCCCCCTCACCGGCCTCTTCCCCTCCGGCCTGGGAACGCCGAGCCTAGGGGGCTCCACCTTGGGATTATCGGTCTTGGGGGGAGGGGGCGGGACAGGGGGAGGCATGGATGGTGGTGGTGGTGTTGGCAGCAGCAGGTCGAAAGGGCCGTCGATTCTGGGTCGGCGAAATCTGACCATTGATTTGTCGGTGTTGGAGCAGCAGCAGCCGTCGTCGGCGAACGCCACACCTCAAGGCTCGCGCGGCTTGCCTGGCGCTGCTGCCACCGCCGCCGCCGCCGCCGCTGGGGCTGCTGGTGCTGTTGCTCCCGGTTCTGCTGCCGCTGGTGACGTCTCCGCGGGTTCGTCTGGCGGCAGTGGCGCTGTTGCTGCGGGTGGCGGGCTCGCTGGTTCCATGGGAATGGACGAAGCGGCGGCTCATCTGTCCTTGAGTCAGCAGCACCAAGCGTCGCTCTTTGATGCTGCTACCCTCCAGCAGCAGCAGCAGCAACAACAGCAGCAGGCACAGCAGCAGGCGCAGTTCGCAGGGCTGGAATCGACTCAGAAGCGGTCGAGATTCGCCATGGCAGCAGGAGCGGGAGCAGGAGCAGCGCGGGGCTTGGCGGGGGACACGGAGAGCGCGTCTATGTCCAGCGGCGGTTTCGCGGAGAGACCAGGATCTCGCATGGAAGAGGACAGCTCGGAGTACCAGCAGCAACAGCAGAGGCAGGACCAGCAGCAGTGGCAGCAGCGGCAGGAGCAGGCGGAGCAGCAGGAGCGGCAGGAGGAAGGAGAGGAAGAGAAGGTGGTGGGAGGGCAGGAGGCGATGCAAGGCGAGCAGGGAGAGTCGCAGGAAGGGCTGCAGGCGCTGCAGGCGCTTCTGGCCGCGCAGCAGAGCGCTGCAGGGGGGAGCCAGCTGCATGCTCTGCGGCAGCTGCTCCAGCAGCAGCTGCTGCAGCAGCAGGGGATGCAGATGAGACAGCAGTCGTTTCAGCAGCAGCAGCAGCAGCAGTTTCTGCAGCAGCTGCAGGAGCAGCAGTTTCAGCAGCAGCAGCAACAGGAGGTGCTGTTTCAGCAGCAGCAGAAACAGTTTCAGCAGCAGCAGCAGCAGTTGCAGTTTCAGCGGCAGCAGCAGGAGCAGGAGCAGCAGGAACATTCTGCTCCTGCTGGGGGAGGAGGAGGAGGGGGGGGAGGAGTGCAGCAGCTGAATGAGCTGATGGCAGCAGGAGGCTCATCCCTGCTTAGCTTCCTGGCCTCTGATTGGCCGCAGCTGAAGGAAGCTGTATCCACAGGGGCTCGGGCCTTCAATGTTTCAAATGTTCCGCCCACGAGCGAATGAAGTGAATGCGTGAGTTGCGCGGAGAGAGCGTGAAGCATGGAGGCATATTGGATGTCGTGTTTTTTTGCATGCTGAAAGACTTGTAATTTAGAGTACCGGTATGGCACATTTTGACGAGAGAGGGGAACTGACGATGAGGCAGTGATTGGGCTCGATGGAAATTGTCGGTTGCATGGACTGCCCTTGATCCCCAGGTTGACTATTATGATCTCTCCCCCTATCCATTACCATAGGTTAGATAACCTTCTTCCAATAGCTTATTAGTTTCTGGGATGCATTGTACATACAGATCTCTTTGGCTCCCCCATGAGGTTGACCCTGGGTGGGCCCTTGTAAAATACATTTTGATGTCTTGTTTTAGATTTTATTAGGATGTGGGTCATTGCAGCTTTGTTGGTTTTGAAGTTGGAAACTAGCAAAACTTCTAACGTATAGACTCTACAGATGTACCACAAGAAGCGGTTCTCGTACTGTTGCGAGGATACCACGCCAACATCGTCATCGTGAATTCTCGTCTGCTGCCACATGGCAACCAGTCCATACTTTACAATCCCATGCCTCATCCCGCCGAGGAACATCCATCCGTCCATTTCCTCCTTTTCGGGTCATCTTACAGGATCGCATCCGCTCGCCAGCGCGGCCGAAACCTTCAGGCCAAGCACCTTGCGTGTCCTTTCAGGCCGAAGCAGGATCATGTGGCAGCAACGGAGAAGTCACCACCATCATGACTCGTTTCTTTTCACCAGTTGCCCGAAACTTGCGTCCTGCTGATTTGTTTTCTCGATGCTGCTCTTGTATGGCTCTCGACCAATAGAAGAAGTTGAAATTAGGGTTACCCTAATTCTGCTTCTGAGGTTTTTCCTTTTCGTTGCTTGTATCACCCATGACAGCCATGGCATGACTTGGCTCAGCTCTTCCATTCTCCCTCTCTCCTGCTTTTTCCCTTTCAGCAAGTGCTTTCCGCCATGGTTCTTTCGTTCCAATAGGCATCCATATGTTCTCCTGCCAGTTCATTTGTTCCAACTTTCTAAGCTCGTCTCGATTTTCCAATTTGTCGATCTAATATGCGTTTGACCCTGCGTCCATCACAGTTAGCTGAAACTTGAACCGTAGTCCGCATTTGCCTTCGCTGGACCCCTCACGAGCAGATTTTACGGAAATGCGCTCGTGGTAGCTTATTCTCTTGCCTGGTCTCGGCAGTAACATTTCCATGGCTCCGCGAAAAGGCAAGAAGGGGCGATCCAGCAAGGCTTACAACAACCACGGCAACTCTAGCAGCAGCAACTCCAACAGCAGCAAGCAGCAAGTAAAAAGCGGGTCTAGCACGTCAGACCCGCAGTTACCCGTGGAAACGCCTCAGCTGCAAAATTTGGCCGGGGGGGAGGTCCAGGTGCAAGAAACGCCGCAGCTGTATGCTCATGGTCCATCTCTCGCGAAGGGTTCAAGTAAGAAGGCCGTTGAGGCTGTGCGATCTGGCGACAACTGCTCGTCGCACGGATCATCGCCAGGCCAGTTAAGGCCTGCAAACCAGTCAGGGCTTTCAAACCAGTCAGGGCTTTCAAACCAGTCAGGAATTTCAACGCAATCAGGGCTTTCAACGCAGTCAGGCTTTTCAAGCCAGTCAGCCTCGTTAGGCCAATCAGGTAACCAATCAGGTAACCAATCAGGGCCTTCGGGCCCTGCAGGCAATTATTCCAGTCCGTCGAAGAACCACGGCGAGAAGAAAAATCCCGTCGTTCCTGCTGTAGCACCAGCAGTAGCGGATCGCGACTCCGTTACAGGAATTGCGCATGAAGCCTCGTTAGTAGCAGCGGCCGTGGAGGATGCGGAAAGGGCCAGAGCGGAGGATGCGGAGAGAGCGAGTCATCGCAACAAGCGCAAGTTCCGCCTGGACGCGCCTTCCGCGCAGGGAAGCCCGCCGGCCGCTGCGCCGTTAGCGTGTCCGCCGGTGGCGGAGACGGACGGCGGTCATGCGCGCCAGGATGTAACGCAGCTCGGATTGCAGGCGAAATCTCAGGTTGGATCGCAGGTGGGAGCGCGAAGCGGTCAGGGGTTAGCGGGGTCGGGGGAGAGTGACTTGGGGAAGCTTCAGCAGCAGCAGCAGCTGAGGCTTGCGACGAGCACGCAGCAGCAGTCGCAGGCGCAGTCGCAGCAGAAGGCGCAGGAGCAGTCGCAGGCGCAAGGCTCGGCTGCTGCGCGCATGGCGCAGATGCAGATGACTTTCCGCGAGACCGTGGAAGCAGGGGCGTACGGTGCAGGGGGAGCGTCGGGTAACCGGGTTACCTTGCGGGGGGATGGTCTCCGCCGTTGGGGGTCGCAGGGGGAGGAAGGTCTGCGCGGATTTGAAGACGAGGGGGGTTTGGTGTCTTGTACCGAAGATGCTTGTGACGGGTCCTGCGTGGGTGGGATTATCCACGTGGAGGATGAGTATTATGACGAAGAGGGGGATTATGATGACGGTGATGACGTGGACACAGTGGATGCGCAGGAGGATTATGACGAGGACGATGACGTGGATATCGCGGATGATGACATGGAGAGCGAGTTTGATGACGCGGATGACGTGGGAGAGGAGAGCGATCTGTCGCATATTGATCCGCGTTATGAGCATCACCAGTCCCAGCAGGTGCAGCAGCAACGGGAGCATCAGCAGCAGCAGCATTATCAGCAGCAGCAACAGCAACAGCAGCAGCAGTACCACCAGCAACAGCAGTACCAGCAGCAGTATCAGCAGCAGCAGTATCAGCAGCAGCAGCAGCAGCAGCAACTGCAGCAGCAACAAAGTGTGCAGCAGCAGAGCTATTATGACTCGCAAAACGCAAATACTGTCTCTGCTGCACAGGATGCTTCTACTACTGCTGCACACGGTGCTGGTTCGGACTCCGCTGAGAATTACATTTGGGATGATGCAACCGAATTCCGCTTAGAGGAGCTTCTCTTAGAGAAGCTCGATTCGCTCCATAGCGAAGCAGTGGTCAAGGTCGCTAGCTTCGGCTACACCGAAGAAGCGGCTCGGCAGGCCGTCGACAGGTTCGGCAGCTGCTTCGGCGAAAAGGACGCCCTGACCAACATCGTCTCCAATGCCCTCCTCTTTGGCAGAGGCCCGGAAATCGCAGCCATGGCTGCAGGCAGGTCCGGGAAAGGCTCGGGGAGCAGAACCCACACCTCCACCTTCGGCACCGGCAGCAGCTTCGGAACACGCCATGCCTTGGGGTCAGGCTCGGGGCAGGGCACGGGGGGGAGTCCGAGCCTGGGGTTTTCGACTCGGAGGGAGCTGCAGCAGGACGGCGTGTCTCGGATGCTGTGCGCGCTGCAGGCTGTGTGGGGGCCGCAGATGAGCCGGGGCGACGCCATGTGGTGCCTTCTCATGAGCGATTTAGACCTTAGAAAGGCCTGCGAGTTGGATTTGCAGCCGCCCCCGCGCATGGCTTCCGCTCCGCCTGCGGCTGCTGCCGCTGCTGCTGCTCCTCCCGCTGCTGCTGCTCCTCCCGCTGCTGCTGCTCCTGCTGCCGCTGCTGCGATTGCTGCTGCTCCTGCTGCTGTCGCTCCTGCTCCTTCTGCTGCTGCTGCGGCTGCGCCTGGCAGTGCGGGCGGGGGAGGGGGCGCAGGGACAGTTAAACAAGGGGTGAGAGGAGCAAATGCAGGAGGGCGGGGAGGGGAAGATAATAGGGAAGGAGGGATTGCTGGTGGTGGTGCTGGCGGTGCTGGTGGTGGTGTAGCAGCATCAGCACCAACAGCAGCAGCAGGAGGAGGAGGTGGTGGAACAGTAGCAGCAGTGCCAGCAGGAGCAGGAGGAGGAGGACTAATGGCAGCAGCGGCAGCGGGGCCAGCGGCAGGTGCATCGGCGGGTGAAGCGGCGCACATGCCATTTGCACCGTTGAGTGGCGCACCCTCTAAGCTTGCTTCGTCCTCTCGGGGCAAGCAGCTGCTGCGTGCCTCCCTGCACTCACAACCGCCGCCTTCCAATGCTGCAGGTGGAGCAGCAGTAGCACCAGCTGCTGCAGTTCCTGCTGCCGCTCCTCCTGCTGCTGCTTCCTGTTCCTCTGCTGCCCCTGTGCACAGTGCTGCTCCAGCTCTCAGTGCTTCTGTTGCTGCTACCGCTGCTGCTACCGCTGCCTCTGCATGCACTGCTGCTGCCACTCCACCCAATGCACCTGCTGCAGCTGCAGGCAATGCTGCTGCTGGGACGGGCGCGTCTGTGTCAGGTGCGTCTGGTGCAGGTGCGTCCGGTGCAGGCGCACCTGGAACAGGTGCGTCCAGTGCAGGTACATCTACGACAACTGCTCCTGTGTCAGGAGCAGCAGTGGCAGGCGCGGATGGAGGCAAGGAGGCGGGGAAAGGAGGAGGGAAGCGGAAAGGAGCCAAGAAGAGCAAAGGGAAGGGCGGAGGGGCAGGAGCAGCAGCTGCAGGCGGAGGAGCAGGAGCAGGAGCAGGAGCAGGTGCAGGTGCAGGAGCAGGTGCAGGAGCAGGTGCAGGAGCAGGTGCAGGAGCAGGAGGAGCAGGCGGAGGAGCAGGAGCAGTAGCAGGAGGAGGAGCAGTTGGGGATGCAGGTGGCAGCAGCAGCAGCAGCAGCAGTGGCGGTGCTGCAAAGCCGTTTGACGAGGAGCACGAGCGGTGGGTGCTGCGGCAGTCAGAGGCGTTCCGGCGGCTGCACGAGCAGCAGCAGCAGTACCAGGCGACGCTGGAGCAGATGCAGCAGTACGTGCAGGGCAACCCCGAGGACCTGCAGCTGCTGCAGCAGATGAAGATGCTGCCGTCCCTGCTCGCGCAGTCGCAGCATGATACCCAGCAGCTGCTGCAGCGCCAGACCCGGCACGTGCTGGGGCAGCAGGGCGCGCAGCAGGGGGGGCAGGGGGTGCAGGTGCTGCAGGGAGTGGTGGGTATGCAGGGGCAGAGGGACAATGGGCAGAAGCAGCAGCAGCAGCAGCAGCAGCAGCAGCAGCCGTTTTGGCAGCAGCAGCCGTTGCAGCTGCCGCTACAGCAGCAGTTGCTCCAGCAGTCGCTGTCACAACAATCACAGTCGCAGCAGTCCCAGTTGCAGCAGTCCCAGCAGTCCCAGTCCCAATCGCAGGCACAGTCGCAGACACAGTCACAGCAGCAAGCGAGCACTGAGAACCCCCGGCGCATCTCAGACGAGGAGCTTCAGAAACACTTAGCCGAAATCATGCAGCAGAAGCGGGCCATGGAGCAGCACATGAACCCGCACCAGTTGCACCTGCTCGAGTCCCTCAACTCCCTCCACTCCTCCTCCACGCCCGAGCAGCAGCCGCAGCAGCAGCTGCAGCAGCGGATCGAGCAGTACCACGTGCAGCAGCAGCAGTCGCTGCAGCAGCAGCTGCTGCTACAGCAGCAGCAGCACCAGCAGCAGCAGAGCCTCGCGCACGCGTCGTCGCGGCGGCGCCGGCGGCGGCAGCAGCAGGTGCAGCAGGCGCAGCAGCAGCGGGAGCAGATGGGGAAGGAGCAGGCGGAGAAGGAGACGCAGCAGCATGTGAAGAGTCAGTTGGACCGGGCGATGGTGGTGCTGCAGCAGCAGCAGGAGCAGCTGCACTTTGTGCTCCAGCAGATGCTCATTCGCCACCAGGAGGCCGCCGCTGCCGCTGCTGCTGCTGCTGCTGCTGGTGACTCTGCTACTGCTGGTAAAGGGGATGCTGATGGCGCTGGGAGCGTGGCTGATGGGGATGCAGAAAAGGGCGGTGGTGGTGGTGGTGGTGGTGGTGGTGGTGGTGGTGGTGGTGGTGGTGGTGGTGGTGGTGGTGGTGGTGGTGGTGGTGGTGGTGGCGAAGGGGTGGGTGGTGGTAGTGGTGCTGCTGCTGCTACTGGCGGGTCACATGCTGTTGGCAGTGCAGCAGGGAACGGTGGTGCAGAGGCTGCTGCAGCAGCAGGTGAAGGAGGAGGGAAACAGGGTAGTACACAGGTAGTGGGAGCTTCAGGACCTGTGATAGGGTCTTCTGTAGCAGCGGTGGGAGCAGGAGTAGGAGCAGCAGGAGTGGGAGCAGGAGCAGGAGCAGGAGCAGGGAAGACAGGACAAGGATCAGAAGCAGCGGCATCACTGACTGCCGCAGAGGCTACAGCAGCAGGCAAGTCATCACCACCATCAGGCAAGCCACCAACAGCTGTAGCAGCAGCAGCAGGAGCAGCAGCCCCAGCAGCATGTGGCCCAGCAGCAGAGGCAGTAGCAGCGGTTCTAAAAGCAGGCATGCCCGAAGCAGCGGGTACCTCCTCTTCCTCCTCCTCCTCCTCCTCCTCCTCCTCCTCCTCCTTTACCACTACGGCTACTGCGACTGCTGCATCGCTTCCACATGCTGACTCTCCCACACAAGCGGCCCGTCATCGTCATCTCTCCACCTCCACTCCCACAGGCGATAGCGTCCCACCAGCGCCACCCACAGACCAGCACGCACCCCTCACCACACTCCAATCAGATTCAACAACCGATTCCGACACAGCAGCACCTCTGCAGTCCGCTCTGGAGGCTGCCACGTCAGCACCAGCACAGTCCGCTCTGGAGGCTGCCACGTCAGCAGCAGCAGTGCGCACTCAGGAGGGTGGCCGCTCAACCTCACGAGAGTGCGTTACTACAGAGGAGGCAGGGTCGTTGGCAGCAACAGAGGGCGCTCTGGAGAAGGCCGGCCAAGAAACAGGGGCGTTCAAAGGGTCTCTGGGCGTTCAAGAAACAGTTCCAAAAGAGTCAGTCATGGAGTTCAAAGGGGTGAAGGAGTGTTTGAAGGGGCGTTCAAAGGGGGGGTCTTCTTCCCAGGAGCCTTTCGACGAGTCTTTGAATGAGCCTTTAGCTGCTGCTGCTGCCCACCCTGAGTGTGATTCTAGAGAGGGTGATTGTGATCATGAGGGCGTGGAGGAGACTGCTGAACTGGCACCGCACAGCGATGCAGCAAGGCCCACGCCAGCAGAGGCTGAAAGTGCCACGTCAGCAGAGATGCCACCGAATGCCACGTCCGCCGAGGCACAGAGTGCCACGTCAGCGCATGCGGAGCAGAACTCGACTGCGTTCTCCATGGCGCTGCAGAACGTGTTCGCCGGGGCCATGCTCAAATCCATCGCCAACACCACCGGTAACCCACTCTCGCATTCACTCTTAATGGAGTCTAACTCACCCCCCCAACCCCCCACGCCACCCCTCCCCTTTTTGAGAACGTGTTCGCCGGGGCCATGCTCAAATCCATTGCCTCCACCACCGGTAATGAACCCTCCCCCTTTATTGGAGGGCAAATCACACCCCCTCCCCACCCCAGCACCCCCCTCCCCCTTTTGTGAACGTGTTTGCCGGTGCCATGCTCAAATCCATTGCCTCCACTACTGGTAAAGAACCCCAACCCCTAAACCCCCTCCCCACCTCTCCTTGGGGAACGTGTTTGCCGGAGCCATGCTCAAATCCATTGCCAACACCGCTGGTAAGTCGTCCTTTCCCTTCTCCAATCCCTCGCTGACCTCCTCTTTTAAATCCCTCTCTGTAGCCCTCTTCCATTCCTGTGCTGCTGTTCCGGTAGTTTCTTTGGTGGCTTTTCCCACCTCTCTCCCCCTGCTTCCCCTCCTCCCCACCTTCTCCTCCCCCCCCCCCCCGTTCACCCCACTTCCTCTTTCCACATGTGCCTTCCCTTCCCCCTCATCCTAATTTCCCCCCAAAACGCTCCTGCCCGCCCTCCAGGTCTGTTGGGAGGCATAAACCCGCTCACCCTCTCCACCGTCTCCCACCCCCCTCCTCATGTGCCTTCCCGTTTCCATCTTCCCACCCCCCTCCTCATGTGCCTTCCCGTTTCCATCTTCCCTCCCCCCTCCGCCCGTCCTCTCAGGTCTGTTCGGAGGCATCAACCCGCTCACCCTCTCCACCATCTCCCACCGTCTCCCACATTGTCGTTCTCCCCCCAAATGCGCCCGTCATCGCAGGTCTGTTCGGAGGCATCAACCCGCTCACCCTCTCCACCGTCTCGCACCTCGTGCTTCGTGACAGCAACAGCAGGCCCGGTCAACCCGGTCAATCCAGTCAACCCAGTCAACCTGGTCAACCCAGTCAACCTGGTCAACCTGGTCAACCCAGTCAACCCAGTCAACCCGGTCAACCCAGTCAACCTGGTCAACCCAGTCAACCCGGTGAGGTTAGTCCAATGACCTGGGTGGATACGTTGAAGAGAGAGCTGGAGCTGGAGAAGGAGCGGCTGAGGAGGAGTGAAGGGGAAGGGGGGAGTGGGAGAAAGGGTGGGTGTGGCAATGGGGCTGCGCTGCTGCCCGGCTTAGATGGTGATGGTGACGCTAGTGCTGATGCTGGTGATGACGATGGTGTTGACGGTGTTGGTGCTGGTGCTGACGATGGCGGTGCTGGTGCTGGTGCTGGTGATGATGATGGCGGTGGCGGTGCTGGTGCTGGTGACGGTGCTGGTGCTGGTGACGGTGCTACTGATCGTTCTGCTGCTGCGACTGCTGGTGCTGCAGGTGGGGAAGCACATGGGGAAGATAAATCACAGGTGGAGGGAGGTGAGGGAGAGAGAGTGCGTGAAGTTTCAGGAGGAGAAGAGGGGAGAAGTAGAGAGGAGAAGGCGGGATATGAGGGTCAGTCATGCCTCAGACGGGATAGCAGCACCTGCAGCAGCATGAGTAGCAGCATCAGCAACAGCAACAGCAACAGCAACAGCAACAGCAACAGCAACAGCAACAGCAACAGCAACAGCAAGACCACTAGTAGCAGCAGCAACGGCAGCAGCAGCAGCAGCAGCAGCAGCAGCAGCAATATCAGCACGAGTAGGGATGTGCTTAGGGACGAGTTTGGATGTGACTCAAACGAGGGACAAAAGCAGCAGCAGCAGCAGCAGGTGGCCACAACAATCACACCTGTCCAGTCCAACCCTCCTACCACTGCACCTTCTCCTTCTTCCTCCGCCGCTCCCGCTGCTCCTGCCTCTGCATCTCTGGCCTCCATGTTCCCCCTCTCTCTTCCTGGCTTCCTGCCCTCCCCTGCTGTCCGCCACTACTCCTCCTCCACCTCCGGCCCCACAAACATTCCTCCCACCACCAACGCCGCCACCACCACCGCCCCCACCAGCACCACTGCCACCGCCACCGCCCCCACCAGCACCACTGCCACCGCCACCGCCCCCACCACCAACAACTCCCCCAGCAAAACCTCCCCCAGCACCGCCCCCACCCCTGCTGCTGCTTCCACTGCTGCCTCTGTTGCTTCCACTGCCGCTGCTGTTGCCACCAGCGTCACTGCTAGCAGCAACACCAGCAGCACCATCAGCAGCACCACCACCAATATTACGAACAGCAGCATTGCTACCACGCCTGCTGCTCCCGTGCCTCTGGCGTCTCCCTCCCCTTCCCCTCCCGTCCCCTCACCACCACCCACCCTCAATCCCTCCGGCAAGTCAAAGCAGAAGGTGCTGGGAAGCTTCACTGCTTGCAGCAACGCCCCTCCCCCTGCTACAGCTACAGCTGCTGCTGCTGCTGCTGCTGCTGCTGCTGCTGCTGCTGCTGCTGCTGCTGCTGCCCAACAAGAAGCTGCCCCTGCCACAGCCCCCGCCGGGAATACGGGCAGGGAAGGAGTTGTTGGTCTGCCCTGTCTGCCCGTTGCAGCAGGAGCAGCGGTGGCAGCTGCAACTGCTGGAATCGCCGCTGCCTCTGCTGCTGCTGCTGCTGCTGCTGCGGATGGTGCAGGAGGAGCAAATGGTGCGAGTGGTGCGCATGGTGCAAGTGGTGCGAATGGTGTAACGGCAGGGAGCGTTACAAGCGTTACCGCAGCTCCCATGTCAGCATCCGCACCCTTCTCCTTCTCCTCCCCTGCTTACCCCCACGCCCACCCCCCACCTTACACCCACCCGCAACCTCCCCCTCCTGCCTTGGCCCAACCCTCGGTTACCTCCCAAGCCACCTGGCCAGGCTCGGGGACTTCAGCTCCACACACCGTGTTCCCGGACCTGCTTGTGCAGCCAGGTTCGGCAGGTGTGGGGGGAGGAACGGGAGGTGGAGGGGCTGGGGTAGGGGGGAGTGAGGTGGGGGGGGTGAGGGGGAGGAGAAGGCGGTTGGTGGTGGCACAGAGGAGGCGAGGGGATGCTGGTAGTGGGGAAGAGATGGGGGTGACAGGGGGCGGAGTGGGGGCAGGAGGGGCAGTGGGAATTGCGAGAGCAGGGGTGGCAGGGATGGCAGGAGGGGCGGCAGGAGGGGCGGCAGGAGGGGGAGAGGGCGAGGAGAAGCATGGTCTGGTTCACACAGGGACGGATAACGGCATGGGTTATGCTGATGGTAGTGCAGGTGGCAATGGCAGCTGTGCTTCCACTGCTGCCCTGCCCAACCGTGCTGTACCTGCCAGTAATCCACCTAACTGTACCATGCCTGGTGCTGCTGTCACATGTAGTGCGATTACTGCTGTAGCGGGTGGTGCAGGTACTGTAGGTACGGTTGTAGCCGGTTCTGCTACAGGAACAGGAAACCCTGCTTTATCAGGAGCGGCTGGCAGTGCAGTGAACCAGCGTGCTCTGTTGAATCCACCTGCTCTGTTGAATCCACCTGCTCTGTTGAATCCACCTGCTCTGTTGAATTCTCCTGGCGTGATGGTGCCGTTTGACCCGCTTCAGTCACAGCAGGGCGCGTCAGGTGGTGTGCTTGGTGGTGCACAGGCAGGCAGGGCGACAGAGAGAGTGAGTGTGTCTGGTGCGGCAGGGTCTGTTGGAGTCACCACAGGTGTGCCCGGGGTAGCCGGTGTTACCGGTGTTACCACAGGTGTGCCAAGCACTGGTGTAACAAGCAGCGGCGGCGGTGTGACGAGCAGTGGCGGTGTTACAATCACTGCTGTAACGAGTAACGCGTCAAGCGGCAAAACTACTGGTACGACCAGCGGCATAACGGCCGGGTTACCAGCAGTGACAGCGGCAACAGCAGCAGCAGCAGCAGCGGCAGTGGCAGCGGCGACAGCAGCGGTGGGGAAGGGAGCGGAGAGTGTGGAGGGGGTGATGGAGCGGCTGGAGCAGCTGCACTCCACGCATGGGGCCGTGCTGAAGCAGTGCGTGCACCTTGAGAGGCGCGTGGAGGAGCTCGAAGGACAGGTGGGTGCAGAGCGGTATGCTCAGGTACGAATGGTAAGGACGGGTAGGGCAGATGTTTACAGGAAGGAAAGGTAAGGGCAGAGGCAGTGTGGTAAGAGGGCGGGTAGGGGAGGAAAGGGTTGTAAGGTTGGGTAGGGAAGGAAGGGGTTGCGGGGGGAGCGGAGAGTGTGGAGGGGGTGATGGAGCGGCTGGAGCAGCTGCACTCCACCCATGGGGCCGTGCTGAAGCAGTGCGTGCACCTTGAGAGGCGTGTTGAGGAGCTCGAAGGACAGGTGGGTGCAGAGTGGTATGCGCAGGTTGAGAAGGAAGGAATGGGGGGACACGGTGTTGAGTTGAGGTATGCATGCCACCCATGGCGCTGTGCTGAAGCAGTGCGTGCACCTGGAACGGCGCGTGGAGGAGCTCGAAGGACAGGTGGGTGCAGAGTGGTATGCGCAGGTTGAGAAGGTAGGAATGAGGGGCGGGGTGTTGAGGTATGCGTGCTGAAGCAGTGCGTTTACCTTGAACGGCGCGTGGAGGAGCTTGAAGGACAGGTGGGTGGGGAGGAGGCACAAGGCGAGGAAGTAAGGGGGAATTTTGAGGCGCCTCAAGAGGAGGGCAGGAAGAAGGCTAGGGGGGCCTCTTGGATGTCTTTTGAGGCGCCTAAAAAAAACACTTTTGAGGCGCCTCAGAAGTTATTCCTCTCTGCCGTGTCTGCACTGTAGGGGGGGGAAGGGGGGGGGGCTCTTGGAGTTCGTTTTTTTCCCGTTAGATGAACGAGCGGCGCGAGCAGCGCACGGCATGGCTGGAGGCTCTGAGTTGATTCACAACCCACACGGCCGTCCACTCTCTTCCTTCCCCTCTCATCGCCTCCCTTCCCTCCCCTCCCCTCATCCCAGGTGGACGAGAGGCGGGAGCAGCACACGGCATGGCTGGAGGCGAGGGTGAGAGAGCTGGAGGCTCTGAGTCAACCCTCAACCCACACTACCATCCCCCCCTTCCCCTCCCCTTGCATCTGTCCGCCCATCCCCATCCCAGGTGGACGAGAGGCGCGAGCAGCACACGGCATGGCTGGAGGCGAGGGTGAGAGAGCTGGAGGCTGCAGTGGACGACAGCAAGCACTGGGCGCAGCAACGGGTGAGTGGGGGTGGGGTGGGGAAGAAGAGGAGGGGTTGTAAGAGGGTGAAAGGGTGCCAGGGTGACAGGGGGAGGCGAGGGTGAGAGAGCTGGAGGCTGCGGTGGATGACAGCAAGCACTGGGCGCAGCAACGGGTGAGTGGAGGAGTGGGGAGTGGGGGAGTAGGAGGAGGGGGAGATGGGGGATTCAGCAGCGTGCTGCTATCTATCCGTGTACTCAATTACTTCTCCCTACCCTTTCCTTCCTCCTTTTTTCCTCCGTCCTTTCCCCCCCTCCTCCCCCCTCCCTCCCCCAGGTGATGCAAGTGGCGCAGAAGCTGGTGAGGGAGAGCAAGGAGCTGCGGCAGCTGAGGGCGGAGCGCGAGGAGTGGGTGCGCAGCCGGCGCGAGCAGGACGGCAAGGAGGAGAGCTCCCTTTGCCTGTCTGCTTCCCTCCCCCTCCACCACCACCCTTTAACACCTGTTCCCTTTTTTCCCCCTCCATTCACCCGTTTTGGCTTCTGTTCCCCACTTCTCTTCCCCCCCCGTCCTCCCTCGCCCCCTCCCTCACTTCTCTCATTCCCTCCCGCAGGTGATGCAAGTGGCGCAGAAGCTGGTGAGGGAGAGCAAGGAGCTGCGGCAGCTGAGGGCGGAGAGGGAGGAGAGCGCTCTTCCCTCAACCCGTTCCCTCTCCATACCCCCTTTCCCCCCTCCCGCAGGTGATGCAAGTAGCGCAGAAGCTGGTGAGGGAGAGCAAGGAGCTGCGGCAGCTGAGGGCGGAGAGGGAGGAGTGGGTGCGCAGCCGGCGCGAGCAGGACGGCAAGGAGGAGAGCGCCGCGCGCCAGCTGGGCGAGATGGAGGCGGCTCTGAGGAAGGCGTCGGGGCAGGTGGACCGCGCTAACGCTGCCGTGTGCCGCTTGGAAGCGGAGAATGCTGAGGTGGGTCAATCTATGTTCGGGGTCTAGGGTTTCGGGTGTGTGCATAGGAGGCAGCTGGGCGAGATGGAGGCGGCCCTCAGGAAGGCGTCGGGGCAGGTCGACCGCGCCAATGCAGCTGTTTGCCGTTTGGAAGCAGAGAATGCAGAGGTGAGCGCGTGCAGGGATTTGGGTCTAGGGTCTGTATGTGTGAGGCGTGTGAAGGCAGCTGGGCGAGATGGAGGCGGCTCTGAGGAAGGCGTCGGGGCAGGTGGATCGCGCTAATGCTGCCGTGTGCCGGCTGGAAGCAGAGAATGCTGAGGTGGGTGGGTGAATTCTCATGTCCAGGGTTTCGGGTATCGCATGGCAGGCAGCTGGGCGAGATGGAGGCGGCTCTGAGGAAGGCGTCGGGACAGGTGGACCGCGCCAATGCTGCCGTGTGCCGGCTGGAGGCAGAGAAAGCTGAGGTGAGTGGAGGGTGTAGAGGTGAGTCAAGGATTGGGTGAGTGGTTGGCCAAGTTGGTCTGCTGTCATAGTTTCACCTCGCGTCACCTCACTTCACCTCTCTTCACCTCACTTCACATCTCTTCTGACCCATACCCCATTCCTGCTTCCCTTTTTTCCCGGTACTTCAGCTGCGCGCGGAGCTGCAGGCGGCGGGGCGGGGTTGAGGGTGAGCGATGCGAGTGGCAAGGTGCTGCTGTCTTAGCTACGTGGTAAAAGTAGAGTTTTGAAACGTCTCAAAACAAGGTGCTGCTGTCTGAGCTGGTCTTCTGTATGCTTACCTCTCGTCCAACCCCCCTCCCCCACGTGCCTCCCTGATGCCTTTTCCCCCTCCCACCTCAGCTGAGAGCGGAGCTGCAGGCGGCAGGGCTGAGGGTGAGCGAGGCGAGTGCGAAGCTGGCAGAGGCGGGCAAGCGGGAGGGCAAGGCGCTGAAGCGCGTGCAGGCGATCGAGCGGGTGAAGGCGAAGCTGCAGGTGGGTGCTTTGCTTTGGCCGAGTTATGTTCTGCCTTCCACGTTTGGCTGTTGCCTCCTGCGTGAGGAGAGAAGGCACCTGCTACAAGAGGCACCTGCTACAAGAGGCACCTGCTACAAGAGGCACCTGCTACAAGAGGCACCTGCTACAAGAGGCACCCACCCGCTGCACTGTTGTTCCGGTGCCGTGCCGCAGAAACTGATTCCACATGCACGTTTCACCCCCACCGGAGGAGGAGCTAGCAGACGAGAGGCGCGAGCTGGCGTCCGCTCTCTCCGATCTGGAGGCAATGCAGCGGCGGCAGCAGCAGCAGGCGGAGGAGCGGTGGCAGCAGGAGGAAAAAGCCCGCGAGGAGGCAACGGGAGGATGCACAGATTAATTTCACATGCGCTCCTTGCCCTTTCCCTTAACAGGAAGAACTAATGGAGGAAAGGCGCAAGCTGGCAACTTCCCTGTCCGACCTGGAAGCAATCCGACGGAGGCAGCAGCAGGCGGAGCAGCGGTGGCGGCAGGAGGAGAAGGCACGTGAAGAAGCAACCGCACGCGCCGACGCAGAGTGCCGCGCGCGCGAGCAGGCAGAGACAGCGTGGAAGCAGCGCGAGGAGACACTCAGAGCCAAGAGCGAGGCGGATGTGAAGAGGGTGCGCGGCGAGGTGGCAAGACTGGAGCGGGAGGTGGTGCAGCTGAGAATCATGGCCGGAGCAAGCCTGTGGGGGGGTAGTGGCGGGGGCGGAGGTGGGAGCAGGGGTGCGGGAGGGGTGGGAGTGGGTTGTGCTGGTGCCGGTGGGTCGAGGAGCGGCGGCGTGGGGTTGTTAGGGAGTGGGGTTGGTGCCGGTGGTGGTGGGGGGAGTGGGAGTGGGAGCGGAGGTGGAGGTGGGGGTAGTGGTAGTAGCAGTAGCAGTGTGGCGGCGAGTGTGGTGGCGGCAGCGAGTGCGCAGGCACTGAGAGAGGCGAATGCACGGGGTGTCCTCTTTGACCTCTCCATGGGGACTCCTGCAGGGACTTATGTGGGGACTCATGTCGGGACGCCTGCTGCTGCTCCTGCTCCTGGCGCTTCCCCCGCTGCTGCTGCTGCCAGTGCTGCTGCCGCTGCCGCTGTTGCTGGTGGGGGTGTTGGGTTGGGTGGTGGGCAGAGGGTGATGGGTCAGCTTGGGGTTGTGGCAGGAATGGGTGGGATGGCGGGAGTATCAGGAACGACAGGAGTTGCAGGAGTGGCACCGCTGAATGGGATACACTTCGGGGGAGCAGGCTTGGGAGGGGCAGGAGGGGCAGGGGTTGCAGGCAAGGGGGGGAGGCAGGGAGTGGCAGCAGGGCATGGAGGGGGGCGCAACCACGGGGTCATTGGGGGGGCACGGGGAGGGGGAGGGGGAAGCGGAGGGGGAGTCGTAGGAGGAGGGGGAGGGGGAGGCATTCTCAGTAACAGTGTTACCAGCAACCCTGCGTCTTCTACCGCTGCGGGCACCACAGCAGGCCATGGCGCACTGCTGCCCCACATTGGGCTCGGCGGGATCGTACTAGGGGGGGCAGGAGCAGGAGCAGGAGCAAGCCTGGGGGCAGGGCTGGGGATGGGTCCGGTGTTCGGAATGGCCATGGGAGGAGGAGGAGGGGGGGGAGTGAGGAGGGAGAGGGAGTGTGTGATGTGCATGAGCGAGGAGGTACAGGTGGTGTTCCTCCCGTGTGCCCATCAGATCGTGTGTCTCGCCTGCAACGATGCTCTCCTCGCCCGCCGCATGCCCGACTGCCCCACGTGCCGCTCGCCCATCTCCCAGCGCATCCGTGTGTTCGGCCCGCAGTAGGGTGAGTGGGCGAGTGAAGGAGGGAGTGAGTGAGCAAGTTCGGCTAGCGCTGGAGCCACACTGACCATGGTCGCTATGCAGTGTGGGTAGTGAGTTTTGGACTGGTCGGTTTTTTTTTGTTTCTGAGCAGCAATTGTGGCAGTTTGGCAGTGTGGGTAGTGAGTAAAGCAAGCTTTCTCCGCCAAGTTTGCGCTTGCCCCTCATCTTTTGAGAATTCTCATAAGCCCCTCAACTGTTGGCCACTGTTGTCATACCAGTCGCTCTGCCTTACATTTTGCCCTCCTTATGTCACAACCAACTGCGGCTGGTTTCCTGTTTGTGCTGTTGTGTTTCCTCGCAGGCGAAAAGTCTTCTCAGGTCTGCCTGCCTCGCCTCGCTGGCTTCTTGCAGTGCCACGTCAGCAGTGCTGCTGCTGCCTGATGCTTCCCATGAGACAAACCTGGATTATCACCTGAGCTGAGCATCTGGTTGGTTGCGCTGGTGAACGCTGGTGCAGTCGTTTCTTTGGTTGGCAATGGCATGCTCACTGCTGCCGTGGGCGGGGCTGGAAATTGAAATGCTTGACAGGAAAAGTGGCTATGATTCATCACAGTTTCCAATTTGCTATGTTAGATTGAATGGTTTTGATTTGTACCAGTAACCAATCAATGGTACTCTGAATCTCAAATCTTAACATACCGTACCGTACCTACGGTAAGATTGTGAGTACCAGTGTAAGTGACGTGACACCTTCAATCTGAAAATAGAGTTCACGTACACGGGCCGACTTCAAAACACTTCGGCAGTCACTAACGAATCACGGCCATAACCCGTCGGGGGGGGGGGCGGACGCGGTCGGGGAGTTGAAAATGGAAGAATTTTCGGCGTTTGGTGGATCGAGTGGTGGAGGGAGAGGCAGGGAAGGGACGGATGGATGGATCAACCATGGGTGGAAGCTGCCACGGATCCCCCCGATCTTCCCCGAGAAACACCTCGGTGAACGTAAGAACCCCTTCGCTGACCGACACGACGAAGTCATTTGCGAAGAGTTATAAACCTGGATTCGTTGTCGTTCGGCATGTGGCGAACGGCAAATCCCTTCGCTAAAGGTTGTTGAGAGCGGACGGTCCGCCCCGCCATCCTCGCAATAGGACAAGAGTGGCCGTCAGAAACAGCCGACAAATCTGCATCCTAGATCACTAAGTTGAATGGTCTCCTCTCCTCTCCCAGCCGCGTGATACGCCAGCTGGCTTTTGAACATTCCTGCCTCCCTTCTCTTTCCGCCGCGCATCCATCCACCCTTCAGCCACAAACCCGCGCTGCTGTGGGCTTTTGTGAAACATGATACGATATAAGATGGCTCGACGCTTGTTCCAGTACATCCACTGCACAGCAACGGAGCTTGTTTGCTCGTCTCGAATTCCATCTCCTCAGCCCGTCAATCTCTTCTTAGTGTTTGAAACCCTAGCATCGCTGTTGATCTCTGGGACAAGCCAGTTAGGAAAAAAAATGTTGAAGCATCGCAAGATTTATTAGCAGTCGCTGTCAGTTTGTATATTCCAGCGACCATGGCTGTCAAGACGACTCTTTTCGCGCTCTTCCTCCTCTCGCTCGCTCTGTCGTGTAAGTGCACTTGCACCCTGAACTTCATAAGCATCATCCCGCGAAACTCTGTAATTTTATTGTCTCGCACGCCTGTTGCTCCGCTAACCCTAATGCCACTGCCGGTAGCGACCAGCACACAGCCTGCTACCGCTGTGCAATTCTCAAAGGCAGCTCGTGCGAGCGACTTGGAGTTCCACTCGCCCTAACGTCTGGTCTTGGCTCTTTTACCTCTCTCGCTCGCTGCAGGTGCGGCCTACAGGATGACACCCGGTTACGGTCAGGGTGGCAGAGGCGGCGGAGGCTTCAGGTGGGGCCAGGGCGGTTGGGGGCAGTTCGGCGGCCACCCAGGCTCTCGCATCGGTGAGTTTCTCCTCGGCTATTGTTAGTATTTTTGCATCTCTCCCTCTCCCTCTCTCTCTCCCTTTCTCCCTCTACCCCTCTCTCTCCTTCTTTCTCCCTCACTCATCAATCAACCACACACCTGCGATCCCGTGCTACCTCTCAGGAGCACTGGCAGCGCGCATGCTGGGCAACAACGTGGCTGACGCATCAGGCACAGTCACGGGCGACGTCAACGCTACAGGCGTCGTGCTGCTCGCCGTCTACAAGTGAGACGCTCACCTCAAGCCGCCATATCTGAGTTTGTTTGTTTGTTTGTTTGTTTGATTTTCTTTCTTTCTTTCATGTCACTCTGATCATGTCTCACTGCTGTTTGTTTGTGTGTTATCCCACGGCATATCGCCGTGCTCCTGCCGTGCATCCTACTCCTGGCAGCTATTTGTTATGCCGCCTGATTCTTACACCTTGTTCTCTCTCCTTCGTTACAATCACTCGCCGTCCCTCCCGCAGTTACAGCGGCGATTACAATATTCGCTACGGTGCCGCCCTGAAGCTCACCGACGCGGGCCTGCCCACGTCCATCACCATCAACGACAACGCCACGTCAGCAGTCGTCCTGGATTTCGGCGCCAGTGCCACGTGGACCAATCTCACGTGGTCTGGAAACTGCTCTGCACTGAACGCCAATGGTACTCTGAAGCGCGGCGCTCGCCGCCAGCCACCTTTCCCGAAGTTATTCGGCTTTTTCCGCCCGCCCGTTCCCTCGGGGTTTGTTTACGGGTTTGCTGGGATGTGGTATAACGCGAGCACTATTACCACGGCGGCCGGGCCGACTTATAAGGATGTGATGGATCTGCTCTTGGCGAATCCTGCTTCTTACTATGCGGTTGCTTCCACTGATGCGTATCCCAATGGTGCGGCTCTTGGGTCGTTTGCGGCTCGTAACTGTCCTGCTGATACGTCGTACTGGAACCGTCAGTAGAGGAGAGGTGATGCAGGGAAGGGTAGGTATGGGAGGAGAATTAGAGGAAGGGTTATTTGTTGGTGTGGAGAGTGTGATTGTGAATGGGGTGGGATGGGGTGCAATAGGTGACAGAAGGGAACAGCCTTGCGTTTATATGCTACTCCGGGCTTAGAAATGCAGGGTTGTTTCTTGCTGTCCAATTCTGGAAATGTTAAGTTTTTATTATATATGGGAAATTTAATTGTGTGTACAATTGTAGACTCATCAATAGTCGAGTAGGAGCTGCAAGGACCAATACGCTGGTCTGCTAACCATGCCTACGTGGCACAGCCTGATTGCATTTCGAAACTTCCGAAGCCCCAGACAATCTCGAAATGTCCACGTGGCAGGAACCGAATTTGCTCCCATAGCCTAGATCGTAGGCTAGGCACTCCTCTTCCCTCCCCTTCCCCAATTCCCTTCCCTTGCCTGTCTTGGCACAGCCATGCCTGCTGCAGGTAGTGAACATAGGTGTCAGACAGGTGTAAGAGATTTCACGTGTCGTACCCCTTTCACTTGAAAGGTCAGCGCGTCGGCTCCTCGTACCCCTTGCTTCGCCAGTCCGCGTCGTGCGGCGTTCCGTTGTCGCCATGCTGGGTGTTCTCGCAGCTACCCCACTCATCGCGGCGGGCAATCTTGTCCGTGTCTCCCTCCATCAACACCGAGCCGCGGCCAGCCAACTACGTCCCACGCCCGCCTTTCACGCGAGCCTTCACAATGCCTTTCCGAGAGCCAGAAGAAGCATCACCCGCGCGGTAGAATGCACGCGGGCTTCCAGTCAACTCTCTCCTAATTCAGAATGTGACATTAGCGAATCGGGTGCGCCGGCGGCGTTCTCACCGCCTCCCGTCACGGGTCAACCTCCCGTCTCATTTTATTCTCTCCCACTCTCTCTGCTATCTCTCCTCCCGCTGCTTCCGCTTATCCTCGCGGATCGGGTGCTGGCGGAGCCAGTTCCGCTCTTCGAGAACGGCGCCGACGTGCTGACGGCTGCGGGCAGCGGCGAGCCCGTTACCAACAGCGTCATTTCGCTACTCTTCGGCGTCGCTGTCGTCGGACTGGTCGTGCTGACTGGCGGGGTGAGTGCCTTCCTGCAAATCGGCTGAAACTATTAAGGTTTGTGAATTCCTTCCGAAGTCAGTGGTCAGACACGAGACTTTTGAAAACTCTCAAGTCCAAATTGTCAGGCACGGAATGAACTTTCAGAAATGTGTTGCGCGCGATTGCAGCTAACGAGTCAAGTTTGGTCAACATTTGGCCCAATGTGGTTGATTTTGAAGAATCGCCTGGAAGGAACCTAAATGCAGGAAGGAAACGGAACGAAGTTACTGAAAGCACACCTCCTTTCCCAGTCACGGCTATTCGGCCTGTGACTCTCGTCGAGACGGAAAGCCCCTACTGTTTCATTTTGAGTCGACTCAAGAATCTGAAACCGCGTCTCCTGTTCCAGTCATGGCCATTCGGCCTGTGATCTCGTCAAGACGGGACGTCGTTCCTGTCCGTGCCACGCTGCCAGCAATGCAAGCACCGGGAGCACAGGGGGCACGAGACCACACTGTTCTGGCTGACAGGACAAGAGGAAGCTTTCAAATGCACGGACTAAATTAACCCGTCCTCCGACGTCCCTGTTTTCCAAAGCACCACGAGCAGGTGGGGTACCTGACAGCGCTGCTGCCTGTGAGTCCCTTGTCTTTTTCTCCCCTCTCCTGCCCCATTCCACCTCTCGGACAGTGAGCATTTGGGGCACCTGGCATGCATCAACTGGCTGTAACTCCCCTCTTCGTACCCCCTCTGTGCCTCTGCCCCTCTTTCCCCTTCTTCCTCCCTTCCACCCCCAGCACACGGTGAGCAGGTGCGGTACCTGGTGCGAGTTCCCTCTGTTTGATCCCCTCTCCTCTCATATCTGCCGTCTTCCTCCCCTCTCCACCCCCCACCCTCTTCTTCCCCAATCTTTCCCCACCACGAGAAGGTGAATTTCTTTTGCCCGACTCCCTTCTCCCCTCATCTCCGCTCTTCTCCCACCCCCCTCGCTGCCCCACTTCTCTCCAACCCTTCCTCAGGTGGGGTACCTGCCATACGCAGACTGGCAGGACATGCGCGAGATGGAGAAACTCGCAGCAGCAGAGCCGGTGAAACCCCTCTCCGCCCATCCCTTGCTCTCCTCTTGCCCCTTCTCCCCCTCTCCAGTTGGGGTACCTAGCATACACGGACCGGCAGGACAAGAGGGAGATGGAGAAACTGGCAGCAGCGGAGCCGGTGAAGCGACCAACTGCCTGACTCCCCTCTCCCCTCATCCCTACCCCCACCCGTTTCTTTCCCGCTTCTCCCTCCCCCCCAGGTGGGGTACCTGGCGTACACGGACTGGCAGGACAAGAGGGAGATTGAGAAGCTGGCGGCAGCGGAGCCGGTGAAGCGGCCAACTGCAACGTCAGAGATCCGTGCTGCCATGAAGTCGCCGCCCAGAGCCACACCCAAGGGATTTGGGAAGAAATCGGAGAAGGAGATTGCGGAGGAAAGTGATGCTTGAGTCGAACTACCGTATTACTGTAGATACAGTTGTTAAGGTGCTTTAAAGAATGTGCTATGGTGTCTTGCCATGCCAGCCAAGGAGCACATGCAAAGGGTTGGAAAGAAATTGGCCAGGGAAATTGAGAGTGTTGCTTGATAATAAAACCGCTGTAGTGACTGTTTTCAACAGAGCAAGTAAATTCAGCTGTTCTTTTCTCTAGGTAGTGTGATGTGTGGAAAGAATAGTCCCTTCACATCCGTGAAATATGAGTAACTTTACTAGCACAGTAAATCACCCTCCAAATGATTATTGAGTCATCTAATGTTGAGTCTTTTACTCCTACGTGACTAACTTCGTCGAATCTGTTAGCTTGGCACGCTACCGTCGTCCTTCATGCTCCAGCTACTACCGTACCTCTCACTCACTTTCTCGCCCCCGTCTTTCCGCACCACGCGTCCCCTATCGGGCTGAGGTCAGCTTCGAGATCATCTGACGTCAGCTTCAGCTGATGAGTCACTCGATTTCTTCCGACCAATCAGACGCCCTCCCCTACCCGCAAGATGATTCGCCTCGGTATTCCCGAGGTGCCACGTCAGCTCGCCCCGGCGCTTTCTCGCACGACAGGCTCGGGATCTTGGGAGTCGCGAGCCGCCTCCTCGACGACATCCCGCATTTCTCGCCGCAATGGTCGGGGCTGTTCCTCATCGGAGCGCTGCTCTCGCTGTCCTGGTTGGCGGGCCGCGTGCGTTTCGGGCTCCTGCCCGTGCTGCTAGTGTGCCTGTTTGTGTACCATGAGGTAGCGGAAAACCAACTACAGCCATTTAAGGATGTGGTCGCTTCAGTAATTTCGTTTTATTTATTTATTTATTTATTTATTTATTTATTATAATATTCATTTATTTAAATGGTCCTCAGACGGCATGTCAGCCCCGTTCGGCCACCACCCACCATCCGTCCCACTCCTCCCCAAACAGATGTCCAAGCGGCAGCGAGTGCGAGAGATGAAAGCGGCGCGGGTGGCGGCGCTACAGGCGGTGCTACAGCGGCACCCCATGGGCGACTCGGAGACGGCGCACTGGCTGAACGCGCTCGTGCAGCGCGCCTGGCCCGTGTTTCTCGAGCGCCTGCTGTCCACGCAGCTCGCTCCTGCCCTCGCGCCCTGGTTCTTCGAGAAATACCTGCCCTGGCAGGCGGTGAGTTGGGGCATACGGGGTGAGGATGGGTGCTGTGGGTTGTTGTTGGGGCATAGGGGGTGAGAAGGGGTGCACTGTGCTGTGGTTGGGGAATAGGGGGTGAGAAGGGGTGCACTGTGCTGTGGTTGGGGCATAGGGGGTGGCAGACGGTGAGCATGAGCCATGGACCCACATGCTCCTCCCACCCACATGCTCCTCCCACACTCCCTTGTTCCCCCTTCCCCCTCCCCCCCATATGGGCAGCGCAAGGCGTGGCTGGAGCGGGTGTATCTGGGCAGTTCGCCGCCCGTCATTGCTGCTGTCAGGGTCGTGCACACCAACACTCTCGACGACCACGTGGTACGGTGTGGTGCAGTGTGGTGCGGTGTGGTGTGGTGTGGTCTGATACGGTGTGGTGGTATGGGGTGGGCCTGTTGTTGTTGTGGTGCCATTATGGTATGGTATGGTATATTAATATTATCGTAGGGTAGGGTACACTACACCACAACTCTTGGTATGGTATGGTATGGTATGGTATGGTATGGTATGGTATGGTATGGTATGGTATGCATGTCCACAACTCTGTTTCATGTTTTGAGTCGACTCAAAACACAGCTCTGTTCCACCCCTTCCTTCACTCACCTCATTCAGTAATCGAGCTTGTATGTATGTGTGAGCGTGCAAATGAGAGTCAATCTCATTTCCTCCCTCGTCTCCCATCTCTCCTCTCTCTGCTTGCCTCCCTCTGCTGTCTCGTCCCGCCTCTGTAGATGGCATGGCATGTACGCGGTGGTGGGGGGTGAAGATGCTGCTACTGGAAGGTGTTTAAGAATATTCTTGTATTTAAGAGTACTTCTTCTCCCTCCCTCCTCCCTTCTCCCTGCCCTCTCCCCCCTCCTCTCCAGGTGATAGAAGCAGCCACCGAGTTCGCAGCATGCAGTGACATGTACGCGCTGGTGGGGGGTGAAGATGCTGCTGCTGCCTCCCTTCTCATTCCGCTTTTCTCCCTCCTCCCCCCTCTTTCTTCCCTCGTCTGTAGGTGATAGAGGCAGCCACGGAGTTGGCAGCATGCAGTGACATGTACGCACTCGTGGGGGTGAAGATGCTGGTGTTTAGACTCTTCCCTCCCCTCCCTCCTGCTTCTGTCTCTCCCCTCCCCTCTCCAGGTGATAGAAGCAGCAACGGAGTTCGCAGCATGCAGTGACATGTACGCACTCGTGGGGGTGAAGATGCGGCGCCGTGTGGCGCTGGGGATGGTGGCACAGGGGCATGTGTCGGGGGTGCACATAGAGGGCAAGGTGAGGCGTGGGGGAGGTGTTATTTGGGGCAGGAGGTGCTTTGAGGTGCTGGGCATGGTGGCCCAAGGACACGTGTCAGGGGTGCACATAAGAGGGCAAGGTGAGGCGTGGGGGAGGTGGGGGGGTTGTGAAATTCGTAGGGAAAGCGGTGGGATGTGGTATGAGTGGTGCTTCTTGGTGCTGGGGATGGTGGCGCAGGGGCATGTGTAGGGGGTGCACATAGAGGGGAAGGTGAGATGCGGGGGAGGTGGGCATTGTGGAATTTTAAGGGGAGGTGGGAGGTGGGATGTGGGATGAGTGGTGCTTCTTGGTGCTGGGCATGGTGGCGCAGGGGCACATAGAGGGGAAGGTGAGATGTGGGGGAGGTGGGACACGGGGGAGGTGGGACGCGGGGGAGGTGAGACGCGGGGGAGGTGAGATGTTGTGGAATATGTTGGGGAGGTGGGAGGTGGGAGGTGGTATGGCATTGATTGGTGCTTGGTGCTTCTTGGAATTGGGTGCACATAGAGGGTAGGTGGGATGCGGGGGGGGGATCGGACATGGGGAAGGTGGGGTCTGGGGAAGGTGGGGTCTGGGGAAGGTGGGATGTTTGAGGAGGTGTTTTGTGTGGTTGAACAGAGGATATGCGCATGACTTTGCCGTCTTTCCCTTTCTCCCCTCCCTTCCTTCTCCACCCCCGCTCGCCTCCAATAATCCCGAGCCTGCAGACGAGGATCGGGATGAGGTTCACCTCGGAGTTTCCGTACGTGAGCCGTGTGCGCGTGAGCTTCGTGTTTTGAGACGTCTCAAGACACGCTTTATCCACCCCACCCCGCTCTCACCTCACCTCACCTCCCTCACCTCACCTCACCTCCACACACTGCAGACTCGGATCGGGATGAGGTTCACCTCGGAGTTCCCGTACGTGAGCCGAGTGCGAGTGAGCTTCGTGGGGGCGCCATTCATCGGCCTCACCGTCAAGCCCTCGGCCCACCTCGGATTCAACCTCGCCGACCTGCCCTTCTTCAGCTCCTGGCTGGTGCGTGCACTGTGAGGTGACTTTTGACGGTTAGTCCGATGACTTTTCACGGTGCGCCCCCACGGCTTGTGCTATGAGGGCCCTCATGGTGTCAAGCAATAAGAGGGCTTTTCCCACCCACTTGGCTGGCTGGCTGGCTGGCTGGATGGATGGATGGATGGATGGATGGATGGATGGATGGATGGATGGATGGATGGATGGATGGATGGATGGATGGATGGATGGATGGATGGATGGATGGATGGATGGATGGATGGATGGATGGATGGATGGATGGATGGATGGATGGATGGATGGATGGATGGATGGATGGATGGATGGATGGATGGATGGATGGATGGATGGATGGATGGATGGATGGATGGGTGACTGGGTGACCGGGCAGCTACCCGACTGACTCCTTACAGCATGCTCCTCTCCTCTCCTCCCCCATTATATCCAGACATGCACGCGCAACAGGATGAGATGCTGGCAACGGCCTTGGAATCCTCAATGGTGGCCCCCAACATGCTCGTGCTCGACATTGCCCGCCTCGCCCACCTGTTTGTTTGAGGCACTCAAAAACCCTCCCACCCTCCCCTCCTTCCCCTTCCCTGACATGCATACACACGACAGGATGAGATGCTGGCAACAGCGTTGGAATCATCAATGGTGGCCCCCAACATGCTCGTGCTCGACATTGCCCGCCTCGCTCACCTGTTTGTTTGAGGCACTCAAAAGCCCTCCCATCCGTCCCCTTCCCTGGCATGCACACACCACAGGATGAGATGCTAGCAACAGCACTGGAGTCGTCTATGGTCGCCCCCAACATGCTCGTTCTCGACATTGCCCGTCTCGCCCACCTCTTCCTCTCGCCCTCCCCTCCTCCTCCCACTGCTCCCACTGCCTCTCACCCTCCTCACCCTTCACATCACCCGCACCACACTCACTTCCCGCACTGCCCGCACTGTTCCCAGCAAGCCAGCCACGCAGCAGGCGCTGCTGCTTCTCCTGCTGCCACTGCCACTCCCACTGGTGCCACTCCAGTGCCCAGTGCTGCTAGCGGTGCTCCCAGCTCTCTTTCCTCTCCCACCTCCTCCGTGCCTCCCTTCCCGCCTGCCATGCTCGCCGCAGCCCAAGCAGCCGGCATCTCCCAGTTCGTTCCTCACTCCCCTGCAACCACCAATCCCGAGAACACCGCAGCAGCAGCAGCAGCAGCCTCTCACACTCCCCCAGCAACCCCAGCACCCTCAGCAGCCGCAGCCTCCCCCTCCCAGCCCCCCCAACTCCCCCCGCTATCCGCCGCGCTCCACGTGGACTCCTCCCGCCCGGTGGCCTTCGTGGCGGTCGAGATCATCGAGGCGAGGCACTTAAAGCCCGCGAACCTGGACGGCACGTCGGACGCGTACGTCAAGTGCGCGCTGGGGGCGGCGCGCTTCACCACGCGCATCGTGTGGGGGTCCCTGGACCCGCAATGGTTCGCAGAGTTCACTGCACCCGTGTTCTCGTGGCGTTTGAGCAATCTTCTTGTTCTCAGGGTGCTCGATAAATCGTTCCTCTGCTCTAAAGACCTCGGGTGAGTGCTGGCAGGGATGTGCCAGGAGTGCTTGCTTGCTTGCAAACCTCCGACGCGTACGTCAAGTGCGCGCTGGGGGCGGCGCGCTTCACCACGCGCATCGTGTGGGGGTCGCTGCACCCGCAGTGGTTCGCCGAGTTCACGGCACCCGTGTTCTCGTGGCGTCTGAGCAATCTTCTTGTTCTCAGGGTGCTCGATAAATCGTTCCTCTGCTCTAAAGACCTCGGGTGAGTGCTGGGGGCAGTTGGCTTGGCTTGGCTTGGCTTGGCTTCACCACGCGCATCGTGTGGGGGTCGCTGGACCCGCAGTGGTTCGCCGAGTTCACTGCGCCGGTGTTCTCATGGCGTTTGAGCAATCTTCTTGTTCTCAGGGTGCTCGATAAATCGTTCCTCTGCTCTAAAGACCTCGGGTGAGTGCTGGCAGGGATGTGCCAGGAGTGCTTGCTTGCTTGCAAACCTCCGGCTCGTACGTCAAGTGCGCCCTGGGGGCGGCGCGCTTCACCACGCGCATCGTGTGGGGGTCGCTGGATCCGCAATGGTTCGCCGAGTTCACGGCACCGGTGTTCTCGTGGCGCCTCAGCAACCTGCTCGTGCTGAGGGTGCTCGACAAGTCGTTTCTCTGCTCTATAGACCTGGGGTGAGTGCTGGGGGCAGTTGGCTTGGCTTGGCTTGGCTTAACCACGCGCATCGTGTGGGGGTCGCTGGACCCGCAGTGGTTTGCCGAGTTCACAGCTCCCGTGTTCTCGTGGCGTTTGAGCAACCTGCTTGTGCTGCGCGTGCTGGATAAGTCGTTCCTGTGCTCTAAAGACCTCGGGTGAGTGCTGGGGGCAGTTGGCTTGGCTTGGCTTGGCTTGGCTTGGCTTCACGACGCGCATCGTGTGGGGGTCGCTGGACCCGCAGTGGTTCGCCGAGTTCACGGCGCCCGTGTTCTCGTGGCGCCTCAGCAACCTGCTCGTGCTCAGGGTGCTGGACAAGTCGTTTCTCTGCTCCAAGGACCTTGGGTGAGTGCTGGGGGCAGTTGCCTTGGCTTGGCTTGGCTTGGCTTGGCTTGGCTTGGCTTGGCTTGGCTTGGCTTGGCTTGGCTTGGCTTGGCTTGGCTTCACCACGCGCATCGTGTGGGGGTCGCTGGACCCGCAGTGGTTCGCTGAGTTCACGGCACTGGTGTTCTCGTGGCGTCTCAGCAACCTGCTCGTGCTGAGAGTACTGGACAAGTCCTTCCTCTGCTCTAAAGACCTCGGGTGAGTGCGTGCTTACCTGCACAAATGCGCCAAGGAACTTAGGACCTTGGTTGAGTTAGGCACCTGCCGGGGGTGCTTGCTTGTTCTCGTGGCGCCTGAGCAACCTGCTCGTGCTGAGAGTGCTCGACAAGTCGTTTCTGTGCTCCAAAGACCTGGGGTGAGTGCTGGCAGGGCAGGTGCCTTGGGTGAGTGCTGGGGACAGTATTGCTTGGCTTGGCTTCACTGACGCGCATCACATGGGGGTCGCTGGATCCGCAGTGGTTCGCCGAGTTCACTACACCGGTATTCTCATGGCGCCTCAGCAACCTGCTCGTGCTCAGGGTGCTGGACAAGTCGTTTCTCTGCTCCAAAGACCTCGGGTGAGTGCTGGGGGCAGTTGGCTTGGCTTGGCTTGGCTTCACGACGCGCATCGTGTGGGGGTCGCTGCACCCGCAGTGGTTCGCCGAGTTCACGGCGCCGGTGTTCTCGTGGCGTCTGAGCAACCTGCTCGTGCTGAGAGTGCTCGATAAATCCTTCCTCTGCTCTAAGGACCTCGGGTGAGTGCTGGCAGGTGCTGGTAGGTGCTGGTAGGTGCCGGCAGGTGCTGGCGGCCACCTGTAGTGGGGTGGGAGGTTGCTGGGGGCGGCCCGCTTCACCACGCGCATCGTGTGGGGTTCGTTGCACCCGCAGTGGTTCGCTGAGTTCACGGCGCCGGTGTTCTCGTGGCGTCTGAGCAACCTGCTCGTGCTGAGAGTACTGGACAAGTCGTTTCTGTGCTCCAAGGACCTTGGGTGAGTGAGTGCTGGCAGGGCAGGGCAGGGCAGGGCAGGTCCCTCGGGTGAGTGCTGGGGGCAGCAAGGCCTTGGCTTGGCTTGGCTTCACGACGCGCATCGTGTGGGGATCGCTGCACCCGCAGTGGTTCGCCGAGTTCACGGCGCCGGTGTTCTCGTGGCGTTTGAGCAACCTAACCTGCTCGTGCTCAGGGTGCTCGACAAATCCTTCCTCTGCTCCAAGGACCTCGGGTTAGTGCTCCCTGCCAGGTGCTGGCAGGGATGTGCTGGCAGGGATGTGCTGGCAGGGATGTGCTGGCAGGGATGTGCTGGCAGGGATGTGCCTGGGGTGCTTGCTTGGCGACAATAATAGAGCAGATTTTTGTCACTATATTAATATCTATATTAATCTTGTTCTTCTGCCCTTTTCGTTCCTTCCCTCCCCCGCTCTATCTCTCCCCCCCCCACCCCCGCTCTTCCCCTTTCCCCTGCCCTTCCCTCCCACCAGCTATTGTGTGGTGGACGTGGGGAGGTATCGGAGGGGGGGAAGGTGGGAGATGTGGGAGACGCTGAGAGGGGTGGGGCGCGGTTGAGTGCGATTGGCGGTGACTGTGATCAGTACGGAGGAGGCGGGGAGGAGGGAAGAGGAGGAGGTGAGGGGCGTGAGAAGCAGAGAGAGTGAGGGGGGTGAGAGGAAGGAGAGAGAAGCGGAGGGGGGTGAGGGGCAGGAGAGGAAGGAGAGGGGAGCGGGTGGGGGGGGTGGGTCGGTACGAGGGTCTGATGCTGGTGGTGGGGAGAAGGCAGGAGGAGGGGGGAGTGAAGGGAAGGAAGAGGGAGGTGGTAGGTCGAGGAAGGCGGCTAATGGGGAGCCGATGGGACTGCGAAGGAGGATGAGGGGGAGGAGGAAAACGGGAGGGGAGTCTTTGGACTGGGAACAGGAAACTCAAAAGAAGCAGTATGAGAGGGGGGAGGGGGAGAGAGGGGAGGAGGAGAGAGGGGAGGAGAAGCAAGGGGAGGGGGAGATGGGGCTGAGGGAGAGAGGCGTGGTCGAGAGGGAGGAGTGTGGGAGGGCCGATGAGGTAATGAGCTCAGAAATTGATGGTGGTGCTGCGACTGGTGGTGATGGGAATGGTGCTGCTACTGCGACTGGTGGTGAGAGAGTGGGCCGGCCAAGGCTGGACCGTGGCTTCCCTCTCAACCGCCCCAACCTGCTTCCGCCAATACGAGTCACCCATCCTGCCGCTCACTCCCACAGCCACGTGGCAGAACATGACAGGCTGCCGGGCACCGAGAGGAGATATGATTCTTTGGGGCGTTTCCGTCCGTGCACCTCGTTCCTGACTGCCCCTGGGTCGTCTGAAGGGCAGGCCCTGGCACATGGTAGCTCTCTGCTGTCCCCCTTTCATGGGCCGTATGGGGGTTCTCTTACTGCTGCCCCCTCCTTTAGCGCTCCAACTACTCCCACTGGCAGAGGCAAAGGCAGAGGGGACGTGGGAGAGGATGTGGTGATGGGGGAAGGTGGAGGAGGAGGGCCGTACTCTCCTCTTGAAGGCTCCTCTGGCGGTCGTGGTGCTGCTGGCGGCGGCGGCAGGGGTGCTGGCACTCACAGAGGCAGGTCTGTGAGTCGCATCAAAAGCAGCCACGCAGCAAGCTCAGCAGGCAACCACACCACCTCCTCCTCCTCCTCCTCCTCTTACCACACCAGCCACACTCCCAACTTTGGCATCTACTTCGTGACTGAAAATGGCATTGTGGACGGCTCAGTGGACGCTTCCGACACGTTCTTGACAGCAGGCGACTTGTGGGAGGGTAGCGAGGAGGGGGAGGTAGGGGAGGAGCCTCCAAGCCCGTGTTTATCGGAGCCATCGCTGTCTGTGCTGCATGGCATGGCGTCAGGACAGGCGTTCGGGTGGTGGGGTGACGAGGATGAGGAGGGTGGGGAGACGGCTGACAAGGCACAGGGTGGAGTAGAGCCTTCGCCCTGGCAGCACCAACGCCAGCAGCAGCAGGGCCACCAGCAGCAGCAGGGGCAGCAGGGAGCACCGCCGCGGCCGCGTTTGGAGCGCAAGGCAGCTCTTTCGTTCCGTACCCGCATGCAGCTGGAGCGACAGCAGGAGCAGCGCGATTCCGAAGCAGCTGAAGCAGCAGCGGCGGCGGCACACGCCGAAGCAGCAGCCTCTGCTGCCAGCACAGCCCGCCAGCTGGACAGAGACGAGCTGGCGCTGCTTGCCAGGCTCCACGTTGACCAATCAGAAGAGATCAACATCCAGGGGGTCCCGGCAGGCTCGGGGATCTTGAAGGTCGTTCGGCCCGGAGCTGACCCCGGACCTGAGGATTGGAAGTGCCGCCAGGGAGGGAGGAGGGCCGAGGCTGAGGCTCGGGAAAGGTTTGTGGAGGAGGAGCAGGAGGGGTCGGTGCTGGGTGGACTGGTGAAGGCTTATCTAAGTGAAAGCTTGCACGGCGGGGGAGGGGGTGGTGGGGTGGGAGGAAATAGGAGTGAAGCAGTTAGGGGGGATGGTGGGAAGGCAGGTTCAACTGGGGAAGAGCGGAAACGAGGGGGGTGGAGGGGGTTGTTCAAACGATGGAAGAAGGGGAGGCATGATAGTGTGGCAGGCACAGGTGATGCAGCAGGGGCATCAGCGAGGGATGGCTTGGCTACAGACGGAGTGGGTAAGGAGGCGAGGGAAAGAGCGAGAGAGGAGCACGTGTGGGAGAGGAGAGAGGAGGGAGTGGATAAGGACAACCATGAAGAAGTGGAGGTGGAGGACGAAGGCGAGGGGGAGGGCGAGGGGGAGGAAGAGGAGAGGGATGCTTTGGAGGAGGAGAGGGCGGCACTAGAGGCTGTGGCATTGGAGATGTTGGATGGGTGGCAGGACGATGTGGTGGGGGGTGATGCTCTCAGCAGGAGCACCACCATCTCCTCTACCTTCCCCTCGCAGAGCCACCTGCGCCTCACCAGAGAGCTTATCAAAGCGTGCCACTAGAAAGGGGGGGTGGTTGGAGAAGGAGAGGGAGGCATCAGAGGGAGGCACTAGAGGGATGCACTGGAGGCAATGGCATTGGAGATGTTGGATGGGTGGCAGGACGATGTGGTGGGGGGTGATGCTCTCAGCAGGAGCACCACCATCTCCTCTACCTTCCCCTCGCAGAGCCACCTGCGCCTCACCAGAGAGCTGATCAAAGCGTGCCACTAGAAAGGGGGGGTGGTTGGAGAAGGAGAGGGGGGGGGCATTAGAGGGAGGCACTAGAGGGATGCACTGGAGGCAATGGCATTGGAGATGTTGGATGGGTGGCAGGACGACGTGGTGGGGGGCGATGCTCTCAGCAGGAGCACCACCATCTCCTCTACCTTCCCCTCGCAGAGCCACCTGCGCCTCACCAGAGAGCTCATCAAAGCGTGCCACTAGAAAGGGGGGGTGGTTGGAGAAGGAGAGGGAGGCACTAGAGGGATGCACTGGAGGCAATGGCATTGGAGATGTTGGATGGGTGGCAGGACGATGTGGTGGGGGGTGATGCTATCAGCAGGAGCACCACCTCGACTACCTCCCCATCGCAGAGCCATCTCCGCCTCAGCAGAGAGCTCATCAAAGCCTGCCACTAGAATCTTGGGTTTCAAGGGTTTCTTGTGGCGCCTGGGAACAGTCTTGAGGTGTTGGCACAACGAGGCGTTCCAACTACCATACCAGTACGTTGAACGTTACACGCAGATTATGATTTTGACTGACCCTCTTTCTACTATGGGTCGGTAGTGAACTTGATGCTAGAATGCTGTACGGTATCATTCATTGATCGTGGACAATGCAGTTGCAGCTATTTTTCAGCGCATTACAATGTAACCAACAAGCCACATAATGGCAAAAAACAAAGCTGAAACAATTCCTCTATTCCGACTTCCTGGGCGCACAAACCTATTTCACCAGTCAATGCCTCTACGAGCACTCCAGTGACTCCAAACTTTCTATTGCACTGGTGCCACATCAGCAAGCCAGCTGGCGAGCTCTGACGCTGCCTCGCGCGTGAAAGCGAGGCGGGAATCCCGAGGGAGGGCAGGGAGGGCAGAGGTAGCTAGAGCTGCATCTAGAGGCGCAGAGGAGGCAGCTGCTGAAGTGACTGCTGCTGCTGCTGCTTCATCTGCAGCAGCAGCTGTGGCTGCTGCCGTGTGGGTGAGGAAGGAGCGAGAGAGCGAGTCAAGCATTCGAGCATACACCATGCTGCCATGGGGAAGAGAGGGGAAGAGGGGAGGAGGTGGGGGGGGAAAGCAAGAAACAGGACAAAGGCTGAGTCGCGAATGTGAGGAGCATGCGAGCATACACCATAATGCCATGAGGAAGTGATGGGTTGGGAGAGGAACGAAACAAGAAAATGCCCAATTCTCGCCAGTTGTAGATAGATAGACAGGGACATGAGCACCGGGGTGGAGGAGACCATCTAGCATGCTTCATGGAGTAAGAACAAGCGTCCTATTTTTTCAGAAAAGCGCTCAGCACAACGCACACGCAGGTGCACACGCATGGCAACATGCAGGGTCACACACACTCACCGCAGGCGGGCAGCATCGTGGGGGAAGGTGCGGAGAGACTGCGCCGTGCGCTGGGAGAACTCCGACAGTGCCTCCGACCCGTCAGCCACTGACACCTGGCGGACGGTAGTTGGTTGGACAGGCACACAAGAAACAGAGCAGCGCAGTTCAGGTTTGCTTCGATTACAGTGCAATGCAAAACCAAGCTGTCTAGTTGACAAGACCTTCTGCCTTGCTAAAGTTGGGTCAAACCAAGATAACAGAAAATATACCACACACCCTCCCCCACCCCCCGTCCCTCACCACCCCCCTCCCTCCTCCCTCTTCCCTCTCTGTTCCCTTCACCTCCATCCACTCACCGTCAGCTCTTCGGTCGGCAAGATCGCCTGTCCTTCCAGGGCGGCAGACAGGTGCATGTAGTCCAAAAGCAGCCGCCCGCCCTCTTTCCACCCGTAAATGGCCTCCCCATGCGTCTCCAGCCCCTCCATCAGCTGCTGCACCTCTGCCCACCGCTCTGCAGGGTATGAGTACAAGGGGTTATGGGGGAGTGTGGCGGAGTGGAGGGGAGATGTGTGGGTCGGTGGGTGGTAGATTGGGTGTGCGGATTCAGGGATTCAGGGATTGTGACCGACCTCCGCCCCCCCGTGTGCCTCCAGCCCCTCCATCAGCTGCTGCACCTCCGCCCACCGCTCTGCAGGGGTACAAGCATGATAATTATACAGCAGAAGGCGGGGGGGAGGGTTCGGGGGGGGGAGGGGGAAACACCTGCTAAGTTCTAGGCTGCAGCGAGGTGGTTCACATGCAAAGGCGAGGAGGAGAGCCCTGTTTCACTAGTGGTCACAGTGCCCCCACGCATGCTGACGGCGGCATCCAATGCAGCAGCAGCAGCTCATGCATCCCATCCCAAAGACGCACCAGAGAGAGTGCAACAACAACCCATGAATCTCAAATACCGCACCTGACCTGACGGATGGAACCCTGTCAGCAAGCAAGCAGCGGCCCATGAAACACAAAGACGACGCACCTGCTAGGATCCACGTGGCAGCGAGGTGGGTCATAAAGAGGCGGTGCGCGCGGTCCCACTCGAAGCTTCCCAGAAGGCACTGCAGCTCGTCACTGCGCCGGCCCTCGTAGCGATGGTGCACCGCCTGGTCGGGTGGGGGGGGGATGGGGGGCGAGAAAGGGGGAGATGGGGGAGCGCGGAGAGAGGAGGTGAGGGGAGTGCGACTTGACGACTCAGAATCACTGCAGCTCGTCGCTGCGCCGGCCCTTGTAGCGATGGTGCACCGCCTGGTGGTGGGAGGCGGGGAAAAGGTGGACAGGAGGAGACGATGGAGACGATGGGAGAGGATAGGAGAGAGACGGTGAGGAAAGACAGCCAAAGAGCATGGCACTGCAGCTTGTCGCTTTTGAGTAGACTCAAAAGTCAGGAAGCGGAAGGTGAAAGAAAAAAGCGTTGCTTTGACAACTGAGCATCGGCGACGGCGCTACGAGTATTGCACTGCAGCTCGTAGCTGCGCCGACCAGGTGGCGATGGCCGTCTCTGCCTGTGATGTGAATGAAGCTGCGCTGCTCCTCACTGGCCGCCCACACGTTGCACCACACCACACCACCAGCACCTCCCTGCCGCCCTCCCTCCTTTACCTTCTTGGCTAATCGAACACCCACCTGAGCAGCACACATCCAAGAGCGAGGCACCAGCAGTTGCCCCTCAATGAAGCTCCGCTGCTCCTCACTGGCCGCCCACACCGGGCACGACACCGCCAGCACCTCCCTGCCTCCCTCCTTCCTTTACCTTCTGGGCTAATCGAACACCCACCTGAGCAGCACACATCCAAGAGCGAGGCACATGCAACTGCCCCTCAATGAAGCTGCGCTGCTCCTCACTCGCCGCCCACACCGGGCACGACACCGCCAGCACCTCCCTGAACGCGCGCTCCATCATTCACTCACCCTGTCGGCTCACTCAATCCCTCCCAACCTCACTCACGCGCTCCCTCGCTCACCCACCCACTGCCCAACTCCCTCACACACTCACTCACTCCCTCCCACACACCCACCTGAGCAGCACACATCCAAGAACGAGGCACAAGCAGCTGCCCCTCGATAAAGCTCCGCTGCTCCTCACTCGCCGCCCACACCGGGCACGACACCTTCAGCACCTCCCTGAAAGCGCGCTCCAGGGCCCACCGCGGAAGCTTCCGAGAAGGAGGGATGTGCTGCAGGCAGTAGAGCGCCCAGTGGGGCTGGTTGGCTGCTAGCAACTGCGCCACGTAGTCCATGTGCACAGCTGGCAGCACCTCATTGGCCCGCACCGCTCCTATGGCCTGATGTGATTGGAGTAAAAAAAGAAGAAGGTAAGGTGCATTGGTTGAAGGATTAACAAACGGCAGGTAGGCAGCGGAGGATGAAAGAAGAAGGTAAGGTGCATTTGGTGATTCTGTGATGTGAGGCCCATCTTTGAGTCGACTCAACTTTTGAGTTGACTTTTGAGTCGACTCGAAAGTCAACCCATTTTTGAGTCGACTCAAAAGTCAATCCATTTTTTAATCGACTCAAAAGTCAACCCATTTTTGAGTCGACTCAGAAGAAGGTAAGGTGCATTTGGTGATTCTGTGATGTGAGGCCCATCGAACCCGGCTTAGCGCATTAGCCGTTACCTGCAGCACACTCTGAAGATGCCACGTCAGATGGCAGTCCAGCGCATCACGAGTCCACGACCGCCACCTCAGCATCGCCGCCACATCAACCGCCACGTCATCACCATCGCCAGCACCGCCACCCTCCACTCTCCCTTTCCCCATCTCCTCTTTCAAGTGCAGAGCCAACAACCCATACAACACATCCTCCACTCCTCCCTCTCCCTCTCCCTCTCCCTCTCCTCCCTTCCCCTTCCCGTCACCTCCCCTCATCCCTCCCTCCCTCCGCTCCCTCTCCGCCCTCTCTCCCCCCTCCACCCCAATCGTCTCCTCATACCACGGGATCGCCCTCGGCACCCGCCCAACCCTCACTCTCTTCCTAAACTCCCCAATCACCGAGCCTAGCGGCGAGGCCGGGGGCACGCCGAACCACATGAGCAGCCCGAGGTGCCTCTTCCAGTCCAACGGCCGGCCCTCCAGCGCCCCAGTCACATCCCCAGCCACCAGCCGCAGCAGCCTTAGCCTCTCCACACTCACCACCGCCCCTTCCGCAAGCTCTTCCAACGAAAACGCCTCTTCCCCCGAAGCCCCACCCCTATCTCCCTTCCCGCCGCCCGCCAGCCTCTCCCAGAGCGCCAGCTGGCGGGCGGCGTCGGCGCGCGTGGCAGGGGGGGCGGAGTGGGCGAGGGAGAGCAGGGCGGCAAGACACACGTCCCCTGTGAAAGCAGCGGCACCCACGGCCGTCTCTACCTGCATCCCCGTGAGCGCGGTAAACGCCACTCGCAGAGGCAGCGCTGCAGCAGCTTCAGCTGGGGTAGTGGTAGTTGTAACGGTGGTGGTGGAGGGTATGTTGTTGTTGCGTGTAAAGGTGCTGGTGGTGGTGGTGGTGGTGGTGAGAGGGTTGGATGTGGTGTTGGGGTTCGGGTTGGCAGCGAGGGAGTTGAGTTCGTGCACGATGGCGGGTGCCACCACGGCCTGCAGCCATGCGCTGAACTCTGCTCTGCGGAACAACGCCATGGTCTCCTCGTCGTACTCCTCCTGCTCCTCCTCCCCTGCCTCCTCCTCATCCTCATCACCCCCCTCCTCCTCCTCCTCCTCCTCGGTCACTCCTCCCTGCTCCTCCTCCTGCTTACTTCCCTTCCCTTCCTCCTCTGCGTTTTCCAATCCCCCAATCCACTGTGGCTGTTTATCACCACCAGCAGCAACGCCTCCTTGAGTCTCCTCCTCCTCCTCTTCCGCATCATCATCTGTGAACAGACGCCTGTTCAGCGCTGCTTCTTCTCTCGCCCCTTTTCCCCCATCCCCTTGCTCCATCCCATTCCTCTGCCCACCCCCACTCATCCCCTCCATCTCCCCATACCCATCCTCCACCTCCCCATCCCTCTCCTCCTCCATCGAACCATCCCCCGACTTCCCACCTGAACCACCACCTGCCTTTTCACCTGACCCATCACCAGCACCTGTCTCAAACTCCCCCCCCATCTCCACCCCTCCAGACCCCTGCATGACGTCACTGCGCCTCCTGCCCTGCCAATCAGAGAACAGCACGTCCACAAGCTGCCAAACCGCCTGCTCGTGCTGCAGCTGCCGCTCAGATACGCCCACCCCAGATACAACCCGCCCCTGCCCAGCCTTCGCCCGGGCAGCAGCAAGGGCGTCAGCAGCTGCTACAGCCAGGGAGCTGTAGCGGCGGCACAGGGAGGCCAGGCTGCCGCCCTGCCGGCTACACACCAGCCGTCGCCCCACCCACTCCCTCCCCTCCTCCCTCCCCTCCTCTCTCCCCGTCTCTCTCGCGCCCTTCTCCTCCCCCTCCATCTCCTCATCTTCACCGCTCTTCTCCGCATCCTCTTCTTCTTCCTCCTCACTCTGCAACACCTCTCCGTCCCCTTCCTCCCCACCTGCGCCCCACCCTCCCGCTCCCCCCCTCCCACGCCCCCCCACCACCCTACTCGACTGAAAGTGCAGCAGCAGCGGCTCAATCAGCAGCAGCTGCTGCAGCCGCTCCCGTTCCGCTGCACCCCTCTCTGCTTCTGCTTCTGACACCTCGCCGTCCCTCCCTGCCCCCCCTGGACTGAGGGACTTAAGGGGACTAGAAAGTAGAGGAGAGGCGAAAGAAGCAGGAGGAGGGGGAAGGGAGGACCACGGGGAGAAGGCCACCTGAGTGACTGTGATCCTGGACGAGATGGGAGTCACATCTGTTACATCTGCTGCACCGCGGTTACCAGCAGTGAAGCTCCCAGCAGGCAGCACCCTGCCTGGAGTCACCAGCACCCCACCCGGCCCCCAGCCGACGCGAAAGGAGCGGCCGAGGAACAGCCCTGCATCCACTGCCACGCCGCTGCTCCCCTCCCCTGGCACCGTCGCCACCACCGCCACCGCCGCCACTGCCCTCGCCACCGCTGTTGCTCCCGCCGCTGCCCCTGCTGCTCCCCCTGCTGTGGTTCCTGTCCCTTTTCCAGGCAACGCATTTAAGATGGTCCATTCGAATCCTGCCGCGGCAACAGCACCAGGGTGCACATGCGCATGCACTCGGCCTTGCAGCCCTGAGACAAGCACAGCACTCGCCCCTCCCCCTCCTGCTCCTCCTGCTCCTGCTGCTCCTGCTGCTCCTACGCCTGCTGCACCTGCCTCGAACTCTGGGAAAACCCGGACGCCTCTCCTGCTGCCTGCTAGGAAGGAGGCCGGCTTCTGTGCTCCCCGCCCGCCTGCCCTCCTGTTGCCCCTAAATCCAGCTGCCCATGGGTTGGACCAAGGATCGGCCGCCTTTCTAGCCATACCAACACCACTGGCAGCACCACCAGTAGCAGCAGCGGCAGCTGCGGCAGCAGCACTGGCGGCAGTGGCAGCGGCAGCGGCCGCTCCTAGCATGCCGAACCTAGGAGCCTTCCCTGGCCCCCAGCCCTGCCAATCGGAATCCATCGCTTCCACCCCAAACCCCCCTTGCTTTCTCTTGGCACCCATCCCACCCATCCCACCCATCCCACCCCTGAACCCACCATTGTTGTACCCCTCCCCATCATTATCGCCATCATTATCTTCCTCAGTGGCACTGCGCCCGAACATGACCTGGCGCATCTGCTGCAGCCTGATTGGGTCAATCCCCAGCTGAGCTGGCAGCGCCCGGTCCAGTGACACGCCGCCAGGTGGCACAGACACCCTCCCACGACCGCGATCACCATCACCACCACCAACACCATCACCACCATCACCATCGCCACTCAGACCCTCGTCAGTCTCATATTCCTCCTCTCCCAACTCCCCATCATCCTCTCTCCCATCCTCCTCGCCTTCTCCTCTCCCCCTTCCCCTTTCCTCCTCCTCCTCCTCCTCCTCCTCCTCCTCCTCATCTGAGTCCTCCAGTCCGTACCGGCTGAAGTGTTGCACCTTGAAGCGCCACTCGCCCTTGGCGGCGTTGAACGACAGGAACTCCGCCTCCTGCTCCGCTGTCTTGCGCCGCAGCTTGCGCTCAAACCGCTCCACCTCCGGCCCCTCGGACACCTGGTTGAGGGATGCGAGGGAGGATGGAGGGGAGAGGGAGAGAGGGGGAAAATAAGATAGGGGCCTTGCAAGCCCACTCCGCCTCCTGCTCCGCTGTCTTGTGCCGCAGCTTGCGCTCAAACCGCTCCACCTCCGGGCCCTCTGTCACCTGCTCACAACACATGGCCGTTGGCACGTACAAACGGCAACGGGTGGGTGAGTCGCTCGCAGGATAGAGAAAAAGCGAAACAAACAAACAAACAACAAAACAAACAACCAAGCAGGGAAAATTAACAGGAAAGGGAATATGATCAAGCAGGGGCACTCACCGTCTTGCCGGTCTTCTTGTCAACACACACCACCTGCAGCAGCGTCACCTCCGCGGGCTTATTCAGCTCCTCCTCCACCGGCGGCTTGCTCTCCTCGTCCATATACACCAGAATCTCGCACTTGTGGAACTGCACGATCCCCTCAACATCCAGCCCCCTCACGTCCGTCTCGCCCAGAAACCGCACGCTCCCAAACCCCTTCCGCCCCACCACGAAATCCCGCACGCGCGCCAGCGACCCTGGGAGGGATCGTTCAAGCGCAGCCAGCGCTGACAGCGACGGCTCGGTGAAATAATCCGCGGATTTTAACTGCGGCAGCTGGGATTCGATCCCGGGACCTTTCGCACCGGTACCAGTGCCGCGCGAGGGGGAGGGCGGGGAGAAGGAGCCGTTCCAAGCAGGGGAGAGAGTGGGGGACGGCATGGCAGACCCAAACCCCCCTGTGGCTCCAGCGCGGGCAGCAGAGGGGCTCCTGGGGGACTGCGACCCTCCATTGCCATTCAGATCGGAAGAATCGTAGGGAGGAGCGGAAGGGGCGTAGAAGGCATCCCTGGGAGACGGCCCTGAAGGGGGCGACTGGTACTCTGATCCCTGCGGCGAACCCCCCACCCCTCCTCCGCCTCTCACAGGCGAGCCTGGCTTCTCCGGCGTTCCTACAGCAGCAGGGCTCTTTCCGTTCGGGCTCGCGTCAGCAGCAGCAGCAGCAGGGGCGACGGGGTGGCGGATGAAGAGCGCGCGCGGGTTGTCGCGGGGGACAAAGAGGGCGTCGGCGCGGGGCACAGCGGGGGAGATGTCGTCGTGGTCGGAGGGCGACGAGAAGAAGAAGGGCACGCGGGCCGTGTCGCGCCCGGGGTGGAAGTGGCGCGTGGCGGCGGTGTGGTGGTGCATGCGTGCACGCGTGCGCGGGGTGATGCGGCGGGGCGTGAGGATGGAGGAGACGCGCGTGCCTGAAGCGTAGCGGTCCGAGGCCTGTTGTTCAGGGAAGGGGGAGAAGTGGGAAAAGAAGAGAGAAAAAAAGTGTTTTTTAGAAAGAAGTCAGGGGTTGATTCGGGAATCAAATTCATGCGGCGCGCGGCCTAAGACTAGAAATTTATTGCTTGTTGTTCAAGAAACGAGGGGGGAGGGGGGGGGGGGGGAAGAAAATGAAACATGGGAAGAATGATGAGGCATAAGAAACAACAACCCATTAGTGAAAGTAGTGAAACAAAATAGGTCAACGCTGAAACGCACACAGGCCTGAAAAACAATTTCTAGGGTTTCAGGACTCACAGGCATGCTGGAAATGCCAAGCTCCGTGCTGGCTCTGACTCCTCCGGCAGCACCAAGGCCGAAGTTGGGCATGGCAGGCAGCACACCAAAGGGCGACTGGAGCAGCCCTGACTGCCCCCAGTGCTCTAGTGCTTGTGAACTCACAGGCTTAAATTATTTGCTTGTGGGGGTTGCTTCACTTACGGGCATGCTGGAAATGCCAAGCTCTGTGCTGGCTCGGACCCCTCCTGCAGCACCGAGGCCGAAGTTGGGCATGGCAGGGAGCACACCAAAGGGCGACTGGAGCAGCCCCGACTGCTGCAGCTGTTGTAGCATCTGCTGCTGCTGTTGCTGCTGGAGTTGCATTTGTTGCTGCTGTTGCTGCTGCTGTGACTGGCCGAACAGGCCTCCCGTGGCGGTCGCTCCGAGGCTGGCGTGGGAAAGGAAGAAAGTTTGAAAGTGGAGCAAAGGACAGGAGTAAGTCAGCTTATGAAAAGGTTGAAACTGCAACTGCTGCTGTTGCTGCTGCTGAGACTGACCGAACAGGCCTCCCGTGGCGGTCGCTCCGAGGCTGGCGAGGGAAGGCAAGGGTGGTTGGGAGGGGAGCAATGGGCAGGAGGAGAAAGACAAATAGTAAGGACTGCAAACGCTGCTCTATCAGACTGGAGCGGGGAGAAAGGGAGCTTCAGAAGGGTGCTGGGACGGAGGCAGAAACCACTTTTGAGATTTCCCAAAAGTGATTTCAACAGTGCTCTACCAGACTGGAACAGGGAGAAAGGGAGTTTCACAGGGGTGCTGGGAGGGAGGGAGAAGGGACGGCTTTTGAGGCGCCTCAAAGGTTATTTGAGGCGCCTCAAAAGAGCCGCTCTACCAGACTGGAGCGGGGAGAAAGGGAGCTGCACAAGGGGGCTGGGAGGGAGGGAGAAGAGACGGATAGTGGAAAAGCGAGATGCAAGTGAGCGAACACGAAGAGCCAGGAGAGACGAAAACAAAAAAGCATAGAAACCGAGGCGGAAGAGGGGGAGGTGGGAAGGGGAGGGGAGGGGGGAGAAGGGGAGGGAAGGGTGATAGGAGGAAGGCATGTGGGAGGAAAGGGAGGGGGCAGGCCGAGGAGAAGAGGACTTACGAGGCGCCGAAGGCAGAGGAGCCGAGCTGAGGGGTGGAGCCGAATAGCCCACCACCGACTGCATGGGAGAGCAGGGGGGGGAGCGGCGGGAGAGTGACGAGAGGCGGATAACTGATGCATTGCCTTACGGGGAACACGAAACGGTGCTACAGGTGAAAGCTGAGGGAAAGTTGGCAGTGGGAGACAGGTGTGCGACGAGAAGCGGGAATGTTTTTTGAGAATTCTCTGAGAATGTTTTTTGAGAATTCTCGGAAAGTTGGCAGTGGGAGACAGGTGTGCGACGAGAAGCGGGAATGTGAAGAACAGGTGGGATGGCATGGCATGAGCGTGTGAGTGAGGTGACTTTTGAGTCGACTCAAAAGTCACCTCGAAAGTTGGCAGTGTGAGACAGGTGTGCGAGGAAAAGCGGGAATGTGAGCACGAAAAGGTGGGATGGCATGAGCTCGTGAGTGTTTAAAAAAAAAACTAATAAGAGAAGCGGCTGGAGGCACTACAGCGCAACAACTACTCACACAGAACAGCACAGCAAGGAGAATTGTAAAAATACAGGTACAACACGAATGTTAGCCGCACAAGAGGGAACATAACAGCAATCCTAGTGCTCTTGAACCTGGAGGACTAGTGCAGACAGAGACTCACAGGCCGGCTGCGATGCTCCGAAGCCAGGCGTGGTTGCCGATGCCGCAAGCCCTCCGAACGAGGGGAACGAGGTGGCTTTTGAGTCGACTCATAAGTCACGAACAGAGCAGTTTCCAAGTCGTGGCAGCAAGAGAGTGAAGGGAGACTCACAGGCCGGCTGTGATGCTCCGAAGCCAGGCGTGCTTGTCGATGCCCCAAGCCCTCCAAATGAGGGAAACGCCTGCGGGGTGAGGCGTGTGGGGGGAGGAGATTGTAGCCACGACCAAGGGCAAATGAGGGGACAGTGTACAGAGAAAAGACGAAGAAAGGCAGAGGCGAGATAATGGCCATGCGATGCGACGACCAAGCGGAAGTGAGAGGATGAGAGTATTTTCTGTCTGCAATGGCGCATGTGTGTGTGAGAGAGAGCGAGAGAGCATGCACGTGCGAGAATAAGAGGAAACGAAGTGAAAAAATGGAACCAGAATGTGAAAGAAAGGCCCGTACCGAAGACTGAGTGAGTCCAGCCGGCTTGGTCTGAAACGCTCCTCCAAACCCAAACGCCGACCCGGTCGACGCGCCAAACAACCCCGCCCCAGTCGTGCCGCCCGCTCCCGCCGCCCCTCCAAACAGGCTCCCCCCCGCCGCACCAAAACCCGGCGCCGAACCAGCAGCTCCGGCCGAGCCAAACCCGAAACCAAGCCCGGTAGAGCCAGCAGCAGGCGTGGAGCTCCCAAACAGCCCTCCTCCCGTTGCTGCTCCGGTCCCAAACAGCGACGGCGTGGCACCAAACGCCGGAGTAGCAGCAGCAGCGCCGGGGGTCCCAAACGCGCCGGGGGTCCCAAAGGCAGGGGAGGAGGCGCCGAAGAGTGAAGCCCCGGGCTGTCCCGCCGCCCCTGCTTGCCCCAAAGGCGAGGTCCCTCCGAAGAGAGACGTGCCGGTGGACGCGCCGAAGGGGGATGCGGTGGCTGCAGCAGGCGAGCCGAAGAGAGAGGGCGTAGATGCTGCTGCTGCTCCAAACGGGCTGCTCGCAGTGGCGCCAGCAGCGCCGAAGAGAGACCCTCCCGTGGCTCCAAATGCCGGGGAGGATGCTGCTGCGCCGAAGGCTGGAGTTGACGAGCCGAAGAGGGACGGGGAAGTTGACGCGCCGAACGCGGGCGTGGCGCCAGGCGCGGCCGCACCAAACGCCGGAGCGGCCGAGCCAAACAGGCTCGGCGTGGACGCCTGGCCGAACGGGTTCGCAGCTGTGGAGCCAAACCCTGGAGAAGCAGCAGGTGCACCAAACGGAGACGCCGCTGCTGCAGGCTGGCCGAATAGCCCTCCGCCTGCCTGTGCTGGTGCCGGCCCGCCCTTGTCTCCCCGCTGGTAATCCTCCCAGCGGAGCTCCTCTGGGCTCTTGTTTTTGTAGGCTGGCATGGCTGATATGGAGATGAACTTGCCCAGCTGGCCCGCGGTGCCGGTTTCTGTGTCGTTGGTGGGCGTGTATGCGGGGTTTCTGCTGCCCGTGCCTGCTGCTGCTCCTGCTGCTCCGAAGGGTGTGGCTCCGAAGGTGGTTGCTCCGAATGCAGGCGCTGATGCTGGGAGGTAGGGGAGTGGGAAGGGGGAGCGAAGCAGGCAAGTGAATAAGAGGGAATGGGAGGGAATGGGAGGAGAATGAGAATGAAGAGAAGAGGCGGAACGGGGAAAACGGCAAGGGGAGTGCGGACGATAGGACATGGGGGGTTGTGAAGGGGATTTGGGCGGGAGCGGGGTGAGACGAGGGAGAGAGATTGGGGAAGCGAAGAGGAAGCATGGATACACTGGCAAGGGCATGGCAGCGAGACGATTAACAAGGGCATGGCAGGAGGAGCAGAAGACCAGTACGTGTACCTCCGAAGCTGGGCGACGCGAGGCTGCCAAAAGCAGGCGCGGAGGAGGAAGAGGAGAGTGAGGGGTGTTTCCGAGGAGGGGGGGTGGATATTGGGGAGTGGGAGAGGAAGGGCATGGCAGCAGAGGCCGGTACGCGTACCTCCGAAGCTGGGAGACGCAAGGCTGCCGAAAGCAGGCGCGGACGCAGCGCCGAACGCGGACGTGCCAGTGGACCCGAACAGCCCCCCCGTCGCGCCGAACGCCGGCGCGCACGCCGCGCCGAACGCGGGCGTCGTCGCGGTCGCGCCAAACGCGGGCGCGGCAGCGCCAAAGGCGGGAGCGGCGGCGCCGAACGCGGGCGCGGCGCCAGTGGCGGCGCCGAAGGTAGGCGTGGTGGCGGTAGAGCCGAATGCGCCGCCTGCTCCGAACGCCGACTGGGACTGCTGGCCGAAGGCGGGCGCTCCGAAAGGACTGGCCTGAGTTTGCCCAAACGTGCCGAAGGCTGCTGGCTTCTGCTGCTGCTGGCCGAACAGCGACGAGCCTGTTGGCGTGGTGTGGCGTGGGAGAAAAGAAGATAAAGCGACGGAGTGAGGAGAAGGTGGTGCCGGCAGTGGAAAAGGCAGTGAATGGAGAGATTATGATTCAAGATAAGAGAGCCAGCAGGTTGGATACAAAACGCAGTGCGCAAAAGGAATTTAGAACCGTTGTTATCTCTAATGCCCTCTGAGACCCATGTACGCCTAACAAACCACACGCGTATCGTTTTCTTAAATACGCGAACACCGCTTACCGCCGCCAAGCACCGCTTACCGCCGCCAAAAGGTGAAGCCGTGGACCCAAACGCTGGAGTCGACGCCGCTGCACCGAAAGCAGGCGCGGACGTCGCGCCGAAGGCGGGCGCAGAAGTCGCGCCGAACACGCTTCCTGTCGCCGCCCCTCCGCCGAAGAGTGATGTGCCCGCCTGGCCGAACGGACTGGCGGGAGTTGCGGACGCGCCGAAGGCGGAAGTGGCGCCGAAAGGAGACGCGGGCTGTGCCGCGCCGAACGGAGAGCCCCCCGCCGGGGCGAACGGGTTCGCCATGGCTAGATGCTAGCGTGAAGGATTAGGGTTTGAAGTGACTGAATGCTGGAGATTAGGGTTTGAGGTGACTGGAGGCTGGAAGTTGGAGTTTGGTATGGTGTAATCAAGGAGAATCTGCTATTTTTGTCTGCAAGCGTAGGAAATTTAAGGAAATCTATGAGCGATAGGTGAAGAGGAGAAGTAGCGCGGTGTGGCGAGGTTGCAAATTAGCTCCACCTCTAACCTGGATAACTCCGTGAATTACCTGGATAAGCGCACCTAAAAACCAGTCACGAAACTCGAGGAGCTCACGTAGGGTCCGCCATTTGGAAAATAAGAGCGTCTGACGACGGCAATGTTCACACCCTAGATCAGCTGGCACGCAACCATCACGCGCCCCTACGTACTGCTTGTGGTGGTAGATAATTCTGATCCAGAAGTAGCACCTTGGATCAGCCTTGGATTGGAGGAACAACCTCGAGAACAGATCTTGCCCTAAAGCACACAGGGAGGTACAGGAGCGCTGTGTTATGGTGCTGCTGATAAATGAAGCTTTGATTGATAGTGAGCGAAACGAAGCGACGGGATTTGCGTGCACGAACGGCAAACCTCGTGTAACACGCTTCCCACGAACCAATACGTTCCAGCAGCCGAGCACGCAACAAGGCGGGAAAGCGAAGACTTTGGTTGAAGCGTCGAGTAACATTGTTACGTATTCTAAAGCACTCGGTAAATGTCATGAATTAAATAACCCCACAAAACTTTCCATAAAGTGTTACGTATGACGGGGCGTGTAGAAACGAGGACGCGTCATGTCATTCTCGAGGACCAAGTCACCTTGGCAAGTCAAGCACTTCAGTTTCAATTAGTAGAAACCTATTTACCTAACCTGCACTCTTGTCAAATCTTACAGACTGGTAAGGCAATAAGATAAAGATATCACTCGGTCAACGAAGCCAGTGGAATAAAATACTGCTCACCATGTCAAGTTGGTGCCAGGCGTCTCGTCATTTCCGCCATGGGTCCTGCTTCGTGTGGAAGTGAGCAAGTGCTTGTAGGTGTCACGGAGAGCTCGTTTTTACCACACGCCCTCAGATCACCTCGGCGGCAGAACCTGTAGCCGTTGTTGAGACTCATTTGAACGTTCAGGCCGCGTCCGTTCCACCGTCGTCTAACCGCTTAGCCGTTCTTTCACTTGTAGAATCCTCCTACTCGTCCGTCCGTCCGTCCGTCCGTCCGACCGTCCGTCCGTCCGTCCATCCGTCCATCCGTCGGTCCGTCCGTCGGTGCGGCCGCCATGGGACCGCGGCAAGGCGTGCGTGCGAGTCGGCTTGTGGCGGCTCACACGCGGCTGCTCGTTCTCCTCTGCCTCGTCCTCGCCGCATCTGCCGCTCGCACGGCCGGCCACCGCGGTTCTGGTCAGTGCCCTCGCGCCCTCGCCCGTTGCCCTGGCGCTATCGTCCTATCTCCCTCACCCTATTTGCCCTATCGCTCCGGTTTCTCTTCCCGCTTCCTTCTCCTCTGTTCTGCAACTTTCCCCTTTTCTTTTTCTCGTTTCACTTCACCTCCTGCCCTGCTCGCCCTTTTCCCTCCCCACCTCCCTCACCTGCCCTATTGCCCTATTCCCCTATTCTCTCAACTGTTCAACACTGACACCAATCTCTCACCTCCTCGCCTTCTTCCGTCCACCGTCTCACTCTCACCCCTCCGCGTGCTCTCAACGTCAAATATCCCCCCTTCCCCTCGTCCATCTCTTCCGCTCGCCCTCTCTCCCACTTCCTTCACCCCCCTTGGTCCCCGCTTGTTCCCCCATTGATCCCCCCTCTCCTTGTTGTTGGCCTGGCCCCCTCTGGGTTCGCCCCTGAGTCCCTCTTTCCGACCCTCCCCACCTTCCCTGTTCACTTACAGGACGCCAATGGGGTAAGCACAGCAGCAGCAGCAGCAGCAGCATTCGGCACAGTCGGAGCAGCAGCCGAGGTAGCAGCAACAGTGAAGGTAGCACCAGCACCAGCACCAGCAGCAGCAGCAGCACCAGCAGCAGCAGCAGCAGCACCAGCAGCAGCAGCAGCAGCAGCACTGTCAACGCCCCGAACCCACCGGCACTTCCTCCTCTCCTTCCTCCTGCCGCACCTCCTTCCCCTCTTGCTCAGAAACCAGCACAGGCTCCTTCTTCAAAGCAACAGCCTCCTTCAAAGCAACAGCCGACTGCAGGTTCGACAGGTTCGGCAGGTTCGACAGGTTCGGCAGGTTCGACAGGTTCGGCAGCTTCGACAGGTTCGACAGGTTCGGCAGGTTCGGCAGGTTCAACAGGTTCAAGAGGTTCGGCAGGCTCAACAGGTTCGGCAATTTCAACAGGTTCGGCAGCATCGCACCAACCGCTGGTACCTTTAACCCAGGCGCAAACAGGAGGTGAGCGGCAATCACCTTCTCCTGTGAATGCGCAAGCCGGTGAAGCGCAGGGATTAGCAGACGCAGAAGCGCAGCAGCCAGCTAAGGCACCGCAAGTAGCACCACAGCAGATAGGCACACCACCATTGCATAAGGAGGGAGAGGGGAAGGTAGCTGGAGAGGAGAAAAGGAAAGGAGAGGGGAAGAAAGAAGGAGAGGGGGAGAAACGAGGAGAGGGGGTGAAGGAAGGAGAGAGGGGGAAGGAAGGAGAGGGGGAGAAGGAAGGAGAGGGGGAGAAGGAAGGAGAGAGGGGGAAGGAAGGAGAGGGGGAGAAGGAAGGAGAAGGGGAGAAGGAAGGAGAAGGGGAGGAGGAAGGAGAACGAGAGAAGGAAGGAGAAGGGGTGAAGGAACAAGAGGGCGAGAAAGAAGTAGAGAGGGAGGAGGAGGGAGAGGGGGAGAAGGAAGGAGAAGGTGGGACGGAAGGAGAGGGTGAAAAAGGAGTGGGGGAGAATGAAGGGGAGGAGGTGAAAGAGGGAGAGGGGGATAAAGGAGTGCCTGAAAAGGAAGGAGAGGGGGAAATGGCGGGGAAGGCAGTTAAAGACTCAGAGGAGGGAAATAAACAAGCACAGGCACAAGAACAACCAAACACCAAGCAGCAAGCCAAGCCGCAACAACAAGAGGCACCCCCACTGACGCCACAGCAGGCGGACGCGCTGGTAACCCTATCGCAAGACGTGCACGAAGCTGCAGACCTGCCGGAAGATTCCCAGAAGGTGCTGCTGGGCGGCATGGGGGCGGCACTGGTAGCAGCCAAGATGTGGCCGTGCAACCTGTTCGGCGGGCGGGCGGCATGTAGACCTGTAGCAGGCATTGGCCGGGGCAATGGAGCACCGAAGACGGGAGCAGGAGGGGCAAGAGGCGAGGAGAATGAGAAGGAGGAGGGGAGTGTGAGAGTGGGGATGATGCAGCAGTGCGCCGTTGACCTGGTCAACCCCACAGTTGACTGCGCGTACACTCTAGAGGAGCGGGAGGGGCAGGCGCTGGACCCGGACGTGGTGGTGCGAGCGCGGCTGCAGCAGGAGGGGTACTCCCCGCCCTGTGAGCCGTGCCTGCAGGCGCTGCACCGCTTCTGGTGTGGCCAGACTGTGCCCACGTGCGGCACCTTTGGGAAGATACTGGACGAAGTGCTGGTGAGTGCAGTGCAGTTCCCGGGTTTTGCCGTGTTGTGCAGTTGTCAGTTGTCTGGGCTCCCGCGGTTGAGGCTGTAGAGGCTCGGAGGGGCAGGCGCTGGACCTGGATGTGGTGGGTGCGGATTCCTGGCTGTGGAGGCCTTATTTCCATCGACTCAGTAGGTATTTGCGTGGGAGGAGCAGGAGGGGCAGGCGCTAGCTAGACCCGGATGTGGTGAGTAACGATGGGCCAGGAGAAGCCTGACAAAGCAGGTGTTTGCTATCAGTGTGATGCTTAAGTGCTCTTATTACTTTCCCACCCTCCACTTATCACCCCACCGGCAGCCCGAGTTGCGCCAGATAACGACGGGCCAGGAGAAGCCTGACGAGCTCATAGAAGCCGCCCTCCCTCGAATGCTCGCAGCCTTTTCTCTCGGACTGCCCTGCAAAGAGATGTGCCTCGAAGTCACCTCGCTGTGTAGCTGCGGCCAGATCACCACATTCGGGCAGGCGATGGAATTTTTGGAGGCTGCCCGTCCGGGCAAGGGGCCCAATGTAAGGGTGCCCGTTGGATTCACAACGGGGATGTCGAATCGGACGGCTGAGAAGATCTTCAAGCATGTGTGGGATCGGCACATCTGTGACCTCTTCTCTCCGTCAGTAAGTCTGTTGTTCCTCTTATCTCAGCTTTCCCACTCTTCTTCACTCAGCTTTCCTCCCCTTCAGCTCTCACCCTCACTCTCACTCTCACTCTCACTCTCACTCTCACCCTCACTCTCACTCGCACTCTCACTCACACACGCCCTGGCTGCTGGCACTGGCAGGGTATGCCAGGTTTTCAGGGCAAGTGCTCCAAGCACACACAAAAGGAGGTTTTTTTGAGTTTACTCAATAATCATTCGGGCTTTTACCAGCACTACACCAAACCCTCAACCCCTCTCTCTCACTATGGCTGCTGCTGGCACTGGCAGGATATGCCCGGTTTTGAGGGAAAGTGCTACAAGCACACACGAGAGGAGGTCATGGCGCAGGCGGGTGGTTGTGATTGGTGCAAGGGAGATGCGGACAGGCCCGATGAGATGGCGGTGGAGATTGTGGCGCAAATGGCACAGTCTATATCGAGTATGATGCAGGTGAGGCAGTCTATATCAAGTATGATGCAGGTGAGTCAGTGTATATCGAGTATGATGCAGGTGAGTTGCTCTGTATTGAGTAGGATGCAGTTGAGACAGTATCGAGTGTGCTGGTCCTTAGGACATGCGTACGCAAACCCTCCCATTTTATCTCCATTCTCCTCTCTCTCCCACACAACCTGCAGGCTGGGTTGGAGCAGGTTCTCTTTGCCGCGGCCTTCCCCTTAGCTTCAGTCAGCCACCACGTGTCACGCACCCGCGCTGCTGCTGCTGGCAGAAGCACAGGTGCTGGTGGTGACAGCGGCGCTGCTGCTGCTTCTACTGGTGGTGCTGCTGCTGGTGCTGTCAAGGGTACTCGCACAGGTGCTGGCAGTGGTGGAAGGGAGGGGGAGGCTGAAGAGGAGGAACGAGGGGGCGAGGAGGAAGCAACAGAGGCACCTGCAGGGGGCGAAGCAGCAGAGGGCGAACCAGCAGCGGAGGCACGGGCAGAGGAGGAGGAGGTACGGGAGGTGGAGACAGAGGAAGCAGCTATAGAAGCGGAGGAGAAGAAGGAGCTTAATTTCGGGGGGATCGAGGAGGGAGAGGACAGTGCAGTATCGTGGGATCCCCCTGAACAGGTGCTGGGCACTGCTGGGGCTGCGGATGTTATGGGCGACATGGAGACAGGCGGCCGGGCGGCAGGCGGCCGGGCGGCAGGGGGGTGGGCGGCAGGGGGAAGGGCGGCTGAGGGGAGTGCTGGTGGCGGGAGAGATTCTGGAGTGGTGAAGGGAGGAGGAATGGAGAGAGGAGAAGCTGGGGCCGTGGTTGGAGGAAGGGACGTGGGGAGGGCGAGTGGTGGGGATGCAGGAGGGTTGAAGGGAGCATTGCAGGGGGTTGAGATGGGTGGAAGGGAAGGAGGCATGGCAGGAGGAGGTGGTGATGTGGGCTTACATGGTTCGTCGGACAAGAGGGTGCGAGAGGAGGACGCGGAGGACGATGAGGAGGAAAGGGAGATGCAGAAAGCAGAGGAGGAGGAAGATGCTGCAGAGGCAAGGAGCAGCAGGGATCCTGACAGCAGCAGTAGCAGCAGAAGTGGCGGAAGCAGCAATGCGGGATCGCCCAAGAGCAACACCAGCCCGACAGTTGACCCCTCCTTTGAGCCTTCCTTCAACACAGAGTTCGGCGAGCCGTCTCTTTCCTCCTCCTCACCATCAGCGGAAGTGCCTTTGCAAACCAACAGAGGGAGCAGCCAGGACGGGAGTGGGGGGTCGGTGTGGTTGGGGGTGCTGCTCGTGGTGGTGGTGGGTGGAGTGCTTGCGGCGTTTGCAGCGCTGCAGCTGATGCGGAGGCAGAAGTGGAGACGGGCGGCTGATGGTGGGACATCGTATGTGCAGGTGCAGGAGATGGCGTATGTGCCTCCTTCCCTCTGAATTGTGATGTTTCGACGAAAGAATCGTTATATGGTCTTATCGGTACCTACCGGTACACCACTGCACCATAACGAAGTTAATGTACCTCCCACTTTTCTCTAAGGAAGCCGAAGGGGATTATTACTTTCTAGACTAGAACGTTGTGATGCAAGGATAACCCACTCCAGACTTTCCTGTCAATGAATTTGAACAAAGGTGATCTATACGCCACCATCAAGCAATCTAGGTAAACCTTCTAGAGTTCCGTAACTCTTGGCTCCAGACTCTGCCAGCTGTCACCAACCCACCATCACCACTTAACTCTAAGCTTATAGATGCTGCAGGGTGGGAAACAAGCACGGATTGATTGAGACGAAGCTGATCATTAGTCTGATCAATGGTCAGTGGAATCAAAAGCGGGATGACACAGCATATCCAAGACATCTGACGAAATCTCGGGCAAATAACAACGGAGAAGTGGTGTTCCCTTCAAAACCACCTGTGTCTTCATATTCTCTCCTACCAGATCAGAATATGATGCGGAATCGCGGCGCCTCTCCACCTCCTGACGGCAGCACCTCCCATCGGCACGGCTCTAGATCGTCCGACACCGGACAGTACCCCGCCAGCGTGGACTTATCTTCCGAGACCGACGCGGACCCGAACTCGAAGACGTTCGTGTTGCTCATGTCTGGAGAGGTTCCTTGCGATGGGGATGCTGCGGGAGCGGGAGCAGGCTTGCTGCTTTCCTTCGAGGGTTTCGATCCCTTCGCGGATTTCTGAGAAGAACTCATGGTGAAAAATGGAGGGAAATTAAGCGAGGAATAACCAGAGGAAGATAAGGAGGTCAGCCTCTTTGATGGATTTCGAAGGGTGATGGGGCAGGCTGATAGGGCTGACTGGAAAATGGTCCACTAGTAAAAAGTTGGGAACAGGTATGTGATGGCGATTTTCCGTTGATGCCTTATTTTGAGAATCTCGGCTCGGCTGGTTCGATAATGTTTTCGTTGCCGATTTGTTACCATGAAATTCATATCGTGATTACACTCGCCAACCCCGAACATGACTGCTAGCGGACCTCGCTGGTTGCAATTCTTTGCCGTTGATCTCTGATTTGTTTCCTCGCAACACCAACCTGAGCCGTACACTGTAGCCACTCATATGAACCTGCGATTGATTCTGGTTTCGGATGTGTGATGTGTTCCAGATCGAAGAATCTGCAACGCGAGGGAACAGGTCCTTCCCACATTGCTGGAGTCAAAAACAGCAGTGCCCTACTTTCAGGGTGAAATTTGCAAGTCCGCATACTCTCGTACAGCCTTGGGATCTTCAATTCGAGCCCTAGATCTTGGCGCAAAGCTGCTAACTTCAGCTCTAATCGATCAGTCTAACCAGTCCTTCCTTTCAATTCCCGCCATATACAGCGGCGCGAAGTCGTACGCAACCTCATCAAGGTACCATATCTGCGGTTCTGGAGTCCTAGTTAAGCCGTCATGTGATTGTTTCGTAGGATCCCTTAGGCCCATATTCTTGACCGCAGTGATCCTCGTCCTGATTGTTTCCATCAACGCTTATGGCAGATGATCGACGATCAAGATCTCGGGTTTTTCGCGAACGTCCTCGGCATCACGATCTTTATGTTGGTCGTGGCGTATCACTACGTGCTAGCAGACCCTAAGTATGAAGGCTGAGACTAGGGGGTAGCGAGGATGATTTACATGTGGTTGCGTCGCTTAGACCACCCCACCCAACCCAACCCCCCTTACTTTTTGTATCAATACAAGCGTTGCCCATAGCGTTTCATTACCCATTTTTAACTTCCCATGCACCAGGATTTGGGATTGAAAAGGTGGTTTTTTACATTTGGCATCCACAGCAGCGCCATTGCATTTGGCATCCACAGCAGCACCATCCATTTATCACAGCCTTACCATTACGTGGAGCACCTGCAACCAGGTTCAATACCACGTTCACTGTGGCCATGCCCCAACTACCCTTGCTGATGGCCAAGCTGCTGATTCCTCATGGGCTAAACATCCACTTGAATGTGCTGCTCATTAAGCATAGCATTGCTTAAATGCTTTCCAGAGCAACTATTGAAAGAATTTGAAACAATATCGTACAGCCTAAGGCCTGAACTGTGTCAACCTAGCTTCGCTTAGGCTTTTGCCTAATCATGCGAACTATTGCGTTGAGAATCTTGGAGAACCAGAAAGTGCTGACTGCTTGGATCGCCACTGCACCCACCTGTGACAGAACCAGCACCACACAGATACGTAGAAACAAAACATCCTACAGAGTGAGACAGGAGTGCACTATTTATCGGACGTGGTGACCGATAGGGAGGGATGGAGAGGGGGAGGAGAGGGGGGGGGGGGGGGGGGGGGGGGGGGGGGGGATGGGAGGTGGGAGGGAGGGAGAGAGGGGGTAGTGGGTGGAAGAGTGAGAGAGGCATAGACAGAAAGAAGCAGGGAGAAAACAAGGCACAACAAGGCTGAACAGTGGGACAGTGAGGAACGCCAGTGGTTACCTTAACGGCAGTGGGGCTCGTCCCAATAACAGTATTCCATGTTACCACCGGGCCAACGACCATGCGGGCCATTGTGAAGGAAAGGAGAAACGCCAGCTGCAGCCATGTCACACAAGAGATGGGAGGAGGAAGGGTGGTAGGTTAGGGAGGAAGAGAGTCAGAGTAAGCGGGTGAGAGAGCACAGCGCAGGACAGGAAACAAGGGACATAACGAGGGTTCAGCAGTTTGTCCACAAAAGGATTTAGGAGCTTGAATGTGTTGTGCAGTGCACGGGTTAGTACAGAAGCTGGTTTTCAAACTGCAATGCAGAATGTTTACTAGAGACGGTCTCACATCAACAGCAAAGGTGAGAGCAGACTTGGGCGCATCGAGCTCGCAAAGCATCTCCCTGGCGTGCATGAAGGGGTTGGACAGCTCCACCAGCCACAGGCACGCCATCAACTCCTCCCCACACTGCTCTAGGGAACGGTTGGAAGTTATGCAATGAAAGTGGAGGTAGTGTGTGACAATGGCTGCTGAGAGCAGACCAGGGTAAGGACAGAACAGCTAAATTCATGCAAAACAGTTTCACAGGTTCGTTCATGGAGTTCCTAGTAAAAGTTTATGCGTGCCACGTACGTACCCGACCAGAAATGAGGCCAAAGGCGAATCCGGCTATGGAAAAGATGTGGTGGAAAGCGTTGGCCCAGTCGAATGTGACGTCGAACATGCAGCAGATGAAGTCGTAGAGGAAATAGCTGAGGCTGATTACCATGGCTTGGACCTGGTAATGGTGATGTGGTATGCAAACAAATGGGCTTTTGAGGCGCCTCAGAACAAGCAGCGGATGAGGTCATAGTCTCATAGATGAAACAACTCAGGCTGATCACCATGGCTTGGGCCTGGTGGTGACGGGGCACGCGAACAAGTGGGCTGGATGAGCAGGATCGAACACAAATGTTCTTTTGTCATGCATCCAGGAAGCTTGGAGAATGTAAAGATGCCAATGGATGGTGACTTTAAGATGAACCCACACTTGCCAGCAGACTTGGTCAAAAGTGCTGAAGAGCTAAGAAACTGAGAACCAGGCATTGCTTTGCCTAAAAGGGGACAATTCGCTGAGTCCGTTCGAAAATCTATACAATATAAACCCCCCACCTTCCCCCCCCCCCTTCTCCACCTCCCCACCACCACCACCCCCACCACACACAGACAGTGTGCCGAGATCTAAATCCTCCGGTCAAGGGAGTCACCTGAGGAAGGGTGTTGCGGCCTCCGAAGTTCCCGAGCGGATCCGACCAGTTGAGAGCCCTTGTAGCAAGGGCGAGAGCAATGACCACGTGCACCTGGTGATGAGAGGGAGACGAGAGGGCGATGAGACATGCGGAATAAACGGTATACAAGCACGTGAGAGAGGCATAGACTCCATTGATGGCATGCATTGTAAAAAAGAGACAAAGTGCATTGTTAGCAGCTATATGGTGCGTGCACATTGTGCACCTAAAGGTCAAGCAGTGATGTATGTGTGGGCTGAGAGAATTGAATCTGGAGACAGGCCTTAAGAAGCGGTCAACAATCGCGGATTTTGGCGCACTTGCGTAACTTGCCTGCGAGACGGCTCGGTTACAGAAATCGAAGGAGACGCGCGACAAAACAGAGAGACGGAGCGTGAGGAAGAGCAGAGCCCATGTTCCAGTGGCGACGACGAGCGTGTGCAGGAGAATGTAGCTCTCCTCCTCTGACAAGCTCCGCCATGATCCCGTCGGGAGATGCTGCAGTATGGTCCCTGGCGGAATGTCGAGCCATTCCTGAAGCTTCGACGGCATTGCGGATTAAGTCTGGAAATGGCAGAGATTGTTACCGATCTAGAATTCGCTTGTCCCGAACTGGATCAGCGATATTAGGAAGATGGTAAATGGTAAATGAGCGCCGTCAATAAAACAACAGGCGATGAGAAAACCCCTCACAGCTATTGAAGAAGTGCGAGTTGTTTCAGCGGCGAAATGCTAAATGAATTGGATCAAGTGTGCGCTGATGCTGGGAGGGTGTTTGCGGAGAGAAAAGAAACCATGAACGCACTATCAACTGAGTTCTCTTGCACGGACATGACTGACCAAGGCAGGAACAAGCTGTTTGTTTAGTTCGCGGTTTAGCTGACCAACGTTAAATCGTGTTGGAAAAACGTTTTTCACTGGTTGGGTGAGGTGCTGCAAGTAATTATCTCTTGCGTCTCGCTGAAGGCATGAAAGCGAAACTCTCGAGGTTTCACTGGCTGGGCTTTCAAACAGAGCAATTTGATCAGCCAATCAGACCGCAATTGAAAGCCAAGTTCCCGACTCTTGAAACAATCCCCGAGACTTAGAGGAAGCCGCTAAGTGATGCCGCTTTAGAGTCACGCCGGTAGCTTCTTACTTGCGTAAGCATCAACATGTACCAGGTAACTACCCTTGTACCATCTTCCATGGCTATCCCGACTACAACAAATTGCACTGGAGCCATAGCTGTTATAAATTTCCACTAGTGCACCCCCTCTCCTGATTTCTCGTAGCGCTGAATCCATTAGCTCTACGCTGATTCCAGCGCCTTTGATCAACCTTGGTGAGATCAATTGGCTTTCAAACCTACCTTGTCCAACATGGGGATAGCACCGTCGTCGCCGTCCCCTGCGGCGGACAGATCGGACATATCTGTGGTGTCGCAAGCCGAGGCACAGTTTCCGCCTCAGGAATTAGCTCGAATAAGGATCTTGTTTTCTCAGCTGGTACAGCGTGGTAGACTCGGCAAAAATACCCGCAACACTATCCCGGCGCAGGTCCTAGCGGTGAGTACACGTAACCTTGCAGGCAAGATGATCGAGCAGTTTCTGACGGACAACTCTATTTACGTATGATTGTTGATATAATTCCTATTTTACTTTTGCTGTTTTCCCATGCAGGACGAGCTGAAGGTTTTCCTTCCTCTGGAAGCGCTGCCATGTCCGTTGCTGCGCTTTGTCATGGAGCTCCAAAACCAGCAGCAGCAGCAGCAGCAGAGGCAGGCAGAAGCAACGACTCACGGACCCCCAAAAAGCAGGGAAGACAGGGATCTGACCAATTCTGTTGTTGCTAATAACTCGCTTACTGCCAGTGGTTCATCTCCTTCTGCAGCTTCTTCTTCTGTTGCTGCCGTTGCTTCTACTGATACTAGTGCTTCTGCTGCTGCTGCTACTGGTTCTACTACTCCTGCTTCTGCTGCTCCTCTCTCACGTGTGGCTGTTGAGGCGTTATCGCGACAAGTGGCAAGAGCAATCGCTGCAGACGTGTTCGGGGTCCGCTTCAGGAAATCAGTACGAGAATCGGGCGGCAAGAAACCTAGAAGCAACAGCACCAGGGAGGATTCAAGTGGTCTGCGGGACGGTTCAGCAGAGCAGGTAGCAGCTGAAACTATTGAGCAAGACTGGGAGGCGTTTTGGATGGGTCCGATGGATGGTGTAAGTGACTTGAGTGATGAGGAGGAGGACGAGGAGGAGGAGAAGGACGAGGGAGAGAAGGGAGAATTAAGAAAAGATGCTGGATCAGATGCTGGTAAAAGAGATTCCATGTTGCCAGCTGTCAGGCGTGTTGCTGATGGTTCCACCTGCACTGACGCTGCCGGATCTGATTTCCAGATGCGCAGCTGCTCTGCCAGGGATCAGTCACAACAGAGCCTTAGCACAGCCAGCGGTGGAGGTGAAGGTACTGCTAGTGGTGCTAGTACTGGCGGTAGTGGCGGGACGCTTGGGACTGTGAGCAGGAGGGCGCGGGTGACTTGGGAGGAGTTTATCGTTGGTCTCGCGGGATGCTGCAAGGAAGCTTCGTCAGCAGCTCGCATGAGAAGGCTGCTGCGAGTCATGTCTCTCATTCGTGTGGCGCTCGTCCCGCCAGCTGCATGCCCCCCTCCGTTACAGTCACAAAGCTCACAGCCACAGACCTTACAGTCACATTGCGTAGAGTCACAGATCTCCAGCTTGGATCAGAATGATGCACGTGCCTGCAGTGACGAGCCCCGCGACCGTTTCCCCATCATGCCGTCCATCCCATGCGCTCCCTCGGTGGCCCACGCCCCGCTCTCCACGCCACACAACCTGGAGGGAGAAGCTCAACTGCAGCCGCAGTCGCAGCAGTCACAGCAGCAGCAGCAGCAGCAGCAGCAGCAGCAGCAGCAGCAGCAGCTAGGGGTTGGGGAAGGTGAGAGCAGGGAGGTGCACGCATGGCACGTGTGGCTGCTTTTCCTCACGTGCTGGGCGATGGAGCAGCAGGCGGAGACATTGGGCCAAGACAAGGCAGACAGTGGTAGTAAAGTTGTTGATGGGGGTGCAGATGGTGATGGGGATGGGGATGGGGAAGGTGGTGGTGGTGCAGATGCTGATTTCGCCAACGTGGCAGCACACTCCAATGATCACTCTACCATACCTCCAGACATGCTCCACATGCTGCAGAGCCTTGCTCGGGGAGCTGCTGCAGCTGCTGCCACTGAGAGCGCTGCTGCCACAGAGAACGCCGCTGATATTTCTGTGCTTGTGCCTGCTGATGCTACTGATAGCGGATCAGCCTATAACGAGTCTCTGCCTCGCCTGGAGTCGGCAAAGCTCGTGTCATGGCTGCTGGGTCAGCTACCAGGTCTATCCACCCGCCTATCAGCCTTCGTGCTTCACCGCTTCGCCTCACCTCCTTCAACCACGCATGATGGCAGCAATGCAGGGCCCCCGCCCAATCCCACAGCTCCCACGGTTTTTCACCCTGCCTCTTTGCCTCCTGCCATCACAAGCACCTCTGCTGCTTCCACTAAGAGCACCGATTCCACCAATGGGATCCCAGAAGCCATGCCACGTGGCGTTGCCTGGGCGCTTGACATGGCGTTTCCAGACCCTCTAAGTGCAGCAGGGATGTCACGGGCAGGAGCAACAGGAGCGGCAGGAACAACAGGAGCCACAGGAGCGAAAGAGCCTACAGCGCATGGTGCAAGGGGGGGCGTGGTGCACGGAGCACAGCTGCTGTACCGGGCGTCCCTGCATGGCCGTGGCATTCGCCGGCTCATGGCTCAAACTGAAGGGTATGGTGGTCCCTGGTTGCTGCTGCTCTCCCTCCGCCATCCCCCCTCCTCTCCTCTCTCCTCCTCCTCCTCCTCCTCCTCCTCCTCCTCCTCCTCCTCCTCCTCCTCCTCCTCCTCCTCCTCCTCCTCCTCCTCCCCCTCCTCCTCCTCCTCCTCCACCACCTCTCACTGCCACTGCGGGGGTCTCCTCTCTCACTGCAACCGCCTGTGTGTGTCAAAGCAATCCCCGTGGCTGGTGGGCGTGATGGCATCTGCTGCTGTGGCCAATGCTGATGCCTACTCTGGTGATGCCAGGGGTTGTGCGCTCATGCAGCTCTCGCCATCCTTCGCTCTCTATAAACCCACTGGTGAGTTTTCCTCAATCTCTTGAAACAATTGTCATGGGCGCCTTTGAGGCTATTTTTGAGGCTCCTAAAAAATGGCCTGCTGCTACTGCCAATGCGGGCGCTTATTCTGGTGACGTCTGGGCTGTGCTCTCATGCAGCTCTCTCCTTCGCCCACTGGTGAGCTTTCCTCCTGTTCTTGAGACAGTTTAATAAAACGTCTGTGAGACAATCTTTGAGACGCCGCAAAAATTGTCTGCTGAACTCGCAAGAGGCTGTGTGCTCGAGGCTCCTTCTGATGCCAACTCTGGTGGCTCGAGGGGCTGTTTTCTCTCTCATGCACCTCTCTCTCGTCCTTCTTTGCTCTCTCCGTCCTTTGCTCTGTATATCCCACTGGTGGATTCGCTAGCCTTGGGTCCAGTCGTTCTGCACCTCCTGCATGCCTCTCACTTTCCATCCACCAGCGGCTATTCTTCTCCTACTCTCCCTTTCGCTTTTTTTTTTTTTTTTTTTTTTTTTTTTTCTGTTTCGTTCGCCATTCCATCTACCCTTCCGTCCACCACCTCCGTCCCGCCAAACCAACCAGGTCAAGCTAATAACTTCATCTGCACTCCATCGGCAAAGATAGGGGGCGGCACCGTTGGTGCTGGTGGGGCTGGTAGGGTTGGCGCTGTGGGGAGGCCAGCAGCAGCAGGGGGGAAGGCGAGGGTGTTGGGGATAGGCGTGGGGGGCAGCAGGGGGAGGGAGCGGGTGTGGGTGGATGAGGAGTTTCGAAGTGCTGTTGTGAGGCACCATGCAGTGGATAAGACGTTCCGGCCGGGCCACCTGCATCCGGAACAGGTGGGTCTCAGAATGGCCAAAATTGAGCGGGTGTGGGTGGATGAGGAGTTTCGATGCGCCGTTGTGAGGCATCATGCCGTGGATAAGACCTTCCGACCAGGCCACCTGCACCCTGACCAGGTGAGCTTTGGGGTGGGAGAGGGTGCAGGTGGCCTGGTCGGAAGGTCTTATCCACGGCATGATGCCTCACAATAGCACCTGGTGTGGGTTGGGTCGTGGGTGTGGGTTGGATGAAGAGTTTTGTTGGGTCGTTGTGAGGCACCACACACCACCTTGTAAGTAAGTCTTTCTGGCCAGTTTATCTGCAGCCCAACCAGGTTACGGATGCATTTCCAGCTATGTGTTCCCTCCTCCTCGTCGTCTTCTCTGTACTTCTGTTCAAGCTTTTCCCCTCAGTTCATCAATTCAGACTATTTTCGAGCTTGTATTGGTGTATGTTTTTATGTCCAATTCCCATGCCCGGATGTGCAGGGTTATGCGGAGCTGAGTGTGCGAGTGGAGGATGTAGCTGTGTGGGGTCTGGGCGGCAAGGCAGCAGAGGACAAGAGGGTGGCCTTTCAGCAGCGAGAGCAGCTCTTCACAGAGCAGAGGAGGAAGGTGAGAGATGGGTGAGGCCGGTGGAGTGGAGCAGAGCAAAAGAAGTGTGGGAGGGGTAGCTTGGAGGGTTGAGCAGAATGGAAGGATGTTTTTTTCACTGCCCCAGATGAGTCGACTCAAACATCAGAGCAGCTGGGTAGCTGGGGCTGACAGTTGCATATCAGCGTCTCCCACATCAATGCTTTCACTGCTTGCATTGTTTCTCTGACAGGAGCTGCCTTTGTGGCCCAATTCAACACCACTGCCTATCCTTCCATTCCCCACTTCCACCACATGCACCTCCCACCACATGCACCTCCCACCACATGCACCTCCCACCACATGCACCTCCCACCACATGCACCTCCCACCACATGCACCTCCCACCACATGCACCTCCACCACATGCACCTCCCCAGGTGGATCTGGCCAAGTTCGTGGGCAAGTGGGAGGACGCCCCTGAGAGGGTCATGCTGGACATGGTCACCAACCCCAACAAGCCCAGCAAGGAGGACCGGTAGCAGCAGCAGCTGCCTGTGTGCTGAGACGACGCAAGACATGATGGCTCTGAGAGGGTCGTGCTACACATGGTCACCATCCCAACAAGCTTCCAAAGGAGGAGCCATAGCACTGGCTGTCTTTGTTCTGGGGGTAGGAGGCAGAGATGGCTGCAGAAGGCTCCGCACTCGGGATAACCTCCGTATCACAGCTGCTCTGAGGCATCTCAAATATGAAATGGAACTCCAACACGCCCTTCAGGGTGCAAACGAACCCCTTCAGTGAGCTGGGGAGATGCCACGGCTGGTGTGGCGGTTGCACTCTCACGATGGTGCGTGCACCCTAGCTGTACTGTACAGTCTCAGTTCGTCTCTGTACCACTATAATGCGGGTAGTAATACGGTAACACAATGTTCAGTGTACATAGAGCGCCAATGTAGGCATGGTATGTGCCAGTTTGATTCTATGCTGTACAGTTCCAGTTCATTGTCCCGTCCGTCTCGCACTACCATTAGCTCCCATTTCCCTGCCTCCCTGCCTCTCTGCCTCCCTGCTTCCCTGCCTTCAGCCTTCTGACTCCTGCCTCTGCGCTCTCCCCACGGCACATTCATGCAAATTCTTAAAAGTGACTCCTGTCCTGTGCTTTTCCACCGCTCACCGTCACTTGGGTTCACAGATGAACCGATACCTACTGTACCGTACTTCACTAGTGGGGGGAGCGGTATACACAACAGCAAATGCAGCCAGTCAAAGCACCAGCTGTAATTAGGACTTAGGTGTCAACTGGCTGGCCAGGACACTATGTACACAAATGCCGTACAAGTACCGTACCCTAGTTACTAGTTTACTCCTAATCACTGTTACACATGGACCTTTTTCGGAAAGTCGGCACCGTAAGAAGAATCATGTATGTAGCTGCCCTACGATTGATGAGCAGTGGCCAGACTTGAACAGTCCACCGTGCTCACGCACACTCCTTGCAATCAATCAAACGACAAACCAATCAAAACCAAATCACAACAAGCAGCCAGCCATGCGCGCTAGCTTAGCCTCATCCCTCGCAGCCACCTCAGCCAGCAACCTTCCCTCCTCCTCCACCCCCCGTTCCAGAACAAGTACTAATCCACCAACGCCCTCCTGCCTTCCACCGCACGCCTATCCGCCTCCTCTGCCTGCCTCCCTACCCCACACAGCCGCCGCCGTTCAGAAATCATTCAACAAATCACAGCAAGCCAGCCATGCGTGCCAGCTTAGCCTCTTCCCTCTCAGCCACCTCAGCAAGCATTTTTTTCTCCTCCTCCACCCCCTGTTCAAGCTTCTCCTTCAAAACACCCAAGTACTTATCCACCAACGCCCTCTTTGCCTCCACCACACGCCTATCCGCCTCCTCGGCCTGCTTCCCTATCTCACACAGCCGCTCCCTGGTCGCCTGTTCCAGGCAGCGCATAGTCGCTCGGCTCCTCCTCCCTGCTTTCGTGCTGCAGAAGTCCCACGCACCAGGCCCCTTCTTCCTCTTCTCATCGCCACCAGCGGCCTTCCCGCCCCCAGCGGCTTTCCTCTCCCCATCGCCACCAGCGGCCTTCCCGCCCCCAGCGGCCTTTCCCCCCCCCTCCCCGTCAGCAGCCTTTTTCTCCCTGCGATGATCGCTTCTGTGACTGCCCTTCCCAGCCACCCTGTTCTCACGACCAGGAGAAACACCGGACGAAACACCAGCCTCTCTCACAACCCCTGCCATGCCCTCAGGCTTATCAGCTGCCGCCGCCAGCTTGCCGCGGTGGGTGGAGCTCTTCAAACCCTTTCGCAACACATTGCCACCAGCCACCCTCTGAGACGCCGCAGAGCTCTTCAAGCCCTTGCCTGAAGCATCCCCATCAACCACCTCTCCAACATCATCATCACCCTCACCATTCTCACCATTGCCAGCGCTGTCATCAACCCTTCTGTCATCAGCCAAGCCATCACCAAGTGGTTCCCGCTCCTCCTGCCTTCCTTCCCCACCCCCCCTTCCCCTGCCCCTCCTCGCACCCTCCCTCACACCCTCCACTGCACCCTCTGCCTTCCGTTTCCTGCCACGGAGAGGTTGACCAGGAGACCGAACAGCGGCAGCAGCACCAGCAGCGGCAACAGCATACCTAGCAGCCCTGCGACGGCGGGGGCCAGCAGCGGCCAGAGCAGCGGTAGTAGCTGCTTCCACCTGCCGCTGCCAGTCAGGGGGGCACGGCACCCCCGCCGCACTCAGAAAAAAGCAGATCTCCTTGAACCGCCGCGGCCACCGCCCCTGCAACCTCCTCTTCAGCGTGCGGGGAGCATCGTTGCCGCCCGCCTGGAACGGCTTGGGCGGCTGGCGCAGGCGGTGCTCCTTCAGGCTCTCGAGAGCGCGGTGGATGTTGGGGGGGTATTCGTCGAATGGCTGGATGAGGAGAAGAGGCAGAGGAGAGAGGGGGAGGGAAAAGATAGTAAGGTTTTGAGACGTCTCAAAACAAACTGGGACGGCCTGAGCTGCTGCAGGCGGCGGTGCTCCTTCAGGCTCTCGAGAGCACGGTGGATGTTGGGGGGGTATTCGTCGAATGGCTGGAAGGGGGAAAGAGGAAGAGGAAAGAGGGGGGGGAGAACACAAGGAAATGGGTGGGGTTTCGTTTTGGGGGAAACGGGTAAGGTGGGGTGCAGGGGAGGGAAGGGGGGAGGAGTGCGTAGACTTTTCCCGTTCTATTATTTTCTTAATTCTTTTTTTTTAAATTCTCTCTCTTCTTTTGTACCCGATTGCCTTAGGACGTGATTAATCTTGGCCAACACACCCTACAGCGTGCCAATCGTGTGACTTTTGAGTCGACTGAAAGAGTCATCCCGTCACATGTAGTTTTGAGGCGCCTTTAAAAAAAGACTCTGGAACATGCCAATTCGTTTTGCGTCAACTCAAGCAAGCGTCGACTCAAGCAAAAGTCACAACGTCACATTTATTGATTCCGTTAAATTCACCCATTTCGCACCTTGGTGGCCTGCACGACTCTGTGGCGGTTGACCTTCAGGTCAATCGTGCCCAGAAAGCCGTGCAGCAGGCCAATCATGTGCTGCCCGTGCTTCCAGAACATTTGGTACACCTCCTCATCCTGCCATGAGAGCGCCTTCCCCGCTCCGGAATTTCCGGGTGCTCCGTCCGCGGCTGGCGTGCTTCCTTCCGAATGCGCCCTCACGCGCCACTCGCTGCGTTTCATTGCTGGCGACAGAGCGGAGAGGAGAGAGAAGGAAGGAGAGGACGGGAGATGAGGAGAGGAGCTGAGATGAGCTGAGAGGGTTGCAAGGAGGCTAAAGGAACCGATGAATGCCCAGAAGAACTTAGGGTCGCCTAGAAAGAAAGAAGAAATAATGACCATTACCTACAGGTTTTTCCCGACCTTTTGAGATTAAGATTATTGGCAAGCACTGCCACGAACTCGCGAACTGCCTGGTAACAGAGAATCCGTCTTCGTGGACAGACTACGGATGGGCTGCGGACTGGTAACAGGACACTGGCTGGCGACGTCAAAGGGCGAGAGGTAAGGACAGCGCCGACACGAAAGTGAATGCTAAGCGTGTCGGACGCAAGTAGGCGGTGGTGCTTCGTGACTTCAAATACTCTAGACTGACACAAGAAACAACTGTCGCATCTACAAGTCGGAATTACTGGAATAAAAACCTACAATACTGCTCCTCACAGACGCTCGCTGCCAAATTCCAAGCAATTTTTATGGCCTGAGATAGCATTTTTTTCTAAACAGGAGGGCGTTTTGGAAACGCAGTTGGGTTGTTTCGCGAAGCTGGTTGGCTTGTTCCTTGTTACCCTGAAAACGGAGGTGGATTTGCCGTTTTTTTCCACAAGGCTTCCGCACGCGATGGAAAACGTTTCGCGACGCCAGTTGGCCCCTTATTTCTCACAGCTCTCCTGGGTCGTGATTCGTGGCGACGCATCTGGTAATGTCTGACGAACTTCAATTGAAAATTCGTCGGTTCGTTCTGGAGATCCAGTTACAGAAAAATAGCCAACTGAATCAAAGCCAACTTGGGTTGCTTTATCCAAATCCACAATCCACATCTGCCTTGGCATCATTTCAGCAGCAAAAAGCTTTTACGTGACGCCAGCCATGCTGGCTCGAGGCGTCGCTGCGCCTCGTCCTCTCGCTCTCAGACCTCGTCGATCCTCCTTGCTCCAGTGCGTCCTTCGTCTCTCCGCGCGCAATCTCCCCGTCATTTTCTCCGGTAGCTCGAAGATCTTCGCGAATTCGAACGAATTCGCCATGGCGAACCCCCTCGCGTTACCACTTATAAGGTCGCACGATCGCATCGTCACTTGTTACCCTCGCCATTCCAGGTTTTTTCGGCACGAAAACGCGTCCACAGCGCGTTTGACTCGAATACCCGTTCAAGCGTCACATGCTGACTCTGGGAAACACGTCATCACCGCGACTTCATGTTCTCACTCTCTCGGTTCACTTCGCTCCTTAACCTCCGCATCGTCGTCGTCGTCGTCCGTTACCGTTAGGGTTAGCCGCGTCGCTCGGATCGACAGCGTCGTGGTCCGAGCTGGCAGCGATGCCCTTGCTGACGTGGAAAATCTGCCAGATACGCCAGGAGAAAAGGAACGAATCTCACCTAAAGCACCTGATGTGGTTGAGGCTCAGGACATGACGGGAGTGGCGTTACGACGAAATAAGTTAGTGGTGCAACAAGAAATAAGGTTCGAGCAAGAGGAGATGATCGAGGAGCAGGAAGCGTTGATAGACGAGCACGAGCCTAGCGCAATGGAGGGCTGGCAGGAGGACAACGGACGGTTGCTATTGATCGACGGCCATCCTGTAGTGTACCGGGCTTATCACCAGATATCAGGCGAGTCTGATACTCCCAAGGTAACTTTGCTAATGCTCAGTAGCAACTGCAGTGTGCCAGACTTACCAGGGTCCGCGGATTATCAGGCGAATTCGCTACTTTGAGGTGGTTTATAAGAGTACAGAGCAGAGCATACCACCAAGCATCAGGTGATGGCTACTCGCTCATCCTCTAACTCTCTTTCCTGTTCAATGTCGTGTGATCTCACTTGCATCCCGGTTTAGGGTTGCAGCATGGGTACACCGCTGCTGGATTTTGAGAACTCTAAAAAAACCAAATACTTTTTTTTTCTCTTGCATGCCGGTGTGCCTCGCAGCGCGGTTACACCACAGCGGTTACAACACCTTCGCACACGACGAGGACGTCATGGGCACGCTCTTCAAGTCCTTTGAGCAGGTGCGTGTGCGCTGCAACTTGCAAGCCGTTTGAGGCCAGGTGCGTGCGTTGCAAGTCCCTTTGAACAGGTGCGTGTATTGCTATTCTGTTCCTCAAGCAACAGCAGGTGGGTGTGTGGATGGATTTCCACCCGACACCCCATCTCCTCTTCTTACCTCTGACTGCCCACTGGTTTGTGAGGCAGCAGACAGCCTCAATTGAATCTTGCCTTGCTTCCCTCCCGTAACCCACCCCTCCCTCGCTTTCCCACTCTTGTCTTTGGCATTTTAGAATACCTGCCGCAGCCCAGAATACCTGCCGCAGCCCATCCCTTCCTCATTTACCGTCTCTTTGCCTGACCTCCATCCCTTTTGTACCTGCTCTACTCTGTCCCATATGCCTGTCTTTGTGTTCTGCGGTGGTAACGTGGTAACGTTCAGATCGTCAACCTTCTAGCGATGCTCCCAACACACGTAGCAGTGAGTGTGGTGGGGTGTGACGATGTGTTTATTGAGTTTTCTTTTACCTGTGTAACGCATAATGGGGAAGAAAGAGTCGCATACAGAGCACACAACAGCTCATGTCTCTCCGTATCCCTCCAACCTGCACACCATGATATGTGGCACGGCATCTTGCTCCGTTACAAAACTTCTCCTCTCCTCTCTTCATTCCTCCTCTCCTCTCTTCATTCCTCTACTCCCCCCTCCCTGTTTTCTCCTTCCCCTCTCTCTTCTTCCTCCTGCACAAAATTGCGCTCTCTGTTTCCTGCCCCGCGGCCTCCTGCTTGTGGCTCGTCGGTTCTGCCCAGCTGGTGTTCGACCATGGGGGTGAGTCAGCCATTGTTTACCATTGTAACATACAATGCATCATGTGATTCCATGTTGTGCGTACCACTTACACTTTCCAGTTCGCCTCACAAACGCAATTTCAGTTCATGGCGCCATTTAAGAACATTAAGACTCATGCCGAGGTTTCACAGGTCGTAGAAGTCTCGTCTCTTACTCCCAACTCTCCCCCCTCTTCCTCCCTCCTCCTCTCAACCCCCCCTTTCCCATGCAGACTGTTGTAATATCTTATATACAACATGCATATGCTAGAATAGGTCTAGGATTGTTGGGTGTGCCTTCAACCACAATTTGTGGTTTAAGCTTGGTTGGGTTCCCAACAATCATTGGACCTCCAATAATGCTGGTTCAAACCCTCTCAACAATTATCGGAGCTCCAATAATGTTGGTCCAATCAAACCAACAATTATTGGGGCCTTCAATAATAGTTGGTCAAGCTCACACTTCCTCCATCTATGTATACCTTGGCTCTCTTGAGCCCAGCATCAATGCAATCTTTGCTAGCACAGGCACCACATTCTGTCACGTGATTTTCCAGGGCTACAAGAGCATCACAAGTCATTCTTAGGGAGATGACTTTCGGGTCGACTCAAAAGTCATCTCGCTAATTTCCAGGGCTACAAGAGCATCACAAGTCAACTTCTAACGCCTAGGTCTCATACTCACCTTCTAACGCCTTCCTCTCTGCTCCTCTTCCCACGCAGACCCCACGTTCCGCCACAACTCCTTCCAGGGATACAAGAGCACGCGCCCGCCTCGCCCTGACGCCGTGTCACGCGCCATGGAGCTCATGCAGGCCGCCCTGCGCGCGCTGGAGCTGCCGTCTTTTGCGGTGAGTGCAAGGCTTGAGCCTTGAGGTTGTGTGGTGCAGTGCAGTGCAGGGTTATTGGATGCTCTCAATGCATCGCCGTGGTGCGAGCCATGGAGCTCGTGCAGGCCGCTCTGCACGCACTGGAGCTACCCTCCTTTGCGGTGAGTGGCGGAGGGGAGCTTTGAATTGCTGGTATGCGTCTGACGCCGTGTCACGGGCCATGGATGCTCTGCGTGCACTGGAGCTGCCTTCCTTTGCGGTGAGTGGAGACTGTGAGATTTTGGCCTTCGGGGTGGGCTTGTGCGTTTCCCGGACGCTTGCAGGGTATGGGACGTACTGGCAGCGCCTGTGGAGTGTGTATGTGTCGTGTGTGTGTATGCTTGCCCTTGAGCGTGCATGTGCTCTGCCCTTGTGTATGTTCCCTTGTGTGTGCGTCTCTCTGCGTGCAGATATCCGGAGTGGAGGCGGACGCTGTGATAGCGACTCTCGCAACAGAGGCACAGGGACTGATGCTGACATGCGGCCTTGGTGTGATGGTGCCCCTGCCTGTTTGTGTGCGCCGCTCTGCCTGCAGATATCCGGAGTGGAGGCGGACGATGTGATAGCGACTCTTGCAACAGAGGCGCTGCAGAATGGCATGAAGGTGGGCATGCTGCCTCGAGGCATGGAGGCTAGGTGAGGAGTATTAAGATGTCTCAAAAGTGCGACTCTCGCAGCAGAGGTGCAGCGGTACTGTGCTGCTCCGAAGCATGCGGGCGAGGTGAGGAGTCGTTTAGATGCCTCAAAAGTTCAGACCTCGAAGCAGAAGCTCTTGAGAATGGCGTGAAGGTAGCGCACTGGCTCAACAGATGAAGGCACGGTGAGGAGTGAAGGAAAGGTCAGAACTGCAGCAGACAAGATTGGCAGGTGAGGGTCATTTGAGTGATTGTTGCATGGAGGGTGCATGCAAGGAGGTTCGATGCACCCTCATAGGGAAAGGGCCCTTTTCCTGTTTCTGACACATCAGATACACACCTCTTGCTCCTCCTCCTGCCTTCTTCCTATGACCGCACATACCCCCCACCCTCTCTTCCCTTCCTCCCCAAACCCCTCCACTTCCACCTTCAGTCAGGTGGCCATGGTATTGCTCGGGAAGCGACTTTCTCCCACTCCTCCCGCTCATGACATGTTGTAAAACGCAACCATTGACTCTCTCGCCTGTGCTTTTGTTTCCTTCACTCTTCCCCCCCAGGTGCGCATAGCATCGCCTGACAAGGACTTTTTCCAGCTGCTCTCTCCCAACCTCAAGATGCTGCGACCCACACAACGCCCCAAGTCAGTGCCCCTTTCCCCTTTTCCCCCTCTTTCTCCCCTTTCCCCCTGCTCCCTCCCCCTTCCCCCCTTTCCCCCTCGCCCCCTTTTGGTCACTTTGCTTTTCGATACGGTCGTTCTGTCCGTTGACTCCTTATGTCGATTCACTCCACACCTTTGGTGAGATCTTTTTGGTCACCCCACTCTCACACCACCACACTCACTTCACCCTCATTTCTCACCTCAATCACTCACATTCACACCTCACTCTTCCGCCTCACTCTTTCAATGAATGCTGGAGTGCATCTGGTGTGATTTTTTAGGCGCTTCTAAAAAGTTGGGATGATTTTTTAGGCGCCTCAACATTTCTGAGACGATTTTTGAGCCGCCTAAAAAAGCAATGAATGCAAGAGTGCATCTGGTGTGTCCAAACCCATACGAGGCTCTCCATCCATTCGTTCCCATACTCTTCCCCTGCACGCCCTTCTTCCCCTGCACCTGCACTCCCTTCCCCTGCCTTTCGCCCCTCCAACAAACCCTCCCACCCCCCTCTCCTCCCCCCTCGCCTATCGCCCCTCCCCTCCTACACCCCTTTACCAACACAGGCGCGGCAGCCCACGCTACCCCACGTCGCACTTCTACACGTATGCGGAGGAGGACTTTCAAAGGGACTGGGGTGATGCAGATCTTCATCTCTTTCCCCCCCACCCTTGCGCCCCTCCTATGCTCCATTTGAAACAGGCGTGGCAGCCCACGCTACCCCACGTCACACTTCCACACGTATGCGGAGGAGGACTTTCAAAGGGGCTGGGGTGATTTGGCCTTTCATTTCCTGACCCTCCCTCACATTCCCCTTTTGGACAGGCATGGCAATCCGCATCACACTTCTACACGTACGCGGAGAAAGCCTTTTAAAGGGACTGGGGCGATGTGGCTCTTTAAACCCTGGCCCCCACCCTTCACCTCTCTCCCCCTCGCCTTTCACCCTCCAACACCCCGTTACCAACACAGGGGGGGCAGTCTGCGCTACCCCACGTCACACTTCTACACGTATGCAGAGGAGGACTTTCGGAGGGACTGGGTCGCAGTCGCTTTATGTCCCCTCTTTTTATCCGTTTTCCCCTCCTATTTCTCCTTTTCCAACAGGCGGGGCAGTCCGCGCTACCCCACGTCACACTTCTACACATACGCAGAGGAGGACTTTCGGAGGGACTGGGGCGACGTGGATCCGCCGCTCTTTGCTGACGTCCTCGCCCTCATGGGTGACGTCAGCGACAACATCCCCGGTTCGTGGTGACTCTTTGGAGAGCTTCTATGGAGGGCGTTTGTTGATGTGAGAAAGTGCACTTTGGAGGTGTTTGTTGCTGCTCCAAAGAGAAAGTTTGGTAGTGTTATGGTATGCGCAACAATCATTCATGTGGTGTGGGTACTGGCAATTCATGTTTGCTTCCCTGGCCTTCCCTCCTCTTCCATACTTCTCCATCTTCCCAGGGGCGCGTGGCATTGGCCGCAAGAACGCACCCAAGCTTGTCCGCAAATACGGTGGGTGGGTTCTGCCTTCATGATGCTGGGCCTGGGATAACTGCATCCGCCTGATAGGCGCACAGATTGATGCTGGGATAACTGCATCCGCCTGATAGGCGCACAGATTGATGCTGGGATAACTGCATCCGCCTGATAGGCGCACAGATTGATGCTGGGATAACTGCATCCGCCTGATAGGCGCACAGATTGATGCTGGGATAACTGCATCCGCCTGATAGGCGCACAGATTGATGCTGGGATAACTGCATCCGCCTGATAGGCGTACTGGGATAACTGCATCCGCCTGATAGGCGCACAGATTGATGCTGGGATAACTGCATCCGCCTGATAGGCGCACAGATTGATGCTGGGATAGGTGTTTTTGTGTGATAGAGAGCCACAGACTTGATGCTGTGTTGGTGTTACTCTTGACAATTCTCAAAAGTAACACCAGCACCAACATGGCTGGGATATCTGCGTCTGCATGATAGAGGCACAGACTTGATGCTGCATCAGGTATTGTTCTCTCTTGAAAGCAGCGCTCGTGACAGCTAGAACCATTTCCCATTACTCCTTACTCCAAGGGCAAATGCGTAATCTTTCTTTCCATGATGCCACTGCACAATCTTGCCGTCGTAGCAGCAGCAGCACCCTCTCACCATAATCTGCCATGTTCCAGCCGTAATCATGTCGTCATGTCATGCTGCATGGCAGGGTCTGTGGAACGAATACTGGAGCGGCCTGAGCAAATATTGGACAAGAGGGGAAGAGAGGTGAGTCACTGGTGGAGCGCCTGTGCTCCCTTCAATCTTATGCTCTTGAATTGTAGGCATCCTTTGAGGAATCTCAATCTGACCTGCAAAACCTTGACGAGTGGGATTCTGTCATCTTAATATCACAAACACTGTCATCTGCTTGAACCACTCACCACACGTCATATAATCCCCTGTGTTGCATCTTCTCTGTGTGTTTGTGTGTGTGTGTGTGTGCGTGTGTGGATATGCATGCATGCGTGCAGGCAGTGATAGCCAGCAGAGACTCTATAATCCAATCAAAGGAGCTGGTGAGCACCTCTCTTGAGCAATCTTTCTCTCACGACTTACCCTCGTCCCATCCACCACCCGCTTCCCTCTCCCATTTCCAAGGGTTTCCTGCTCCAAGTCGTGCTTCAGAACGTGTCGGACTTGTATTTCCCTTTGTTGGAACTTGGCAGGTGTCGCTTCGCATGAATGTGCCACATGGGAAGTCATGGGACGACCTCCGCTTTCGCCCACCCGCGGTGAGTACATGAGTACAACCAGAAACGTATGTAGGTGTGGAAGGAAGTTACGGCTGGTCACCGCTGTTGATGGTATAGTTAGCATTCAAAGACATTACATGCATTCTTGTTTTTGAATTTCTCATTCCTGTTTGTTTGTTTGTTTTTCTATGTTGCAGGATGATGGTGTCGATTTTTGGAAGTTTATGCAAACATTGGAAGAGGATTCAATCCAAATGAAGTCTGGCATAAGGAAACGATTGGAGGCAGTTTGGTCTGAGATCCAAAAATAGTGCAATGTTTTAATTTACACAAGATGTTCCATAACATTTTTATTCAGTAAGCCAAATAGTAATAATGCGAGCTACTTGGCGACAAGCTTGAGGCCTACCTAGGGGGTGTCGTCACAGAGCCAACCAGGGCCTCGGGATTGTCGAGCGACTTTTAGTGGTTGCGCGGGGTGGGTCTACAGGATCAGTGGGTGCTTGCTCGGACCTCGGGTTTGTGTCGTTCGGTCGGTATGGTACGGTACGGCCTTCTCCTGCCTTCTGCTGCAGCTGAAGTTCATGCAACAGTCCACCCACCATTCCCCATGCTTCACAAAAGCTTCATTCGTCAATTTTCGTCAGCGATTTTGCATCATCAGTCAAGCGAGCCTCGTGTTGGTTGGTGTATGTATTTTGTACGCGATGATTCGCCATTACCGGCTGGTCAGTTTGTCGTGCCTGACTTCGTCCGTACACTCTAATGAGGACTAATCTGGGAGATTAGTGGTGCAATGAGATAGCGCGTGACGCGGATCGTTTACATTGTGCCGATGCGACGCTGCGATTCAAGGGCATGATCTTGCACACAGTTTCGCAAGTTCACCCTGCGAGCTCGCAAAGATTTTGAGCCTAACGCGCATCATTCCTGGGATGAGCAGTCGCACGCAAGCTTTGCAAGCGGTGCCGAACGCACACTTCGGGTTCTGAAATTCAGGACCTAGACCGGCATCCTTGTCCTAAATCGTTGATTCTATTTGACAGCTCTGACCTAGTGTGCCAGCCATGGATGAAGTCAGAAGATTCGCGGAAAGCATGATTCGGACGGCGTCGAATCGAATTATGTCCAGTCCTCTCGATAACTCCGCCTCTCCTGCCGTCGTACGATCCTTCCAGCTCCCCTCCCTTCATCACCTCAGACTGCTTAGCAGCAAACACTTTTCAGAGAAACGTAACCCGAATCATTTCCACGCGCAAGCTGAATGTTTTACAAATTCCGCACTCTTCCGGGTCAGACATTGGTCGATGCACTTAGCTTGTCGTTCTCACGTATTTTCTGAAGTCGTATTTATCTTAGTTAGTCCTGATCAATCAATGTCCCGTTTTGTCCACTTCTCCACGGCCCTCCCTCACGCTTTGATCAGCCGGACACATTCCGTTCCGCCAGCAAGAACAATTCCAATCAGGATCTTTCGAATCGCACAGGCAGTCCGAGCGGCTTTCTGTCGCGAGGAGGCAATGCGAATGGGTACGGGGACAGGGACAGAGACAGAGGGGGAAACAGGGAGTATGACAGAGACAGGGACAGAGACAGGGACAGGGACAGGGATTGGGTCAGGGGGGTGAGCGGTCTTGGCGCCAAAGGCGCGGGTGCTAGCAGCAGCGGCAACAGCGGTGCATCCCGCACTCAGCGCACCCTCGTCTACTCCGACGAGTCTCCCGACCGCCCTCTAGGATCCCCCTCCCAGATCCTGCTCGCGCCCGCCTCCCCGCCTCGCTTCCACTCCCCCCTGCGCAATGCTAGCCCCAACCCCGGGCCTGCCAGCAGAGGCTTCGGTCGTGGTCCCTCTGGTGCTGCCTCTTCGTCCTCCTCCTCTTTCAATCAGCTAACTCTACTCGCCTCAGGCGACGATGGGTCAGGATCCCCGGTTCCATCATCCTCTGGAGCACAATTCGCAGGAGGAGCAGGAGGAGGAGTGGGAATGGGAATGGGTAGCCGTACCCCCATGACCGCCCCTCCCGCTTCTCGCAGCCGCATGGCTGCTTACTCCTCTCCCTCCCCAGACCCTCGTTACCCCAGTCCGGGTCACTCATCCGGGTATGACTCAGAGTCATCCCCTTCCGTTGCTGACGTGGCAGCTGCTGCCCTGTCTGACGTGTCAGAGGAGGATTTGCGGACAAGAACCCCGGTGATGGTGGGGAAGCGGGCGCTGATGGGAGTGGAGGGGATGGGAATGTCAGGGTCGCCCGGGTTCCTGTCGGGGTTCATATCGTCTCGGCCCAAGAACGACCGCGCTGAGATGCTGGACCCCAAGTTTTACCTCGAGGTGGGTGCGCTTGGTTGTGTGTTGTGTGGCAAAGAGGGGGGTTTGTAACGGATGCGCATGTCATGGTCGCCCGGGTCCCTGTCAGGCACGCGCTGAGATGCTGGACCCCAAGTTCTACCTCGAGGTGGGTGCGGTTGTGTGGGGTGAAGTGAGGTTGGGAGGGCCTGATGGTGGTGGGTGTCTGTTTGTCCAAGAGAGGGGATGTTGAGGGGATGGGAATGTGAGCGTCTCGCTCCAAGAACGATCGCGCTGAGATGCTGGACCCCAAGTTCTACCTCGAGGTGGGTGCGGTTGTGTGGGGTGAAGTGAGGTTGGGAGGGCCTGATGGTGGTGGGTGTCTGTTTTTCCAAGAGAGGGGATGTTGAGGGGATGGGAATGTGAGCGTCTCGCTCCAAGAACGATCGCGCTGAGATGCTGGACCCCAAGTTCTACCTCGAGGTGGGTGCGACTGGGTGGGGGATACTGGGGTTGAGAGGAACTGATGGTGGTGAGTGTTGACTTGCGCGACAGAGGGATTGAGGGTCAGGGTCGCCCGGGTTCCTGTCGGGGTTCATAGCGTCTTGCCCCAGGAATGACCACGGGATCTATCAAACAAACCACTCTTTCGTCCCCTTGCCCCCCTCTCCCTTCCTTAGTCGTTTGACGCAGTGAGGGCGGAGCTGGAGCAACTACCGAGCGATACGGTGGCGCTGCAGCAGCTGGGCATGCACAGTGGGCGGCGGCTGCTGCAGCTGGACGTGATCACGGAGCAGCTGGCCACGCAGGTCATGAACCACCACCAGAAAATGGGTGCGTGGGGGTGGAGAGGGGTGCATGCAGGTGGTGGGGAGTGTGTGTGGGTGGTGATGGGTGCGTGCCTTTCAGACATGATGGTATGGAGGACTGCCTTCCATCCATGCTGCTGCAGCTGGACGTGATCACGGAGCAGCTGGCCACGCAGGCCATGAACCACCACCAGAAGATGGGTGCGTGGGGGTGGAGAGGGGTGCATGCAGGTGGTGGGGGGTGTGTGTGGGTGGTGATGGGTGCGTGCCTTTCAGACATGATGGTATGGAGTACTGCCTTCCTTCCATCCATGCTGCTGCAGCTGGACGTGATCACAGAGCAGCTGGCCACGCAGGTCATGAACCACCACCAGAAAATGGGTGCGTGGGGGTGGTGGAGAGGGGTGCGTGTGGGTGATGATGATGGTTGCTTGCTTTTCAGACATAAGAATAAAAAAATCAACTATCGCGAGTGTAGGCTCTGGTGAATGAAACGTACTTGTTTGGTGAATCTCCCTTGCAATTCTTTCTCTCATCGTGTGGTGCGGTGCGGTGCGGTGCGGTGCGGTGCGGTGCGGTGCGGTGTGGCAGTGCAAGGAATGCAGCTGGTGGGGGAGCTGGACCGGGAGCTGCGTGTGGTGTCCGTCATCTGCCGGGTACGATGGCATGCCATGATATGATATGATGTGGCATGCTATAGCATGGTGGTATCCGTCATCTGCCGGATACGATGTCAAAAGTCGTTTGTGGATGAAAAGCTGTACATGTCAAGTCAACCCTGTCCACCACCACCCCTCACAAACCCCCACCCCACCCCGCCACTTCCCTCATCTCCTCCCCTACTTCTATCCCCTTCCCTTTCAATTATCTCCTTTCCCCCCTCTTCTCCCCCTTACCCACAATCCCTGCACATGCACGTGTTGGGAGCAGAATGCGAGGAGGCATCTGAACAAGGCGATGGAGGAGGTGGCGAGCGACTTGGTGGTGGCTGCCAGTGTCAACAAAAAGAAGATGCTCACCGTGAGTGCTGTGCTGCTTCTGCCTACCTTGGTTCTTAAGAAATCTCGAAAACCAACCAGTGTCAACAAGAACAAGATGCTCACTGTAAATGTTGACTTTTGAGAATTTTCAAAATGTGATACAAGCACTGCCAGCCAGTGTCAACAAGAAGAAGAAGCTCACCGTGAGTTGATTCATTTTACCTCCGTCCCTTGAGCTGAGCTCACTCACTACTACCCACATCCTCTGCTCCCTGTTCTCTTGCTCCCCTACCAAAACAGATTGCCTTTGTTCATGTGCATGCACCGACCGGTGGACGTGCCATGCCTTAATTCTATACGCTTTCCTCTTCCCTCCACACCAGAGCATGCTGCCAGTACTGATGCGCATGCAGCAGGTGGTGGACGTGCGGGGGCGCATGGACGCATGCATCGACGAGGGCGATTTCGCCCGCGCGCTGCGCCTCTGCTCGCACTGCCTCGTTCTCATCGAGCAGAACGCACAACTGGCGTCGATACGAGACATGAACATCAGCATAGAGGTGTGTGGGGGGGGGAAGTTGAGGGGGGATGGGTGGGTGGGAAGCACACGGATGCCATTGGTGGTGTCTGTGCCCTGTGCACCGCGTGCCTCTGCTCGCACTGCCTCGTGCTCATTGAGCAGAATGCACAGCTGGCAGCCATACGCGACATGAACATCAGCATCGAGGTGATTTTGCTGGTGGGGATGGAGGAGGGGAGTGGAAAGGGTGGAGGTGATGGGCGGGAGGTACATGAGTGCGTTAGCCGTTGCGCATGCGCTGCGCCTTTGCTCGCACTGCCCCGTGCTCATTCAGAAGAATGCACAACTGGCAGCCATACGAGACATGAACATCAGCATAGAGGAGAGCAGCAGTCTGTTGCTTTCAGAGCCTTGGTATCTGCTGCCATTGTCTATCGCTGTTTGGGAAGGACACCCAGCTGGCAGCCGTGCGAACCACGTTAAGCTACCTCCTTCCCTGTGCCTGCCTCTGTGCCTCTGTTCCCGGTACCTCGTGGCTTCTAGATCATCTTTCCTGCTGCTATTCCCTTCTCTCCGTTCCCCCCCCCAAACAGGAGTGGCTCACCCGAGTGGTGGACCACGTGGACGCTCTCCTCTTCACAGTCTGCAAGTCTTTCCATTTCCTTGTATCCCACCCCGCTGCGTGCCTCCCCCCCGCTCCTCCCTCCGCTCCCCCCCCTTCCAACAGGAGTGGCTCACCCGAGTCGTAGACCACGTGGACGCTCTCCTCTTCACAGTCTGCAAGTCATTCCGTTCCTTTGCCTCACTGTGTGCCCTACTGTGTGCTCCTCCTCCGCCCCTCCCCCATTCTCCCCACCCAACAGGAGTGGCTCACCCGGGTCGTAGACCACGTGGACGCTCTCCTCTTCACAGTCTGCAAGTCTTTCCATTCCCTGTGCCCCACTGTCCACCGTGTGCCTCTCCCCCCCGCTCCTCCCTCCGCTCCCCCTCTTCCAACAGGAGTGGCTCACCCGGGTCGTAGACCACGTGGACGCTCTCCTTTTCACAGTCTGCAAGTCCTTCGACTCGCCTTCTTATGGCGTCGTAAGCCACTCCAGCCCTTTAGACATCTCAAAACTCTCCTGCTGTAATCGCTTGGTGTCGCGTTTTGTCGGGCTTACATATACATATGCCATGCCATGCCCGTAGCGCCAGCTGCAATGCGCATTGTCTGAGCAGCTTCCCAGCAGTTGACCTTTGAGTCGACTCAAAGTCAGCTTGGTGTCGCGTTTTGTCGCGCTTACATATACATATGACATGCCATGCCCGTACCGCCGGCTGCAATGCGCTTGTCTGAGCAGCTTCCCAGCAGTTGACCTTTGAGTCGACTCAAAGTCAGCTTGGTGTCGCGTTTTGTCGCGCTTACATATACATATGACATGCCATGCCCGTACCGCCGGCTGCAATGCGCATTGTCTGAGCAGCTTCCCAGCAGTTGTTACCCACCCTACCCCCATGTGCATCCATCAATGCCGCATGGATTTGATGGCCCACTGAAAAACAACTTTCCTTCAGCCCCGCTTTACCACAGTGGTACTACCATTCAACCATCAGGTGATGGATGCTAACGCTGCAATGGACGACTTATAGAGTCGTCACTCTATCAGTTCTCTCTCTGCTTCCCCTGTTCGCCACCCTTCAGGTGATCGACGCGTATGCAGTGATGGACGATGCGGCCACGCTGGCCGACAAGGTGCAGAACTTCTTTGCCCAGTCGGTCGTCACCTGCACCTATGACACACTGCTGCAGTTCCTCGAGCAGGTACGCCACTCCACTCTACATGCCATTGCCTTTTGATTTGACTCTAGAGGTACGTCAGTTTGCCCGGTCTGTCGTCACCTGCACCTATGACACACTGCTGCAGTTCCTCGAGCAGGTACGTCACTTTGTTTGTGTCATTTTCTGAGAACTCTCAACAGTGACTCAAACATAGGTGCAGAACAGAACGTCCCAGTCTGTTGTCACCTGCACCTACGACCCGCTCCTGCAGTTCCTGGAGCAGGTACGTCTTTTGAGACTTCTCAAAAGTTGCTGCTGCAGTTCCTGGAGCAGGTACGTACGTCACTTGACATCCCATTGCCGTTTGACTCGAATCAGAAGTCGGTTCGCACAGCCTGTTGTCACCTGCACCTGTGACACGCTGCTGCAGTTCCTGGAGCAGGTATGCCACTTGACATGCCATTTCCTTTCGAGTCGACTCGGAATTCAATCCGCGCAGCTGCGGCCACTCTCATATTCAACTTTGCCCGCTGTTGGTATGGCTTCTGCTCTGTTGCGCACTCTTGTATCCTTTAAACCCGACCATGTGCCCCCTGCTCTGTGCTTGCTTGTCCTACAGGCGATGGGGGAGGATGACGGGCACAGAAGCAGGTGAGGCTGTGCGGAGTGAGAGAGGGGTGGTGGTGTATCCCGTAGCCGCTTGCCATGTGTGCTGCTTGTTGTGCTTCATTTCTTCCTGCTCTCTTCCTGAGAGAGGGGTGATGTATCTCACAGTCGCTTGCCATGGGTGCTGCTTGTAGTGCTTCATTTCTTCCTGCTCCTGCTCCCGATCTCAATGAAATTTCTTCAACTTGTCATCCTTGACCTTAAGAAGAGGCGCAGGCAGGATTCTTGTTATGTGTTTCGTGTGTGTTTCTATGCGTGTTTCTACTATATTCGTTTACGCCTCCTCTTTTTGGTTTTGGTGTTAAAAACAAACAACATGGCTTACCTGTTTTGCCTTTTGTGCTTCCGGCCTGCTGTCCATTTGCCTTGCCGCGCTCACAGGCTGGCCTACAGTGAGCTGTGTGTCGAACTGCCGGACGGCGTGTTTCGTCTGTGTCTGCTGCGCACTCTGGGTGTGCTCTTTGACCTATTCTCATCGCACCACCACATGATGACGTGGCGCCACCCCTATGTCAAGGTAAGGCCAGGCCATCCTCTGTATGACCTCCATCTCATCCTTCCCTTGTTCTGCATGCCCCAACCCTATGTGTGCGGCCATGTGTGCTTCCCAAAGCGGCTCCAACACGAGGTCAATGAATCTCTTCCCCAGCATGCCAGCCAGCACCTTTGCCTTCCTTCATCGCTCCATCCCCACCTTCCCCTTCCCATCCTATCTTCATCCCTCCATCCCTCCATTCCTCCATGTGATCCCGTTCCCCCACCCACCCACCCACCCACCTACCCTCCTCAGCGCCCCAACACCATGTCAATGGACCGCTTCCCCCGCATGGCAGCACCGGACCCCGTGTGTGCCTCTCGGTGAAAATCTCCATTAAACTCTCCCGTTCCCCTACTCACCCACCACCCAATGCCCATGGACCTCTTTCCAAGCATGGCAGAGCCGGACCCTGTGTGTGACTCGGTGTGAAGATCTCAATCTAATTCCCTCTTTTTCCTTACTACCCCACCCCACCCACCAACCCCCAGCGCCCCAACACCATGTCAATGGACCGCTTCCCCCGCATGGCAGCGCCAGAACCCGTGTGTGCCCCCGTGTGCATATCTACCTTTTATCCCCCCCTTTCCCTTCCCCCCATCTCACCTCCCCCCCCCCCTCTCAGCGCCCCAACACCATGTCAATGGACCGCTTCCCCCGCATGGCAGCACCGGACCCCGTGTGTGCCTCGGCGCCTGTCTCTGCCTCCTCCTCCGCCTCCGACCTCCCCCAACTCGCCCGCGTCCCCACTCCACCTCACGGCCTCCCCCGCTCTTCCTCCGTCTCCGCTGCTTCTGGTAGCACTGCTGCAGCTGCTGCTGGTAGTGCTGCTGCTGCTGCTGCTGGTGCTTCTAGTGGTGCTGGTGAGGCAAACGGGGCTGCAGCTTCTGAAAGCGCAGCAGGTGGTGAGGGGGGCAGGGCAGCCGGGGAGTCGCGAGAGGGGTTGCATGCGAGGCGGAGGAGCCAGAGCTTGGTGATTGAGATCCCTGGGGGCGGTGAGCAGCTGCAGGAGAAAGCCGAGGAGGGGCTGAACGAGAGGGACAACGGGGCTGAACCAGGGAAGGTGCAAGAGGGGGAGCGAAACAGCGGGAGTGAGGGTGCTGGTGGGTCAGACGGGCAGAGATTAGGTGCGCAGAGGACGGAAGCACAGAGGTCAAGTTCAGAGAGGACAGACGCACAGGTGAAGCAGCAGACGGGGCATGCGCAGTTGCAGCAGCAGAGGCGGCAGGTGAGGCGGTCGTCAAGTGAGGGGCACAACGAGGCATGGGGCAGCGCTGGTGCTGCTGCTGGTGCTGAGGCTCTGGTGCGAGACGGCCGCCCTCCCATCCCCTCTGCAGGGCCTTCTGGGACAGAAGCAGCCGGAGGAGGCGGAGGCGGAGGAGGAGGAGGAGGAGGAGGAGGTGGGGGGATGGGAGAAGGCATTGCGGCAGCAGCTGTTGCTGCAGCAGCGGCAGCAGCAGCAGGCGTTGGTGGTGGAGATGATAGAAGCAGAAACCGGGGTGGTGGCGGAGGGGGAGCGGACATGGCACTGAGAACAGACGATGTGATGATGATGGGGAGTGACTTTAGAGAGGGGTGGCTGGCGGACCTGCCGCCCAACGTGGCGCGTAAAATGCGCGTCAGCACCACGGCTGCTGTCTGCCGTGCACTGCAGAAGAATAGAAAGGCCGTGTGGGAGCTGGCAGCTCGCAGGGTGGGAGCTCTGCTCACCGCACCCGCGCTCTGCTCCGGGTCATCACAGCAGTTTCTCCAGGTGCGTTGCAGGCCGTTGTGTGCTGGCAGAACAGAACTTGTGGACACGGGCTGATGAGGCTAGCAGGGAGGGGTCGCTGGCGGACCTGCCGCCCAATGTGGCGCGTAAAATGCGTGTCAGCACCACGGCTGCGGTCTGCCGCGCGCTGCAGAAGAATAGGAAGGCCATGTGGGAGCTGGCGGCTCGCAGGGTGGGTGCGCTGCTCACTGCGCCCGCGCTCTGCTCAGGATCGTCACAACAGTTCCTCCAGGTGCGTTGCAGGCTGGCAGGACGTGTGGGCATGGCGTTGGGAACCCACGATGTGATTCTGATTGGGTTAAGAGGGGCGTGTGGGAGCTCGCGGCACGGAGAGTGGGAGCGCTGCTCACCCCTTCCGTGCTCTGTTTGGAGGTCCATCCTCCCAGCAGTTCCTCCAGGTGGGTTGCTGGAGCGGATGGACAAGTTCCCATCGCAGCAGTGTGCGAGGCGTCCACGGGGATGCAGGCGGTCGGGTCGGGAAGCAAGCTACGACTTCAGAGGAGCCGCACAAGTCATTTCCATACATTGTCATCTCCTCTTCTCCTGCGGCCCTGGTGCCTGGTGTGGGTGGTCACGTTTGCTGTCTGAATCAGCTCGTATGCCCAACCCACCTGGCTCTAATTTTCTTCCCTTCCCTTCCACTGTCATCTCCTCTCCTCCCTCGCCCCCAGTGCCTGGAGTGGGTGGGTGGACAAGTTTGCAGCTGTGGCCGAGGCGTGCAGGGGAGACGGCGGGGTTGAGAACCAAGATACGTCTTTTCAGGAGCCTCAAATGTTCTTCTTGTTCAATGTCATCTCATCGTCTTCTCCCTTGCCCCCAGTGCCTGGAGTGGGTGGACAAGTTCGCAGCAGTGGGAGAGGCGTTTACAGGGGTGGAGGCGGCAGGGCTGAGAACCAAGATGGTGAAGCAGAGCGAGGTGTACTTCAACACCTTCCACCGCCAGAACCTCAAGGTGTGAACTTCATGCTTGTTTTTTGAAGGAGCCGGGCTATGCCAGTGAAGCAGGCGTTGGTATGGGAGCGGCTCAGGTACAGGTAGGTGTGGGGTGGTGGGATTCTGAGAGGTGAAGCAGAGCGAGGTGTACTTCAACACCTTCCACCGCCAGAACCTCAAGGTGCGACTCATCCACTGCACGTGTTGCATGTTGAGAGCCTGAGAGGCCAAAATGGTGAATTAGAGTGTTCTTTTCAGCACTCCTCTGAGCAAGGTGTACTTCAACACCTTCCCACCACCAGAAGAACCGCAAGGTGCGGCTTTAACAGGCAAATAATCCTAAACCCCCACCCCACCTCCCCCCTCATTTCTCTCCCATCACGTGCTTGCATGCATCCACCAGGTGCTGAAGTGAAGATGATTCTGGAGCGGGAGAGAAATGAGTGGCGCCACTCCTTCCTCCCCCACTTTCCTGTCGCCTCTCTCTCCTCCCCTCCCCTCTCCCCTGCTGTGCTTGCTCCCATCAGGTACTCAAGATGATTCTGGAGCGGGAAACATGGCAGCGCCTACCACCAGACACCATCCACACGCTCAGACTCATCAGCCTCACCACCTCCTCCGCCCCCTCCTCCTCCTCCTCCTCCTCCTTTGTCCTCTCCACCCAGTCGTCCTCCTCTTCAGTAGGGGGTAGAGAGAGTGGGGGAGTGGAGGGCGGGGGTTCAGGTGGTGAGGGAGCGAAGGAGAGGAGGGATTTTCGTGAGTGGTTGGAGCGAGGGAACCCGTTTGCAGCAGTGGAGGCGGGGGAGGAGGAGGCAGCGGAGGGGAGGGACGGAGGGGAGAGGGCGGAGGGGGGTGAGAGGAGCAGCAGCGGGAGTGGCGGAAGGGGGGGAAGCAGGGAAGGGGGAGCAGGTGCTGGGTCCGGTGATTCTGCAGTGTCAGCAGGAGCAGCAGCAGCAGGGGCGAGGGAAGGGGGAGAAGCAAGCAGCAGAGGGCAAGCAGGGAACCCACAGGGGCGGATTCTGCCCGGGGGGCGAGCAGAGCCAGACAGAGCGAGCCGAGGGGATCGGAGCCAAGCCCCAGCGAGGGGAGCAGGAGCTCGGGGCAGGTTCAGTGGGGATGGGGATGGGGTAGGGGACGGAGAGGAGGAGGATGACGAGAGGGAGGAGCTTATGGCGGATTATATCGACGAGGAGGAGGTGGGGTTGTCCGCTGCTGTGCTGGCAGGGAGAGGCAGAAGGAGGTCGGAGGATGGAGGGGGGGATGTGGGGGGGAGAGGCGGGCTGGATACGGGCCTGGCGCTCACTGGCGCTGCTCTCACTGTCATCAGGTGTGTGGCTGCTCGTGTTACTATTGATATTTCACACAGATAACATCCCAACATGAGAGGCGGGCTGGATACTGGCCTGGCGCTCACTGGCGCTGCTCTCACTGTGATCAGGTGTGTGGTTGCTCGTGATACTCTTGAGAATCTTGACAAATAGCACAGGTGGGCACTCACTGTCATCAGGTCTGTGGTTGCTCGTGATACTCTTGAGAATTCTGAGAGGTAACATCCCAACATGAGATGCGGGCTGGATATGGGCCTGCCTGGCGCTCACTGGCGCTGCTCTCACTGTGATCAAGTGTGTGGCTCTTGGTCATGGATCGCCATACTCGCCTCATGGGACTGCTGCCTTTTGAGTCGACTCAAGAGTCACCGCTGATGCTTTCTTGTGCTCCCGTTCTCTTCGTCCTCTGTGACGCACCTCTCTCTGCCACTCCCTCCCTCCCACTCACCCCCGCTCCCCCCCTGCAGGCTCATGGACCGCTACACGCACCTCATGGGACTGCTGCCGTTGGTTCGACGCGGAAGTCACCCTTGCTGCTTGTGTGTACTTCTCCCTTTCCCCTGTGACCCCCCCTCTCTCTACCCTGCAGGCTCATGGACCGCTACACGCGCCTCATGGGGCTGCTGCCTCCCATTGCTTCTGGGATCTTCGCAGTAAGCCCTCTCCCTGCTTCGCGTCCTTGCCCCCTTCTTCACTCAGCCTCCCTCCCTTGCTCTATACCCCACTCCCTCACTCCCCGCCCCTCTTCCTCACGCTCTGCCCCCCTACTTCGCTCTCTATTCGCCTCCCTCACTCCCTGCCCCCTTCCCTCACTCCCTGCCCTCCTCCTTCACTCTCCCCTTTCCACCTCTTACTACCACACACACTCATCAGGGCCTGTGCCAGCTGTTTGACCTCTACCTCGTGACAGTTTTCTAACTCCCTCCTCTTACTCCCTCCCCATGCACGTGTATGCAACCCCCCACCACACACACATACCAGGGTCTGTGCCAGCTGTTCGACCTCTACCTTGTGACGGTCTTCCTGCATTTGAGTTGACTCACTCAACCACCCCCCTCCCCCCCCCCTCTCTTCCAACACACACATACCAGGGTCTGTGCCAGCTGTTTGACCTCTACCTCGTGACGGTCTTCCGGCTGTTCGGCAGCCCCGATGCCGTCAGCACCCTGCGCTCCTCCGACCCCGCTGCTACCGCCCGTTAGTATATTTGACTCTGCCATCCACTGTAATTCGCGACGCGTTTTTTTTTTTTTTTTCCCTACCTGGGTGCCTCAAAGAAAGTGAGGCGCCTGTGATTTGATTGCACCACGTTTTTCTCCTCAGTATTTCTTCCTTCTATTGAGCCACCACATCTCCCCTGCTGCCTCCGTCGCCCCCACTCGAATCACTCCTGCTCCCCCCTTCTAACCCCTCCATCCAGTGTCGAACCCTACCTTTCTTTCTCTCCTACTTCACCTCCTTTACTCGCCTCCCCCACCCACCCCTTCCAACCACACACTCCCTCGCCCCCAGTGCTGACCCCCAAGCTGCGCACCACGCTGGCACGTGTCGCGCAGGGATTGGACGACGCGCGCAACCGGCCCATCTCGTCCCTCTCCCCCACCGGCACTCCCTCCGCGACTGGAGCAGCGGCAGCAGCAGCGCTGGGAGAAGCAGCGGCCGCGGCTGCAGCAGCAGCAGTGGAGGCGGTGGGGGGGGTGATAAGCGGTGGGAGCAGTGGCAGCTTGGCAGGGGGAGGTTCGAACAACGTACTGGTGTCTTCGTCAAACATGTTCGGACTTAAGGTGAGTTTGTTTGTTTGTTTGTTTGTTTGTTTGTTTTTTCTGGTACCTCAAAGCTGGATAGGCGTTGGGGCCAGCGCGGCAGACCACGCCTCGATCCCTCCCATGCATTCATCCCGTATCCCCGCATACCCCCCTTTCTTCCACTGTCGTCCAATCCCATGCATTGCTCTCTCCAGGAGCGCTGTGTGGCAATGGAGTCATTAATGTGGCTAACAGACATGCTGCGGCAGACCAAGCCGCGCTTCCAGTCGCTGCTCGCCCCGCCCGCCTGGACTGCCATGGATGTCTTCTATGCGCGCACGGTGGGTGCTTGCCCATGTCTCTGTCACCCTGTCTGCCCGTCTGCCCTTCCTACCCTGTCCTTGCTCGTCCCGCCCGCCTGGACTGCCATGGACGTCTTCTACGCGCGCACGGTGGGTGCTTGCCCTCTCTCTGCCTGCCCTGGCTGCCCGTCTCCCTGCCTGCCTGGCTGCCAGTCTCCCTGCCCGCCCTGTTGCCTGTCTCATTGTCTCTTGGTACAACACCCTTTCCAACTCAATCACCCTCCTGATCCCTCCTCCTGCCCCTCTGCTTCCCACCCCCTCAGCTGGACGCAGTACCGGACCCGTGGGAGCATGTTCTGCGTACGCTCATGAAGATGCTGCTCTTTGCTCATGCCCTGTGCGCACTCCCCTTCTCGCTCTTTCCCCCCTCGCGTAAACCCTGACCCTAAATTCTCAGCTGGACGCAGTACCGGACCTGTGGGAGCACGTACTGCGGACGCTCGTGAAGCTGCTGCTGCTTAGCATTGTCTCGCTCACACCGACCTTTCCCCAACCCCTTCATTCAACCCCCCTCAGCTGGACGCAGTACCAGACTGGTGAAGCTGCTGTTGTGCACCCTTCTCAAACTCAACCTCCCTCTCCTTCCGCCGCCCCCTCTTCACAGCTAGACGCAGTACCAGACTTGTGGGAGCATGTGCTGCGGACCCTCGTGAAGCTGCTGCTGAACATAGCGGGCACGGCGGACCGCATCGCTGCTGTCAACTGGGAGCCAGCTGACATCGGCACACAGCACAACATGTGAGAGGTTCATGGGTGGGCTTGATAGGATTCATCCTCGTTTCCATGTTTGTTCTTTCATTAGAAATTCTAATTAGGAGGTGCGCACCTGCTTATCACTAACCATTGCCATCGCCAATGCCACCTCCTGCCATCCTCCCTCCCTGCGTGTGACCAATCAGATATGTGGAGAATCTGGTTGCGGAGTTCCGCCTCTTCGCCCACCGCCTGGGGCAGTCCGGAGCTCCCCGACAGGTCAGTCCGGAGCGCCTCGACAGGTCAGTCAGTCAGACGCCCCTCGTGCCCTCCCTCAGGTTAGTGTCCACACTCTTCTCACCCAAACCTCATTCTTACTCTTTGCAATGTGTGGTGCTACATGTGTCCTGTCCACGCAACCATGCATCCACTGCTTGATACTTTGTCATGTCATGCATGCATGCTGGCAGGTGCAGCACCAGCTGGCGGCGCGGCCTATGGTACGGACGAGCTCTGTCATGTGAAGTGATGCTCACAGGATCCGTTTCTTTCATTCATGTATCCATGCTTGCATGCATGCATGCAGGTGCAGGACCAGCTGGTGGCATACGGCCTGGACGAGCTCTGTGATGTCACTCACCTGTAACCCCCATGCACTTGTCCATGCATGCATGCAAGCAGGTACAGGACCAGCTGGTGGCGTATGGCCTGGACGAGCTCTGCGACATCATGCTCGATGGCATCTGCTGAAGGACTTTCCCTAGTCGTCAAGCACTCACTTGTAAACCCCATGCACTTGTCCATGCATGCATGCTGGCAGGTGCAGGATCAGCTGGTGGCATATGGCCTGGACGAGCTCTGTGATGTCACTCACCTGTAACCCCTATGCACTTGTCCATGCATGCATGCAAGCAGGTACAGGACCTGCTCGTGGTATACGGATTGGACGAGCTCTGTGAAGTCATGCTCGACGGCATCTGCTGAAGAAATTCCCCTAGTTGTCAAGCACTCACTTGTAAACCCCATACACTTGTCCATGCATGCATGCTGGCAGGTGCAGGACCTGCTGGTGGTATACGGCTTGGACGAGCTCTGTGAAGTCATGCTCGACGGCATCTGCTGAAGAAATTCCCCTAGTTGTCAAGCACCACCTGTAACCCCCATGCACTTGTCCATGCATGCATGTCTGCAGGTGCAGGACCAGCTGGTGGCATACGGGTTGGACGAGCTCTGTGACGTCATGCTCGACGGCATCTGCCGGGTCAAGAAGTGCAACAGCAATGGCCGCGCCCTCATGTCCCTCGACCTTCAGGTGAATCTTCATGCTGCTTCGGCCTCTCAAAACAACAGCTCCAAAAGCATCACTCCAGCCAGCCATTCGCCCGCCCCCGTCTCATCACACCTCCTGCTCCCACTTGCCCTGCTTTGCCCATCTACTCCTCCTTCATGCAATTCCTTCTCCCAACCTCTCCTGCACCCTGCCGCCATCATTGCCCGCCCGCAGGTGTTGGTGCAGGGGCTTCAGCCCATAGTGGGGCGGGGGGCGGTCAAGGGACTGCAGCTCGTCGACAACTACATTAAGGTGTGTGCTCTCTGTCCGCCCTGCTCTCTCTGCTCACTCTTTTGGCTGCTGCCTGCTGCCTGCTGGCACTGAAGGGTGTCATGGGAAAAAGGAGTCGATTCACAGTGTTGATTGTTTTTTTCTTGGCCAGAAAGGGCTTTCGTTTTCTTTCGTTTGTCTCACACTCACACTGTTGGGCCGAGTGTGCATCGTGTGGTTGTGGGTGTGTGTGTGTGTGCAGGCCTTCTACTTGAGTGAGAGCCAGATCATCGACTGGGTACGAGCACATCCGGTGAGTGCCCTGCCCTGCTCACTGCCCGCCTCATCGTAGCTTCTTCATCATCATACCTTCTCCACGTACTGTTGTTACGAGGGTCCTTTGTTTCCTAGTCGTACCAGTACTGCGGTTGACTATCCCTCTACTGCGTTTGATTTCCATTGATCGTGCAGGAATACACGAAAGCGCAGGTGATAGCATTGGTGGTGATGGCTGCTAATGGCGGCAACTGGAAACTGAAGAACAAGTTTGAGATAATTAAGAAGATTGATACGGGTGATCTGTCATGAGATGTCACTCCTCCATGCTTAGGAAATTTATCCATGTTCGGTTGCCTTTGCCTCTTCACTTACCCTGGCATATATTATGGAGGCCTAAGAAGATGTAAAGTAGATATGCATATGAAAGGGGCGCAAAATCAGGACTGAAACATTGGTATCTCATTTTCTACAGCGTTACGTCCAGTTAACAGGAAACAAATCATATGGTAGTAGCAGCGTAGAACAGTAATCTGGTCCGTTTCGCGTTCATTCACTTCACCTCACGTCCCTTTCGTTTCGCCATTTTCACTGATGCTCACGTGGGCCACACGTGCACAACCAACTGGGCGCCGCCACGCCATCGCCTACTGCGGCGGAATCTGCACTGTGGATTCTGCAATCGGACAGAGACGAGCGGGCCCAGTGAACCAAGTGTTCCCCTCCAAAAACAGTTCTGTTCACGATGATCCTCAATGAACCGTTCTAAACCGTGTGAAATCTGCGTGCTCCAAGCACTTCTATTTTATCGCAGCGTATCGTCTTCTCGTCTCTCCGTGGTCGCAGCTCGATATCCCATCTCGACCACCATAGCCAAAAAAAACGGTTCTTGCTGTCTTTCAACTCCTGAGCAGGTGACGTTGTACAAGTCGTGGCGTGGCATCCCACACGATACCTTCGTTCCATTCTATGTTGCGAACTGCGCTGCGGACGTGAACGACTTGATAGTAACCGTTCGTTAGCTTTCATTCATGGACTTAAACTTAGACCCTCCACCAGAAGATCCTAATTATATTCCAGGAGGTTCTGAATCGGGAGCTACCACTGCCATTATCGCTAGGAATACGGGGTCTCGTCTGGGAGCCGCTGGTTTTCGCGATGGGGTTACTGATGACTGCGACGTTGTCGCCGCTGCTTTTCGCGATCGGGTTACGGATGACGGCGACGCGGCTCATCCATCGACAGCTGATCATCATAATGACCATCACCATCATCCCGCAATCTACCGCCGAGGTCAGGCTCACCCGGTCGCGGATAGATCGCAGCCGTTCGATCCGGCAGACGGCGGTACTATAGACGAAATCCGTTTAAACCACGCTTTGGTAAACGACGATGGTGAGGCTATGGGCTTTAAAGACTCTCCTCACGACGATGCTGCCGCTTCCCCTGACCGCACGTTGATGCGGAGCGCTCCGCCGTGTTCGGGGGAGGATTCCGCGGGGGCAGACTCCGCGGGAGCGGACTCCGCGGGAGCAGACTCCGCGGGAGCGGGCTGCGCGGAAGCAGACTGCGCGGATTTCGACCTCACGCTGCAGCCATGCGCGCGTGAAATAATCTCCCAGCTGAGGAGAAGGCGCGGTGGCACTGCCAGTGGGAGCGGCGAGCTCGAGCGCGGGGCAGCGGCAGCGCGCGGGTGGAGGGGGAGCGGGTTCTTCTCGCGGCTGCCCGACAACCTGTGCGGCAAGATCGCGTCGTTCATCGTGCACGCTAAGAGCCTCGTCGCCTTCCGCTCCACCTGCTCCTACCTCCGGGTGAGCGCAGTCCCGCCGTTTGAAGTCGAAGCACTCGCATCCATGATTATCTCCATGTTGTCGTCTCAAATATTGGGGGGGGGGGGGGGGGGGGCAACGGTAACATCGACAGCCGTGCAGGCTCTAGTCCTCCTTCCCTGTTCCCCTATTCGTTGTAATCGTTGTAGTGGACTTAGAGCTCAGTTTCGATCTTGTTTTTTGAACTGGCAACACAAGAGTTTTAAACTCTACTGTTTTTCTTCTGCTAAAGAATTCTCCTAAGCTGCAGCTCGCCTAGTCTCATGGCTGCAGGCTCTAGTCCTCCTTCCCTGTTCCCCTATTCCTTTCCCACACTCACCCTTTCCCACGAACCCCCCGATCTCTCCTCCCCTTCTCCCTCCCCCGCCCCCCCAGCGCGTGGTGCGGGTGGGCGGGGCGCTGGTGTTTCTGGCGGACGACTTCCCCCACAGGGAGGCGGCGGAGAGGGGCATCGCGCAGGCGCTGCTGCAGGCCACAGCCGCCGTCACCTCGCTCTACGTCGAAGCCCCCCCCGCCTTCGACCCCTTCCAGGTGAGCAATGCTTAGGTAAACATGTTCAATAGGCCCGCTTTACCCCTCCTTCTTTACCCTTCCTTACCCCACCTTGAGTACTCAGCTTCGAAGCACTGTTATAACCCGTCCTTACCCCCCTCCTTACCCCCGTCCTTACCCCCCTCCTTATCGCACCTTTTCCCCACCGTCCCTAACTTTCCCTCCTCTTATCCCCCACCACCCTCTGGCAGAATCTAGCGGTGATTACGTGGTGGCTCGTGTCACGACACTCTGTCGAACCCTTCCCCCACCTTTTCCCTCTTTTCCTCCACTTTTCACCCGCCGTCTCCCACCGTCCCCCACCGCCCCTCTCCCATGCCCATCAGGACCTAGCGGTGATGACGTGGTGTCTGGTGTGTCGTGACACTCTTGAAGAGCTCACTCTCACCTTTCCCCCCACCTTCCCCCCACCCTTTCCCCCCAACTCGCGCACCTTTCCCCCCTCACCCTCCCCACTCCAGGAGCTGGCGGTGATGACGTGGTGCCTGGCGTGTCGCAACTCTCTCGAGGAGCTCACACTTGTCGATGGCACAGCAGATGCCTCCACACTCCGCGCCCAGGCGCTCGCTGCTGCCATGGCTGCTGCTGCTGCCGCCCCTGCTGCTCTCCCTGCAGCAGCAAATCCCGAAGCAGCTAGAAACGGCAGTACTGCTAGCACCAGTGCCACCACCACTCCTGCTGCTGCTGGGTCGAGACAAAGGGAGAGTGAAAGACAGAGCCAGGGTTTTGAAAACGGCGGAGACATTGGTCGAGACAGCAGCGACAGCGAAGGCAATGGCGGCGGCGGTGGCAGGAACGGTGCTGCTGCTGTCACTGCCGCCACACTCCCACCGCCCTACCACGTCAACGTTTACCGTGCAAACGAGCGGGCCGAAGAGGAAGAAGAAGAGGTGGAGGAGCAGCCACAGGAGTGGAAATTAGAGCACGCATCGCGCTGCCGCAACCTGCGCCAGCTCTACCTCGAGAACGCCGTTTTCGACTGCGTCTCCACGCTCCACCGCTGCTCCCCCTTCGCCTCCCTCATCCACTTGACCCTCGCCAAAGCGGTGGTGGCGGGGGACATGGTGGGGGATCTGCTGGCGTGCTGCCCGCGGTTGCAGGAGCTCACGCTGCTGCTGTGCTCGGGGATCGGCCCTCTTGATCTCATGCACGCGCCGTGTGCTGCACTCAAGAGGTTTGAAGTCAGATTGAGTAACCGTGCAGCGAGGAAGGACGCCTGCCTGGAGCTTCTCCGGCTGAACGCCCCTAATCTTGAGGTACGGATCTGTGGTGGTGTGTGTCGTTCCCTTTGCCTCCCTCATCCACTTGACTCTAGCAAAAGCGGTGGTGGCGGGGGACATGGTGGGGGATCTGCTGGCCTGCTGCCCAAGGCTACAGGAGCTCACGCTGCTGCTGTGCTCGGGGATTGGCCCTCTTGACTTGATGCACGCGCCGTGTGCTGAGTTGAGGAGGTTTGAAGTGAGGCTGAGCAACCGCGCCGCCAGGAAGGATGCTTGCTTGGAGCTGCTACGCCTGAACGCTCCCAACCTTGAGGTATGCTACAACTCTCCCCCTTCGCCTCCCTCATCCACTTGACCCTCGCCAAAGCGGTGGTGGCGGGGGACATGGTGGGGGACCTGCTGGCGTGCTGCCCGCGATTGCAGGAGCTGACGCTGCTGCTGTGCTCGGGGATCGGCCCTCTTGACCTCATGCACGCGCCGTGTGCTGAGTTGAGGAGGTTTGAAGTGAGGCTGAGCAACCGCGCGGCCCGGAAGGATGCTTGCCTGGAGCTGCTCCGGCTGAACGTGCCCAACCTCGAGGTACGGTACGACTCTGTCGGGGGGTTGTCATGCTCTAAATTCTAGACCCTGAACCCTGAATCCTGAACCCGGGATTCTGAACCCTAGATCCTGAACCCTAGATCCTGAACCCTAGATTCTGAACCCTAGATCCTGAACCCTAGATCCTGAACCCGGCGATCCTGAACCCTAGATTCTGAACCCTAGATCCTGAACCCTAGATCCTGAACCCTAGATTCTGAACCCTAGATCCTGAACCCTAGATCCTGAACCCTAGATTCTGAACCCTAGATCCTGAATCCTGAAATTTGAACCCTCTCCTGAACCCTGCATTTTGAACCCTGCATTTTGAACCCTGCATTTTGAACCCTAGGTCCTAAACCGTAGATCCCTAACCATGGATCCAAATCCCCAGCAATTCTGCCACCACCCTGCATCTTGTTGCCCCTGACTGCCAGGATCTAGAGGTGGAGGTAGACTGGGCACCGGAGGGGCGGCTGGAGCATGAGCTGTGGTGCGACATCCGAATCGAGTCGGGGCGGCTGATACACCTTGCCATCCATCCCTCTTTCTCCGTCCCTTTCGCTACCCACCAACCTCTTGTTGCCCCCGACTGGCAGGACCTAGAGCTGGAGGTGGACTGGGCGCCGGAGGGGCGGTTGGAGCATGAGCTGTGGGGCGACATTCGAATCGAGTCGGGGCGGCTGAGGCGCATGTCGCTGGAGCTCGCTGCTGGCTTCCAATTTCATGCAAACCCTGATGCGTTCAGCCGACTCACCGAACTCAAGGTACGGCCAAGCTCTCGACTGACTTCTGAGTCGGCTCAAAGGGGTGGTTGAGGCGCATGTCGCTGGAGCTCGCTGCTGGCTTCCAGTTCCACGCCAACCCCGATGCCTTCAGCCGACTCACTGAGCTCAAGGTGAGGTCGTGACTTCTGAGTTGACTCACTGAGTTCAAGGTACGGTCAAGTTGAAGCCGCAGGCTTCAAGTCGACTGAAAGGGGCGGCGGCTGAGGCGCATGTCACTGGAGCTTGCTGCTGGCTTCCAGTTCCACGCCAACCCCGACGCCTTCAGCCGCCTTACTGAGCTCAAGGTACAGTCAAGTTCAAGTTCAGGCCTGAGTATGATTGGACTCAAAGGGGCGGCGGCTGTGGCGCATGCCGCTGGAGCTAGCCGCTGGCTTCCAGTTCCAGGAGAGACGAGACGAGGGCTGATGCTTTCAGCCGACTCACTGAGCTCAAGGTGCGATGGTGACTTGTGAGTCGATTCAAAAGAGCTCTCTGCTTCCACTCTGGAGGAGCTCTGCCCGACGTGCTACACCGACCCGCTCACAGCCTCTCCATCCACACCACACCTACCCTTCCCGTGTTTTGTTCCGTTTTTTGTTCCCTGTTTTAGTTGTCGTTAACGAGAAGAGTTCCAGTTTTACAGACTCCCGGTTTTGCTAGTGTTTAGTTTTACACTCTTTCCTACTTGCTTAAGCCGTCTCCTAAGCAGTTTTGAGGCGCCTCAAAACTAACCGTCTCCTAAGCACCGCGGCTTGCTCACTGGAACTATGTCAGAAGCTCGCTGCTCGCTCCCTGGAGGAGCTCTCCCCGATGCGTTCAGCCGAGTCACTGAGCTGAAGGTGCGGTGGTGACTTGTGAGCTGATTCAAAAGAGCTCGCTGCTCGCTCCCTGGAGGGGCTCTCCCCGACGTGCTACATCGACCCGCTCACAGCCTCTCCATCCACACCTCTCCTCCCCGTGTTTCTCCCTACTTCCCCTCTTCCTTCTCCAGTTGACAGGTGACGACTGGAGTTGGGGCACAGTGCGGGCCATCTTAGACCTCTGTGCTCTGTCTCTCGAGGAGCTGTCTCTCACATGCTACATCGACCCGCTCACAGCGGCCTCCATCGATACTGCAACGGCATTCTTCTCCTCCCTGCTCTCTGCCGCCTCCACCTGCCTGTGTTCCTTCTTCCTCCCCCTTCCCCACCAGTTGACAGGTGACGACTGGAGTTGGGGAACAGTGAGGGCAATTCTCGACCTTTGTGCTCTGTCTCTCGAGGAGCTCTCCCTGACGTGCTACATCGACCCGCTCACAGCGGCCTCCATCGACACGGCCACGGCATTCTTCTCCTCGCTGCCCTCGCTGCGCTTCCTGCTGCTCTGCCCCTCCGTCTACTACGTCATGATCGCCACACTGGGCGACACTAAAGTTATTCGGGTACGTGCGTGCAAACCCGGGTGGCAAAGAGCAGTGATACCAGGGCCTGTACTGTGTGCGTCCATCGCTGCGCTTCCTGCTGCTCTGCCCCTCCGCTTAGTTCAGAAAGACGCGTCCTGCGTCCTGGACGCATGCGTCCAGACGCATGCGTCCAGACGCAGGACGCTGACCCTTGACCTGTAAGACGCACCAAAAGACGCAAGCCCGGGCAGGGCAAAAAAAATCCCCGGGCAGGCCAAAAAAAATAGTATAGGGCTTGGGAGAGGGGGGGGGGGGGGTGTCATACCACAAAATTTTCCCCCAAAATTTGAGATTAAGGTGAGTCACGTGTCACACATTTCACAGAAGGAATGCTCGAGGAAGCCATAGCGGAGTTTAGGTGGTAAGCTAAGCTAAAGACCTAAAACCTCTATGGGTTTACGAAAGAGAATTGGTGAAGGGAAAATGAGAAGCCACAAAAGGTTGCCATGCTAAATGTGCTTGGTGGTGGTGGGCTACAAAGGTTGGGATTCGTAGATGCTAAGTGGTTGAGAGGTTTGAGTGAAATTCAATTTTGGTTTAGTTGTTAGGGAATGTTAGGGGGGCTGGTTTTGAATGGCGAATTGGGCTTGGGGTGGGGAAATTTCGCGATTTCGACATTCGCGTCGAAATCGCGAATGCCAAAATCGCGATCGAAATTTTTTTTTTCGGGCTGCCCGAAAAAATTTTCGACGTGCGTCCTGCGTCTGGACGCGCGTCCTGCGTCCTAGCTGCGTCTTTCCGAACTAAGCCCCTCCGTCTACTACGTCATGATCGCCACACTGGGCGACACTAAAGTCATCAGGGTACGTCTGTGCATACCAATGCATACCAAAGTGCATACCAATGCATACCAAAGTGCATACCAATGCATACCAAAGTGCATACCAAAGTGCATACCAAAGTGCATACCAAAGTGCATACCAAAGTGCATACCAAAGTGCCAGGTACGTAGTGCAATCATCGCTGCGCTTCCTGCTGCTCTGCCCCTCCGCCTAGTACGTCATGATGGCCACACTGGCCGATACAAAGGTTTTCAGGGTACGTGTGTGTGTGCACACCCAAGTGGCAAAGAGCAAAGAGCAGTGAGCTTTTGAGGCGCCTAAAAAATACAGGTTATAAGGATACGTGTGTGTGTGCACACCAGAGTGACCAAGCGCAGTGATGCCAGCAGGGCCAGGACCGAGCGTCCATCGCTGCACTTTCTGCTGCGCTTCCCCTCCGTCTACTTACGTCATGATCGCCACGCTTGTGAGCACACCCCGCAAACTCACCCTCTCCCCCTCCATTCCCCCCAGGCGCCCAGCCTAAAAGAGTTCCACGTGGAGTATCACGACCACGCCATGGCAGTAACTGCGAGACCGCTCTCAATCCCCAGTTACCCCTTTCAACCTTCCCCATTCCCCCATTCCCTCCAGGCGCCCAGCCTAGAAGAATTCCATGTGGAGTATCACGACCACGCCATGGCAGTCATCGCCTTCCTCGCTGCTCTCCTGCGAGGCAGCCCGCGCCTGCGGTGCATCCAGCCCATGGTCACCGTGCCTCAAGAACCGGGCACCGACTTGTTGGGAGACAAGGACTTTCGGCAGGCCATCGCCCGCCTCCAGGCCGAGTTCCCCCGCGTGTCGTTCCCGTCTGTCTGGCAACTGACTTGACTGCACACAGTCAGGCCATTGGCGGTTTCTCTAAGGCAACATGCAGCAGCCTTGGAAGCGCATGCTGCATCCAGTCCATGGTCACGGTGCCTCAGGAGCCGGGCACCGACTTGTTGGGAGACAAGGACTTCCGGCAGGCCATTGCCCGCCTTCAGGCCGAGTTCCCCCGCGTGGCGTTCCCCTCCGTATGGCAACTGACATAACCGCACGCACTCATGCAGCCTACCTTGGGAGGCAGTTTTTTTTAGGGGATTCAAAAACGGGTGGGAACGCGGCCTCAGGAGCCAGCACTGACGGCCTGACTGCCTGACTGTCTGACAATCTGACCTGCTGGGAAACCAGGACAGGACCTAGGCTGCTGTGGGCAAGCCATGGCCCTAAACCGTGGTTCTCCACCCATCTGTTTCTTGCGCTAGGTGGTACTTGTAAATTATTCGTGTAGTGTGATATTATTGCAATTTGGGCTTCCCTCCCTACACATCTGAGAGGGTGAACCGCTGCAGTTGCTGATTTTGCAAAGCCCTTGTGATTAGACTGGTGCAGTGCACCCTCTGCAATGAGCGGGCAGTTTCTAGAGGACAGAAAAGGGCACGTTAGCCTTGGCAAATGGAAATGCATTGCAGAAGGTTTTACTATTATTATTCTTCGGCTAGAAAGTCACCTCGACATAACTCCATTACAAGCAAGCAGCTTTTGAAGGATAATGAGATCAATCCAGCGTTAGTGAATGCATGCGAGCCACAAGGCCCTTGCAAGAACATCGTGCTCTGCTCTTGCAGGTTGTTTTTCAGACTTCTAAAAAACAACCTACCGTACAACATCAAGAACATCGTGCTCTGGTCTAATGAACTAGTGGTGCGGCAAGAAAGAGAGGAGCCCAGCCCAGCCATAACACGTGTGGAAGGAAAAAGCCCACCACGAGTCCTCCAATGCAAAGCTTTCAAGCAGAGGCCTCGGAAAGAAGGCCTTCACAGGAAGACCACGTCAGCAGTGGCGTATGCGAGTCAGAAGGCCGTGTCGATCATGTAGAGCGCGGCAGCAAGGTGACTTTTGAGTCGACTCAAAGGCCAGGCCAGAAGGCTGTGGCGATCATGTAGAGCGTTGCTGCAACGGCCGGCACTGCATCAGACAATCCATCACCTAACCTTCACGGAAATGAGCTCTATGGAAGGGTTTCAAAGGTACTGGTACTAGAAACAGAATCCCTTATGGGAAGACCACATCAGCGGTGGCGTATGCGAGCCAGAAGGCCGTGGCGAGCACGTAGAGCGCTGCTGTGACGGCCAGCACTGCATCAGACGACCCACAACCCAGCTTTCACGGGAATGAGTTCAATGAACGGGTTTCGAAGGTCCTAAACAAAGGAAGCCCTTATGGGAAGACCACGTCAGCGGTGGCGTATGCGAGCCAGAAGGCCGTGGCGAGCACGTAGAGCGCTGCTGTGACGGCCAGCACTGCATGGAACGAGCCCAGCTGCTCCACCATGAACCCGGTTGCCACCGTGCTGGTGATGCCCGCTAAGGTCCCCGCTGTGTTGGACAGACCTGGATGGCGGAAGGGGGAGAAGCGGAATAACCACAAGACCTTCCTGTTAATACTGACGCCGGTTAAGGGACAGGCGCTCCACCATGAAGCCTGTTGCCACCATGTTTGTGATGCCTGCTAAGGTCCCCGCTGTGTCGGACAGACCTGGAGGGTGTGGAGGAGGGGCAGAGGAAGGGGGGGATGTAAGAAATAGGCCCCCTCCATGAAGCCTGTCATTACCGTGCTGGTGATGCCTGCTAGCGTGCCTGCTGTGTTGGATATACCTGGAGGGAGGAGGCGTGGGGAGGGGAGGAGGCAGGGGGGGTCAGACAGAGCATTCACTGCAGCACGGAGTTGAGGCGCATGGGAGGTTGGGTGATTTCAATGGGAGTGTCATGTTTTTTAGGCGCCCATTTTGTTGCAGGTTGATACAGAAAACTCTCCAAATCAATGGAGCAATTCCTAGGAGGGTCACATTCGTGAGGCGGCTCAAGAAAGAACTGCTGCAGAGCATCGTTAAGGCGTGACTCACTAAAAGGACACTTCGTTTGCACCTTGGTCGAAGATGCAGCAAAAAGAGCAAGGCATATTGAGGCAGAGCGACTCACCATGCAAGAGACCCACGTGGCGCGGTGCTATGTCCTGTTGAGAGGTGGCCGGGCAGGGAGGGGAATGCGGGGAGAGGGGTTGGAGCGGGGGAGAGGTGGGGAGGAAAGGCGGGTTAGAGAGAGGTAGATAGGTGGATAGAGCAACAGAGATTGTGAAATGGAGGGAGGGGAGGGAGTGGGGTGTGAGAGGCACAAAAGAATCAGAAGCTGGGAGGTGAGGGGAAGAATCACCAAGAGAGGGGGGCAGAGGGCAGGCAGTTGCGCCATGTGAGTCTGAGACCAACGTGGCACGTCATGATTGGTGGGAAAGATGCAGGGTACAGGTGGGTAAGACACTTGTCTTGTGTGAAGGGACGGAAGATCCTTTAATAACCCATGGGAGAGGGCAGAGGGCAGTAGGCAGATGGCTGAGGCTATACCTCTCTCTCTCTCGCTCTCTCGAACGAACGAACCCGAAAATTTGAAAGTGAAGCAAATAATGACGTGCCAGAGGGCGACTGAGTGAGTGAGTGAGTAAGTGAGTGAGAGATTGAGAGAGGGTGAGTGAGAGTGCCAGAGGGTGAGTGAGTGATGAGAGCTGCTGGGCGCGCACCTTGTGGTTGAGGAGCCACCCGGCTTGGCTGAACGCACTGAGACCGAGAGCAGCAGTGAGGCAGAGTGAGAGATCAAGCGATGGAGAGAGCGAGGGGTGGAGAGGAGGGGTGCAGAGCGCGCACCTTGTGGTTGAGGAGCCACCCGGCTTGGCTGAATGCACTGAGGCCGAGGGCAGCAGTGAGGCAGAGAGCGGCGAGGGGAGCAGTGGTCATGCGCGTGAGCAGCAGCAGAGATGCAGCCGGTCCCAGGAACCCGGCAGCCTGAGGGGAGACGGTGGGGAGGAGTGGAGTGGAGCAGAGATCAGGGTGGTGGAGAAGAGGAGGGAGGGGTGAATAGGTAGGAGGAGAAGCAGAAGGAGGGGCAGTGGAGCAACGACCCCGGGAGTATGGGATGGAAAGGCAAGAGTGAACAACAAGTGGAGTGCGGAGACGTCACCTCGAACATGACTCTGATTTTCTTTTCTTATTGTCGATTTTTGAGTCGACTCAAAAATCGACTCACTACACATGGGATGGAAAGGCAAGAGTGAACAACAAGTGGAGTGCGGAGACGTCACCTCGAACATGACTCTGATTTTCTTTTCTTATTGTACAGTACGCGGTACTTCAATCAACCTGATACCTTACCTCACTGAGTTTGTGCAGCAAACACATACTGCCTGTCTGTTTTCCATGTGACATAAAACAATCACGACTCAGAAACCCTCACCTGCATGACTTTGCGCACGGCAGTGCGGGTCATGCCCTGCGTGCCCTCCATCTGGTTCGCCAGCTGTGCTGCGAGCAGCCCCATGCCCGCCATCACCGCCCATGGCCCGGCACTGAACCACGCTGCCTGGCGGATGTCCGTGTGCAGCACCTGGTGGGTGGGAGAGAGTGTGAGAGTAGGAGAGTGACAGTAAGTGGGAGGGTGTGCGATGACAGGCCGCCAGCCAGCTGTGCTGCGAGCAGTCCCATGCCCGCCATGACCGCCCATGGCCCCGCACTGAACCACGCTGCCTGCCTGATGTCCGTGTGCAGCACCTGGTGGGTGGGAGAGAGTGTGAGAGTAGGAGAGTAACAGTAAGTGGGAGGGTGTGCGATGACAGGCCGCCAGCCAGCTTTTGAGACGTCTCAAAAGAGAGTAGGAGAGTGACTGTAAGTGGGAGGGTGTGCGATGACAGGCCGCCAGCCAGCTGTGCTGCGAGTAGCCCCATGCCTGCCATGACCGCCCATGGCCCCGCACTGAACCACGCTGCCTGGCGGATATCCGTGTGCAGGACCTGATGGGTGGGAGAGAGTGTGAGGAGTGTGTAGGAGAGCGTGCGAGAATGGGTGTATGCGAGAGGGGAGAGAGTGTGAGAGAGAGCAGTAGTGTGGGAGAGGAGGTGCCGGCAGGGAGGAGATGAGGGGCCAGGTGGGCTAGAGAGACAGCAGCTGATTTGATACGTTTAAGTGACAAACCTGGTAGATGTAAATCAGCATCCATGAAAGTCTTGAGGAGCCTCAAAACTGCGAGTTGAGAACCGCCTTTTAAGGCGCCTACATTAAAATGACCCACCTGGTTGAAGTAGAGTGGCATCCAGGAGAGCAGAATGAAGTAGCCCTGGTTAGGGGTGCGGAGGAAGGCGCGGGGAGCAAGGTGGGGAGAAAGGGGTGGGGAGAAAGGGGTGGGGAGAAAGGGGTGGGGAGAAAGGGGTGGGGAGAAAGGGGTGGGGAGAAAGGGGTGGGGAGAAGAGGGCGAGGAGCAAGTGTGAAGAACAAGGCGTGGGGAGCAACGACGATGAGTCGATGACAAAGACGGTGCTGGTATTGATGGTTGTGAAACTGGAATATGAACTGAATCTTCTCATCTCACCCAGTTATTGACAGTATTGGCGATGATGATAGCCCATGATGCGGGGTGTGACAGCAGCTGCCACACCGTCACGCGCGACCCACTGGCACCAACACCACTCTGCATCGTCTGCTTCCCTTCCAGCCGCCCGCCATTATCAGCACCAGAGGCAACGAGCGCACCGGGCGCAGCAGAGGCATCTCCAGGCACGAGGAGCAGCCAGAGCGCGAGCCAGAGCAGTCCCAGCGCGCCGAAAAGGAGGAAGGGGCCGGTCAAACCCAGACCCGGCAGGGCCATGAGGGAAGGAGCAGAGAGCAGCCCGAGCATGCTGCCCACGTGGAAGCCCGCGAAGCAGATTCCTACGGCCCACGCACGTTTGTTCTCTGGCACATAGCTGTTCAGTGTGGGGGAACAAGGGGACGGGGAGAATGAAACGGGGGACAGGGAGCAAGAGGGACCATGAGCGAGGGCGCTGAGAGCAGCCCCAGCATGCTGCCCACGTGGAACCCTGCAAAGCAGATTCCCACCGCCCATACCCTCCGGCTCTCTGGCACGTAACTGTTCGGTAGAGTGCGGGGGGGTTGGGGGACGTGGGTGGGACGGGGGATGGGGGGAAGGGAAGATTGAGGATGAGCACTAAGGCGTGAGGGCGTGAGCAGCGTGGCGAGCGAGCAACCAGAGGCCCAGCCAGCCCTGCTGCCAGCCAGCAGAGCCCCATGGTTGCCCTGACGGCCAACAGAGCTCCCAGGGAGTGTGCAGCAGCGGAGGGCGTTAGTAATGGAGCGAGCAACCAGAGCCCCAGCCCTGCTGCCAGCCAGCACAAAACGGCCACCGTAACGCAAAAAAAAAAGGAGCACTTGAAACCCCCTCTAAACTAGACAGCTCGTACCGTGAAACCATGTGGTTCATGCAGGGCAGAGCCACCCCCTCCCCTAGCCCCATGGTTGCGAGTTGACTTTTGAGTCGACTAAAAAGTCAAGAACACTTGAAACCCCCTCTAAACAGTTCGTACCGTGAAACCATGTGGTTCATGCAGGGCAGAGCCACCCCCTCCCCTAGCCCCATGGTTGCGAGTTGACTTTTGAGTCGACTCAAAAGTCAAGAACACTTGAAACCCCCTCTAAACAGTTCGTACCGTGAAACCATGTGGTTCATGCAGGGCAGAGCCACCCCCTCCCCTAGCCCCATGGTTGCGAGTTGACTTTTGAGTCGACTCAAAAGTCAAGAACACTTGAAACCCCCTCTAAACAGTTCGTACCGTGAAACCATGTGGTTCATGCAGGGCAGAGCCACCCCCTCCCCTAGCCCCATGGTTGCGAGTTGACTTTTGAGTCGACTCAAAAGTCAAGAACACTTGAAACCCCCTCTAAACAGTTCGTACCGTGAAACCATGTGGTTCATGCAGGGCAGAGCCACCCCCTCCCCTAGCCCCATGGTTGCGAGTTGACTTTTGAGTCGACTCAAAAGTCAAGAACACTTGAAACCCCCTCTAAACAGTTCGTACCGTGAAACCATGTGGTTCATGCAGGGCAGAGCCACCCCCTCCCCTAGCCCCATGGTTGCGAGTTGACTTTTGAGTCGACTCAAAAGTCAAGAACACTTGAAACCCCCTCTAAACAGTTCGTACCGTGAAACCATGTGGTTCATGCAGGGCAGAGCCACCCCCTCCCCTAGCCCCATGGTTGCGAGTTGACTTTTGAATCGACTCAAAAGTCAAGAACACTTGAAACCCCCTCTAAACAGTTCGTACCGTGAAACCATGTGGTTCATGCAGGGCAGAGCCACCCCCTCCCCTAGCCCCATGGTTGCCCTGACGGCCAACAGAGCTCCCAGGGAGTGTGCAGCAGCGGAGGGCGTTAGTAATGTAGCGAGGGACCATAGCGCCAGCCCTGCTGCCAGCACGGGACGGCCGCCGTAGCGGTCCGCGAGAGACCCCCCTATGATGGGCGTGATGAGATAGCCCCATAGGAAGGATGACTGAAAGGGGAAGGGGGGGGTGGGGGAGGGGAAGCGTGTGGGAGGGAGGCGGGGGATGGGGAAAGTGATACGCGTACACCCACGAAAGATCAACCCAATCAAGGGGCACCCCCTAACGGTTAAACTTCCCCCAGCGCCAGCACCCTTCCCCCGCCTTTCCTCTCCTTCCTGCCCGTTCCCTCACCTGCACGATGCCCTCTCTTCTCACCTGCACGATGCCCTCTCTTCTCACCTGCACGATGCCCTCTCTTCTCACCTGCACGATGCCCTCTCTTCTCACCTGCACGATTCCCTCTCTTCTCACCTGCACGATTCCCTCTCTTCTCACCTGCACGATGCCCTCTCTTCTCACCTGCACGATGCCCTCTCTTCTCACCTGCACGATGCCCTCTCTTCTCACCTGCACGATGCCCTCTCTTCTCACCTGCACGATGCCCTCTCTTCTCACCTGCACGATGCCCTCTCTTCTCACCTGCACGATTCCCTCTCTTCTCACCTGCACGATGCCCTCTCTTCTCACCTGCACGATGCCCTCTCTTCTCACCTGCACGATGCCCTCTCTTCTCACCTGCACGATTCCCTCTCTTCTCACCTGCACGATGCCCTCTCTTCTCACCTGCACGATGCCCTCTCTTCTCACCTGCACGATGCCCTCTCTTCTCACCTGCACGATTCCCTCACTTCTCACCTGCACGATTCCCTCTCTTCTCACCTGCACGATTCCCTCTCTTCTCACCTGCACGATGCCCTCTCTTCTCACCTGCACGATTCCCTCTCTTCTCACCTGCACGATTCCCTCTCTTCTCACCTGCACGATGCCCTCTCTTCTCACCTGCACGATGCCCTCTCTTCTCACCTGCACGATGCCCTCTCTTCTCACCTGCACGATTCCCTCTCTTCTCACCTGCACGATGCCCTCTCTTCTCACCTGCACGATTCCCTCTCTTCTCACCTGCACGATTCCCTCTCTTCTCACCTGCACGATTCCCTCTCTTCTCACCTGCACGATGCCCTCTCTTCTCACCTGCACGATGCCCTCTCTTCTCACCTGCACGATGCCCTCTCTTCTCACCTGCACGATTCCCTCACTTCTCACCTGCACGATTCCCTCTCTTCTCACCTGCACGATTCCCTCTCTTCTCACCTGCACGATGCCCTCTCTTCTCACCTGCACGATGCCCTCTCTTCTCACCTGCACGATTCCCTCTCTTCTCACCTGCACGATTCCCTCTCTTCTCACCTGCACGATGCCCTCTCTTCTCACCTGCACGATGCCCTCTCTTCTCACCTGCACGATGCCCTCTCTTCTCACCTGCACGATGCCCTCTCTTCTCACCTGCACGATGCCCTCTCTTCTCACCTGCACGATGCCCTCTCTTCTCACCTGCACGATTCCCTCTCTTCTCACCTGCACGATGCCCTCTCTTCTCACCTGCACGATGCCCTCTCTTCTCACCTGCACGATGCCCTCTCTTCTCACCTGCACGATTCCCTCTCTTCTCACCTGCACGATGCCCTCTCTTCTCACCTGCACGATGCCCTCTCTTCTCACCTGCACGATGCCCTCTCTTCTCACCTGCACGATTCCCTCACTTCTCACCTGCACGATTCCCTCTCTTCTCACCTGCACGATTCCCTCTCTTCTCACCTGCACGATGCCCTCTCTTCTCACCTGCACGATTCCCTCTCTTCTCACCTGCACGATTCCCTCTCTTCTCACCTGCACGATGCCCTCTCTTCTCACCTGCACGATGCCCTCTCTTCTCACCTGCACGATGCCCTCTCTTCTCACCTGCACGATTCCCTCTCTTCTCACCTGCACGATGCCCTCTCTTCTCACCTGCACGATTCCCTCTCTTCTCACCTGCACGATTCCCTCTCTTCTCACCTGCACGATTCCCTCTCTTCTCACCTGCACGATGCCCTCTCTTCTCACCTGCACGATGCCCTCTCTTCTCACCTGCACGATGCCCTCTCTTCTCACCTGCACGATTCCCTCACTTCTCACCTGCACGATTCCCTCTCTTCTCACCTGCACGATTCCCTCTCTTCTCACCTGCACGATGCCCTCTCTTCTCACCTGCACGATGCCCTCTCTTCTCACCTGCACGATTCCCTCTCTTCTCACCTGCACGATTCCCTCTCTTCTCACCTGCACGATTCCCTCTCTTCTCACCTGCACGATGCCCTCTCTTCTCACCTGCACGATGCCCTCTCTTCTCACCTGCACGATGCCCTCTCTTCTCACCTGCACGATTCCCTCACTTCTCACCTGCACGATTCCCTCTCTTCTCACCTGCACGATTCCCTCTCTTCTCACCTGCACGATGCCCTCTCTTCTCACCTGCACGATGCCCTCTCTTCTCACCTGCACGATGCCCTCTCTTCTCACCTGCACGATTCCCTCTCTTCTCACCTGCACGATGCCCTCTCTTCTCACCTGCACGATTCCCTCTCTTCTCACCTGCACGATTCCCTCTCTTCTCACCTGCACGATGCCCTCTCTTCTCACCTGCACGATGCCCTCTCTTCTCACCTGCACGATGCCCTCTCTTCTCACCTGCACGATGCCCTCTCTTCTCACCTGCACGATGCCCTCTCTTCTCACCTGCACGATGCCCTCTCTTCTCACCTGCACGATGCCCGCGACGCTGGGCGGCCAGCCGTTGGATGCGGAGAGGGGAAGGATGGCAACGGACATGATCACGCGGTCCGCGTTGCACAGCACAAGCGCCACTGCCACGAGCGCCACCAGCGCCGGCACCGCCACCGCTGCTGCTTTCGGCGCTGCTGCTGCGGCTGATTCTCCTGTTGGTAGTAGTGATTCTTGTGCTGCGGATATGACCGCTGCTGCTGCCCTGTCTGGTCCTCTTTCTGATTCCGAAGCACAAGCTGACACGGGTGGCGCTGCTACTGCTGCTGCCCTGTCTCGTCCATCCTGCTCCGACACAGCTGCCACGTCAGCTTCTGCTTCGTGAGCAACTGCCACGTCAGCGGGCCTGTCTCTTACCTCGGGCGCTGCAGTTGCTACTGCGTTTGGGAATTTGGCCGCCTCATCTGGTTGGCTGTTCGAGTGACTCGCGTCCGTACGACCGCCGTCTGAAGTAGGCGAACCAACGGCTGCTGAAGTTTTCCGGCAATTTCTAGGTCGCGGTCGGTTTTGGAATAAGCAGCCGCTAGAGATCGCTACAGACATGCAAGGGGAAACGGGCTCCGTGAAGCGACCGCGTGGAAAGCTCGAATCGGAAAGCTCTTTCCGTAAAACGCGGCAATTACCATTCTCACGCCGGTTCTGGCTGAAACCAGCGCAAATCGTGGCGTGGTTTGCGGTCGGGTTGTGGTTGTGCGTCGAACAGGCCGGCGCGGCGTGCGCCAAACTAAGACACCCGGCTGAGAGCGCGTTTCCCGGGACAGCTGGCATGACGGCTACCATAGGGATTGCCGCGTCGAGATGGGAACAGTAAGCAAATTAGTGGTGCTATCTGGTCCGATCTGGTCTGGTCTGATCTGCTCCGATTTGGTCTGATGCGGCGGTGTGGCAGCAAGGCTGAATTTGGGCGGCGGCGGCAAGATCGAGGCGGAGCCAATGCAGCAGAAACGCTTTATAGGATTTGAGAGGCAAAATGAGGCTTGTAAAACGGAATAGCAATACGGGCTTTAGGCCCGAAAAACGACAATCAAGCAAATGAGTCAATATGATATGCTTCACATGAGCAAATTAGAGATGGTCATATTATCACTAGTTCCATGAGACATGGGCCAAAAAAAGGAACACGCGTGCGCGCGCACGCGCGCGCGCCCACACACACGCACACACACACTCACACACACACACACACACACAGTCACACACACACACACACACACAGTCTCACACACACACACACACACACACACACACACACACACACACACACACACACACACACACAGAAATGACACAATGCAGTTTTGCTGCAAATTACTCATTCTACTGCCTTGTAACCCACTACACATGTGGACAAAAGGCCGTTGGGTCCATCGGGCTGGTCATTAGCCCCCAGTTCCGTCGTTGCATTCACCAGCCTTCCCCTGACACACGTGCTCGCACATTCCATCAGCGCCACCAGCGCGTTGTTGCGCTCCGTTTCCTCAAACTCGTTCAAGGAGGTCTACAGGCCCGTTAGGCATGTCAATGGAGACGATCCTCATGCTCGCATTCACCAGCCGCCCCTTAACCCCGGTAACCGCATACTGCATGAGCGCCGTGAGGGCATTGAACTCGCTGATTGTCGCCCGCACCTCGGGCGTGAACCAGCTGTAGTTCCACTCGTTTGTACCGTGCACCACGAACACAGACGGGCAGGTGTAGTCACATGTTCCGTTCCTGCTAATGAGCGATACATATGCCTCAGATATGGTCGGAGCCGGAGTCGAATCGTCGCAGCACCCGTCCCCTTTCTTCCCCTTCTTGCCCTCCTTGTCAGCCCCCCTCAACTTTCCCTTATCCTTGTTGCTATCCTTCTCCTTCTTCTTGTTCTCGTTCTTGCACGCCGGGTCTGAGGGAGACGGGGCTGGGGCAGAATCTTGCAGGTAGACTCGGAGGGCGGAGGTGAAGGGCTCATCGGTGGGCACCACCACGACAAATACGACGTCGACTCGGAAGGACAGCCCGTCCGCCCTGATACAGGGAAGGGAAACACACGGGCAAGAAAGGGGAGGGACAGAGACGGGAAAGGAGAGGAAACACAATTTCTGGTGTACATGCGCTTTGGAGCACAACGTGGATGAGATAGCAAAGGGAGGGAGTCGACTCAGAATGACTTTTGACTCTTGATTCAACTCAAAAGTCCTCTCGGGTGGGAAAGAAATGCGCATGTTGGTGTACATGCGCATTGTAGGATATGCATGAGAGAGAAACGTGGATGAGAGAGCAAAGGTGAGCCAGATGCCCGGGTGGGGGAGAGAGAAGCTCACGACTGGGTGAAGGTGAGGTTGGCGCCGCCAGGCATGTAGGAGCGGAAGCGAACCACGTAGTTGGGGTTGGGCACAGAAACGGGGACCGGCCCGACTTCCACTGCAGGCAGGTGAGAGAGGAGAAAGACGATTGATTTTGGGAGAGCGATGAAGAGCGAGACACGAACAAGACTGGTGCTCTCACTAGCAAGACAAACCTTCGAATGGATTCCCGCCACACTACCACCACTCTTACCCAGAATGTCCGGATGCCTCCCACACTCACAGAATTTCAGATTGGTGTCAACCCGGAACTGCCCCACTGCAGAGTGCAACCCAGACTGGGTGTTACTCCCGTACGCCATGACCACCCCGGGAAACGCAGACGAGTTGTCTATCAGCTGCAGCAGCGCAGCGTAGCGCTCGGGGTCGGTGACAGCGCTGCTGGTGAACGTGCCGATTGCCTGCCACACGGACGGCACGGGCTGGGCCCACGTGGGCGCGGCAGGGGGGAGGCTGCACCTGGACGGGTCGCAGCCTGGGATGGTTGTGTTTGCTAGGGTGATGTAGACGGGCGGGCCGGCGGGGAGAGCAGCGAAGATCTTGTAGGTCGCTTGGATGGTGGTGGTGATGGTGTCGAAGCTGGATGTGGATGTGGGTGCGGGGGTGGGGGAGGGAAGTGAGGGTGGGGGATGGAAATGGGGGATGCTGGGGGAGGGGGTTAAGACGAGGGGGAACGGGGAAAAAGGAAGTGGCGGCAGAAGCAACCGGGTACATTGGATAAGGCTAGAAGTCTAAGCAGTTACTAGGCGCAGGTGCTTACGAGAGGCGCAGATGCTTAAGAGAGGCGCAGGTGCTTACGAGAGGCGCAGGTGCTTAAGAGAGGCGCAGGTATTACGAGAGGCGCAGGTGCTTACGAGAGGCGCAGGTAGATGACTCCGCGTGAGTCCCCATCCACCATCTCCGCGAACGCATACGTGTCTGGCCGACGAGGGGATGGGGAGGGGAAGGGGGAGGAGGGGGGAGAGGGGGACGAGGGGAGAAAGAACGACGAGGGAGACGAAGGGGATGAGGGGAAAGGCGGAGTACGTGAGGGTAAGAATTCGAAAAAAGTGGGGAAGCGGGCTATATTCGGGAGAGTGGCGCGATGGTGAGGGGAGCACGAGCGGCGCGAGGGTCGGAGGAGCACGAGCGGCGTGGGGGTGGGGGAAGCACGAGCGGCGCGGGGGTAGGGGAAGCGCGAGCGGCGCGGGGGTGGGGGAAGCACGAGCGGCGCGAGGGTGGAGGGGAGCGGGGGATGGATCGCACCAGAATTGCCGCTCCCCGGTGAGCCGACGGGCGGAGGGGCGGCGGCAGAAGTCGAGCCCACGAGATAGGAGGCAGAGAGCGCTGCGGGGAAAAAGTGGGTGAGGTGGGGAGAGGGGGAGAGAGTGGAGGATTGGTGACAAAGGAAGAAGAGGGAGGGGGGGATGGTGAGGAAGGAAGAGGATGAGTAAGTCGGCAACAGTGGTACTACCACGGCGGCTTGGAGAAAGCTACCATAGATTGAACGGCATGTGAAATGAGTTCAACGTGTCATGTTCAAGATGGCGTCGACTCGACTCGGCGCTCGACTCAGGTCTCAAATCAGCCCCGCTGAAATCAGTGGAGCTCAGCGATCGGAACCCCGACTCGCCGCGATCAGAACTTGGGAGAGCTCACCGATTACAAGAATGAGGGGGAGGAGGAGGGGATTCGCCGTCGTGAATAGCCGCGGCGAGCGCGTCCGATGCGACGGTCTCGACATGATTGCTACTGCAATGGCGGCGGACTGACGACGACGCGCGCACTGAGCGTTTAGAAGGGACGAGAATGGAGTGAGAATTCGGAAAAGCTCGCCCGATGAGCGCAGCGCTGCAATAGGTCACTCGGTCGCTGCTTTGACACTTCGCGGATCGACAAATGCCAATCGAAGCTGACGAGGCTTTCGCCGAGGCGAAGGAGCGGTGAAAGTAAACTGGCATGACAAAATTCGTCCATTTGAATTGGAAAAAAAATCTCGCCCCACTGTAGGCTCACACGAATTTCGGGACTGGTGGGGACTGGAGAGTCGGCAGCGCGCTGGCTACTAGGTGACCGAGGCGAGGAGTCAATCGAGGACTTCGCCGAATTGGTCGACATAAATTTGGAAAATCAAGAAAGCAAGTAAACTGCTTGGCTCTGGACAGATGCGAGGCGAATGTTCTCTGGTTGGGGTCCGATTTTCAAGTCCTCTGTTGCTGCAAGAATCGCCTGGCTCGTAAAAAACAAACAGAACCCTCTGCTCTGGTGGCATCGCCTGGGTGTTCTCCTGGTGTTGGTGGTGTGAAGGATAGAAGTGTGCGGTGCGGCGCGGACTTCAATTGAGTCAAGCGGCTCGTGATCCGAAAATTGAGTGTGTGTAAAAATGAGTTCGTCTTTGCTCTAAACCCTACCCGAACGTAGAAACGTGCAAACGAGCCGTTCTTACACGCACAACATCCCCCTAAATCCTCCCATCCGAGTCTTTGGTGAACCCATGGGAACCCAAAATGAAGCGCACATGCATACAAGAACACTTGTTGGATGGAGATGAGATTACCGGTACAAATCAAACAATTTACCGTCACAACAAATAAAATACAACTAGACTGATCAACCGTTCTCATTCTCTCATTCAACCCCTTCCAAGAAAAACACAACCAAACACATCTACAACACAATAATTAAACCACAATACAAAAAAGAAGGCCGTGGCACGATGAAAGCCATTATAAGCTATGTTAGCAGCAGGCAACAGTGGCAACCTGGCTCCAGAATGCCACGGCTGTAAGATACATCACCTATCAACGCCTTAATATCGCTGCAGCAGATCGTTCGGCCCCTTGCCGCTGCCAGACGCCTCCAGCATCATGCTTGCGTTCACCAGCCTCCCCTTCACACCAGTCAGCGCATACTGCATGAGCGCATTCAGCGCCACATATCTAGGGTCTGCCTCGCGAGCTGCTTGTGTGGGGAAGCCCCAGGCGGCTGAGAAGAACCACTGCTGCGCGCCAATCACAGCGTAGAAAATGGGGCAGTCGGTGCTGCCAGCGGGGCACGTGTTGGAGTAGCCGCCGAGAGGGAGGGAGACGGATGAGACGGTGGGAACAGCAGGAGGAGGAGGGGATGGGGGTGGGGATGGGGGAGGGGACGGGGGAGGGGAGGGTGGGGATGGGGGAGGAGACGGGGGAGGGGATGGTGGAGATGGGGGCGGGGAGGGTGGTGGGGAGGGTGGGGATGGGGGTGGGGATGGTGGTGGGGAAGGCGGGGAGGGTGGTGGAGGGGAAGGTGGGGAGGGGGGTGGAGGGGAAGGTGGGGAGGGGGGTGACGATGGTGGTGTCTTCTTCTCCTTCTCCTGCTTCTTTGCCTCCCTAATTGCCATCGCCTCTTGTTTCTTAGCGATCGCCTGCTCCTTTGCCAGCTTGGCCGCCTCCTTCTTCGCAATAGCCTCCTCTTTCGCCTTCTTTGCCGCATCCCGTTTCGCAATCGCCTCCTCCTTGGCTTTCTTTGCAGCCTCCTTCTTTGCGACTGCCTCCTCCTTGGCTTTTGCCCTCTCCCTCTTCGCCTCCTCTCTCGCCGCAATCGCCGCCTTTCTCGCCGCAATCGCCGCCTCTCTCGCCTTCCTCGCCTCCTCCTTCGTCTGCTTGTCCGTACTGCTGCTGCTGCTGCTGCTGCTGCTGCTCACAGTCGTCCCAACTGGCGGAGGCTCGGCACTGAGGAGGCGGCGACGGCCGGAAGAAGCAGAGGACGAGGCGGGCGCCGCGGTCTGATAGAAGATGACCAGGCGGCTGGTGGCGGGCTCCTCTGTGGGCGCCACTGCCATCCACGTGTAGTCCAGGCGGAAGGTGAATCCGTCAGCACTGGAGAGAGGGAGGGAGGGAGAGGGAGGGAGGGAACGCGTGTCGAGGAGCAACCAAAGAAAGTTGGGGAAGGAACAAGAGGTTGTGGAAAGTGCATGAGCAATCATGGCAGGAAAAGATTAGTGGTAGTGGGAAGACTCACCTTTGGGAGAGAGAGAGGTTGGCGCCCCCAGGCATGTAGGAGGAGAAGCGTTGCTTTGAGACGTCTCAAAACTACACCTTTTTCGAGTGGGTTGCAAGAGTCACCTTTGGGAGAGAGAGAGGTTGGCGCCACCGGGCATGTAGGAGGTGAAGCGTTGCTTTGAGACGCCTCAAAACTACACCTTTTTCGAGTGGGTTGCAAGAGTCACCTTTGGGAGAGAGAGAGGTTGGCGCCACCGGGCATGTAGGAGGTGAAGCGTTGCTTTGAGACGTCTCAAAACTACACCTTTTTCGAGTGGGTTGCAAGAGTCACCTTTGGGAGAGAGAGAGGTTGGCGCCACCGGGCATGTAGGAGGTGAAGCGGACGTTGAGGTTGTACGCGAGGGATGTCATTGGGATGCCGATTCCTGCCAGGCGCGCACGAGCGGAGCGGGTGAGAAGCTAAGGCGGTAACATACGCATCAGAATGGTAGGAAACCCGAGCAATAATCAGTGGCGAGCAGCGCAATGCACGAGCAGCGCAATGCACGAGCCGCGCAATGCACGAGCAGTGCAAAGCACGAGCCGCGCAAAGCACGAGCCGCGCAAAGCACGAGCCGCGCAAAGCACGAGCCGCGCAAAGCACGAGCAGAGTCCAGAGCCTTGCTGTCTCTGCCATGAGCAACGCATGCACCATGACCACGCCGGCATGAGCAAACCCGCAGGCTCACCATACTGCATGAAGGTGGTCGGCTTGAACAGTTCCGAAACCGCCGTGCGCGCAGCGCCTGTCTGGGAGTCACTGTACGTCATCGCCACGTTCGGCATTTTTTAGAACTCTCAAAAACACCCTGCATCATCAACGCAGGCTTACCATACTGCATGAACGTGGTCGGCTTGAACGGTTCCGAAACCGCCGTGCGCGCAGCGCCCGTCTGCGAGTCACTGTACGTCATCGCCACGTTAGGGTAACTGCCCGCGAGAATCTTGATGTACACGTTGTAACGCTCAGGGTCATTTCCGGGCGAAGTCCAGAATATCCCGTTGTAGCTCTGGGAAACGGAGGGGACACCCGCCGTCCGCCAGGTGATGGCGCCCGGAACGAGGCTGCACTTGGCCGGGTCGCATCCGGGGACGGTGGTATTTGTGAAGGCGAGGGAGGCGGGCGGGCCGGAGGCGAGGGCCGTGAAGATCCGGTAGGCGACAATAAAGCCCGCCCCTGGGCTTCCTGGCGGACTGGGGGGGGGTGGGGGGGAGGGCGTATGGGGAGGGGGCCAGGGAGGAGCGCAGGTGAGGGGGCGGGCGTGACGGAGGGGAGGTGAGGGGGCGGGGGGGGGCGGCTGCGGGGCTGGCGGGGCGTACGGACGGGAGAGAAAGAGGGAAGGAGGGGAGAGGAGGGGAAGGGAGGCGTATGAGGAGGGCGTGCAGGGAGGGGAGGAAGTGAGGGAGGGAGAGAGAGAGAGAGTCAGGGAAACGAAGGGGAGATGCACGCGTAAAAGCGAGATGCGTGCGTGCGTGTGTGCGTGCGTGCGTGAGTGCGTGCGTGCGTGCGTGCGTGCGTGCGAGCGTGCACACGCGGCTTACTTGATGCTGAGCAAGATGGCCGCTCGTGACTCGCCGTCGGCCAGGCGCGCGGAGAAGTACGACTCTGGGGGGTCGGAAGGGCGGAGGGGGAGGGGGAAGGGAGATATTAGGGGAGAAGAACATGGAAAAGGGGAGCGGAACGTCGAAAGGGGAGCGGAAAAAAAAAAAAAAAAAAAAAAAAAAAAAAAAAAAAAAAAACGGAACGGAACGGAACGGAACGGAACGGAGCACAGCGGGGTGGGATGGAGGGGAAGACGACAAGAGGGGAAGATAAGCGGAGCGGAAACACGAGAAGAGAGGCAGAAGGAGGCAAAGGAAACTCGAGATGTATTCGGGGGTAGTAGCGGGAGAGAACTCACGAGCGGAAGCATTGTGTGGCGCTGCGAAGCCTGAGGAGACGAACGGGTGGGGTGAGCGCAGAGGGCGGAGAGGGAGGGGGGGAGGGGTGGGGGGAGGCGGGGGGGGAAGAAAAAGAGGGACGAATGGGGAATTATACTGAGCGCGGCGAGTGAACGACCATAGTCGAGCCGAAATGATATCGAACGGGAAACGATGCCGCGTAATTATATCATGCGCGAATAACATCTACGAAGCATCATCGTAGGACGACGATGACCTCGCGGAGGGGTGGCGTTTGCGGGCGGAAACATGCATGGGGTTGAAATGGGATGGGCCCCGCGCACCCCGCCGGGAATATTTCAATGCACGGTGCATTGCGGCCTCTGTAACGGGATCTCACCGAGCAGCAACAACAGCAGCGCGGGCATCGCGCCGAGCAGTCGCATTGAGGCGGCCCGGTGTCGCGCCGCTATCGACATCGCGATGACAAGTTCGTCGGACGAACCAACTTTGAAGAGCTTCGGGAAACGGGAGCTGACAAAGGGGGATTCGTGAAGAAACCAAACTAGCAGCACCGCCGACCAACTGCGAGAAAATGGAAGTATTGGAATGTGCGTTCTCGAGGAGAGGAGCATTCCGCCACTGGCGGTAGCACAGAGACAGCCGCACGAACATGCTGAATTGTAGCGGCGTGGCGGAAGGAAGACACTGCGATGGGCGGCCATTGAGGAACGGCGGGAAGCGTCTCGGGGCAAGGTGGACGTGTCAAGGAGATGCCCCGCCCTCCCTTCCGCCAGCGGAGGAATATCAGCCGGCATGGATTGGACATAGCGCGCTTGTGTGGATAGGATACACAGTTCATCGTCCCTGTATTTTGAAATTCCTCTGATCATTCACCTACTGTGCTGTCAACACCAGCTGCAATCCCCTGAGTGCTCACCTGAGCTGGGGTTCAACTGACCACCACAGCAGATATATTTTGGTGTTGTTGGAACAAATTTTACATTCTATTTCCTAATTATAGTCGCTACACTGTAATAACGAGGATGCGCAAATGATCGTGAACCTGACCGTAGATTGAGCCCATCTGATACAGTGCAGGGCATCGAAATTTCGAGGTGTACTGTACCTGAAAGGTCCAGCAACCCAGCTTTCGCGCGGCGCAGGTATAGAAACTAAAATCCAAGGGGATCTTCGTGAACGGATGCCATTGGCGAAAGAATGGTCTCTGGAGGTCTCAGGAGTCAGGAACTCACAAAGCATTTGATGAGTAGACAAACGAAACGAAATGCCAAGTGGGCGCTTTTGGAGGTATGCCGATTCGTTTAGCATTAGGAAGCAGCAACATGACATCTACGTTAAGGTGATTCCATAAGTATACGATTTCAGGATTTCAAAACAAACAAGAAAGTGGAAAACTCTACTCCCACAACCAACAATTGCTCATGTAATTGATACCCAAATGGGTTCATAATTAATAACTGGATAGTCGTAATGTCCAACTTATCGCGTACCTACATATTATTTGCTCAGCGAGGTTTCGTGTATTTTACTAGACACTTCGGGTTTCTTTCTCCATGATCGCCAACTACCTGTTGCACCTGCATTGCAACGTACAGTTATTATCGCGTGGAACTTGGAGAAAGGCAATAAGGGAACTGACAACAGAAGAAGAAAGTCGCACTCGCACATCAAACAAGAAGCCATAGGGAGGAAGGATAGGCAAGAAGACAATATCTGTTGCCCGTGCAAGACAAGGCTGCACAACTGCACAGGGCAGCACAAATACAGCCGCACAACCGCAATAATCACATCAAACACCTGCAGAACGGCACAGAGAAGCACAGCAAACACTCGCAAACCCGCACAGGGAAGGCCAAGTGCAGGTGCAGGAGCGGTAGCACATACCACTGCAACCCGAAGTGCAGAGCACTTGAACCTTGCAGTGAAGTTGGTCTCCCATACATGCGTCTGCACAGCACACAGCACCCAGCGCACAGCACCCAGCACTCAGCACATGCAGAACAGCGGCAGGAACACGGTGCATGCTACACAGACATGTAACAGGTAGACTCGTACCACACAGGCATGTAACAGGTAGACTCGTACCACACAGGCATGTAACAGGTAGACTCGTACCACACAGGCATGTAACAGGTAGAGTCGTACCACACGGACATGTAACTGGTAGACTCGTACCACACAGGCATGTAACAGGTAGTCTCGTACCACACAGGCATGTAACAGGTAGACCCGTACGACACAGGCATGTAACAGGTAGACCCGTACCACACAGGCATGTAACAGGTAGACTCGTACCACACAGGCATGTAACAGGTAGACCCGTACGACACAGGCATGTAACAGGTAGACTCGTACCACACAGGCATGTAACAGGTAGACCCGTACGACACAGGCATGTAACAGGTAGACTCGTACCACACAGGCATGTAACAGGTAGACCCGTACGACACAGGCATGTAACAGGTAGAGTCGTACCACACGGACATGTAACTGGTAGAGTCGTACCACACAGACATGCAACTGGTAGAGTCGTACCACACAGACATGTAACAGGTAGACCCGTACGACACAGGCATGTAACAGGTAGAGTCGTACCACACAGACACGTAACAGTTAGACTCGTACCATACAGACATGTGACAGATATCTGCAAATCCAGCGGACCCATTTTGCATCAGGGCTGTAAGCCTCAAGCAGCAGATTGCACACAACATGTGCTTAACAGTTACTGGTTGCAACCGATTACATGCATACAATGGTTACCAGTAACAGGCTCCTATAAACAGGTCATTTATTCACACCTGGCCGTGCATTACTTTTGAGACGTCTCAAAAGTCGTCTACTTTTGAGACGTCTCAACAATGGTTACCAGTAACAGGCTCCTATAAACAGGTCATTTATTCACACCTGGCCGTGCATTATGATGACATCAGCATCCGATGCGGCATAGGCGAGCTCAGGTGAAACAGCAGATAGGTCAAGGACCTGGGTGGTCCAGGAGGGAGCGGGAACGGAGGGAGAAGGGACAGCAGGGGTTCAAAGGGAAGTTGATGTAAGTATTGTAGGTGAAGGGTATAAAAAGCACTCTCAGAACCAGGTGATATAAGATACAAAGCAAGAGGTTGGTTGAGGGCGAGCGGAGGGTTGAGGGTGAGTGGGGGGCGGTTGAGAACAAATAATTTTCCAAGGAAAGAACCTTTCCAAGAGAAGGACCCTTGCAAGGAAAGAACCCTTAAAACCAGCCAGCAGGTTTGTTAGTCGACTCAAGAAGCAACCTGCAGGTCGGATCCGGAGTTGAGGATAAGGATGCGACTGTTGCTGATGGCCGTGCTGATGTCACCCTCCGGTGCTGCTGCTTGCACCTACTCATGCCATGCCATGCCACGCAACGCAACGATGCCATGGCATGAGAAAATAACATGGCATGGCATGGTGTAGTACACCATGGCATGAGAAAATAACTATGAGAGTTCTACACCATGCCATGCCATTTTCTGCCATGGCACCACGTCATGTTAGTTACGTCCTATGAGAATTTGGCAAGATGGAGAAGGAAGATGGACAGTGCAATCACGCCTTCCTCCCTTCCCCTCCGTTCCTCCTTTCTGTCCCTCCCCCCTCCTTCTTCTCCCCTCCCCTCTCACAACACTTGCCATATGGTCTCCCTCTCACATCAAATTACCTGCTGCATGGGGTGCAAGAGAGTCATGAGATGCAAGAGAGTCATGAGATGCAAGAGAGTCATGAGATGCAAGAGAGTCATGAGATGCAAGAGAGTCATGAGATGCAAGAGAGTCATGAGATGCAAGAGAGTCATGAGATGCAAGAGAGTCATGAGATGCAAGAGAGTCATGAGATGCAAGAGAGTCATGAGATGCAAGAGAGTCATGAGATGCAAGAGAGTCATGAGATGCAAGAGAGTCATGAGATGCAAGAGAGTCATGAGATGCAAGAGAGTCATGAGATGCAAGAGAGTCATGAGATGCAAGAGAGTCATAAGAGGCTTCAAGTGACCACCTGCTGCAACAGAGCTATCAGAGGCATGAGCTCGTCACCTGCTTCAGGAGATTTATCAGGTCCTCGTGTGTGATGGCAGCACCTGACGGCATGTCTGGCGCCACCAGAAGCACCTGGTGGGGGAAGGGGTGAGGGGGGAGAATTGCAACAGAAGGGCGAGGGTGAAAACACAGAAAGCAATGACACAGCAGCAGAGCAGCAAAGCAGCGAGGCACCCACCCACCCACAGCCACCCCATAGCCACCCCGCACCAGCCCGCACCCACCCACCCACAGCCACCCCATAGCCACCCCGCACCAGCCCACACCCACCCACACCAACCGAATCACCCACCCCACAACCCACCTGCACGCCTCGCCTGGTCAGATCCCTCACTGCTGGAAGCACCCCCAGCACTGTCTCTCTGCCCGCCCCCGCACACAGCACCACTGCCTGAACGAGGGGAGGGGATATAGATTGGACGGGGGGGAGGGTGAGCATCAGATCACCACGTGCTGTAATAGCTCCTCTGAAACCCCCACCTCATATGGGAGTCGCTTTCGAGAATTCTCAAACGTGACTCCCATACACAGTACACCCCATCCCATCCCATCCCATCCCACGCTCGAGTATCCTCCCACACTTGTTACACCCTTCCCTCCCCGACGCCCAAAATTCCCCCCACTTGGGGCAAAATGCCCCCCACTTGGGACAAAATGCCCAACCTTTTAGTTCTATACTACCTTGCTCCACTTGCCCTCACCTCCCCCAATTGCAGCCCTCCCTTCCAGTCCTATGTTACCTTGCTCCACTTGCTCTCCCCTTCCCCACTCCCACCCGTCCACCACTTGTCACCTTCACACTGCACCTTGTTCCACTTGCCCTGCCCTCTCCCACTCCCAGCCCCCCACCCTCCCTTTCAATTCGATGTCACCTTGTTCCACTTGCCCTCCCCTCCCCTCCCCTTCCCCACTCCCACCTCTCCACCACCTGTCACCTTCGCCTCGCACCATACCTTGCTCCACTTGCCCTCCTCTCGGTTGCTCCATGCCTGCACCGCCGCCCCCATGTCATCCGCCGCCCACGGTTTGGGCGGCAGACTGTCACAAACAGACAAAAAGTCCGCCGACCCAACCGCGGGGTCCGCGCCATCCAGAGCGGCCAGATTGCCGGCCAGCATGCCCCGGATGAGGGTTTCGGAGCGGGTGACGTCATCGCTGATGTCATCAATGGCTGCAAGGACGGCTGGTAGCTGTTGCAGAGCCGTGCGGGTTGACTCGTCCTGGCGTGTAGGTGTGTGTGTTTGTGTGTTGGGGGCGAGAGAAAAAAAAAAGGGGGAATGAGGGGAGAAGGGATGGAATGTTGCGTGTGTGCATGGGATGGTAGCTGTTAAGATAGGGATGGTGGCGAGGTATTTACACGTATTGGTTGAGTGGTCGGGCCAGGTGTGATGGGGATGATGGGAGCACACTGCATCTAAAATGTGCCATGACAGGCGGTTGGGGCAGGCACTGTGGGACCATGGCATGGCATGGCATGGCATGGCTTGGCATGGCCAGGTGTGGCATGGCTTGGAATGGCATAGATTAGCACAATCCTAATACGTGTAAATACCTCGCCCTGTCCGCATCAACATTCCCCCCCTGCATCACCTTGGCATGTCTGTAAATGTCTTCAAAGCTTAGCTCCCGCAAGCAAAGGTCTCTCAGACGATACAGCAGCTGATGGGGTGGAGAGGGGTGGAGAGAGGTGGAGAGAAGCATAGGGAGGGGTGGGCGGATAATAACAGTGACTTTACACAGAGGAAGGACGGAGAGAAGAATGCAGCGAAGACACACCAACAAACACCTTCCACATACCATCACACACTATCACGTGCCACATATATCATGCATGCACCATACCTCATGCCACATACCAAGGCCACATACCATCACACCACCACATGCCACGTACCACTAAAGGCCACATACCACTGAAGGCCACATACCATCACACGCCACATACCACCACCGCATGCAACTTAACACCACACACCACCATGCACCACCACACACCACTGCATACCACCACACACCACCACATACCATGACATCTGGGGGCCCTCCATGACTCTCGGGGTCTTCACTGAAATCGTCCAACAATGATGCTAGCCTGCCACACACACGGTGGCAGCATGGGGATTTCATGGCATGGTGGCATGGTGGCATGGTGGCATGGTGGCATGGTGGCATGGTGGCATGGTGGCATGGGGACATGGTGGCATGGGGACATGGTGGCATGGGGACATGGTGGCATGGGGACATGGTGGCATGGGGACATGGTGGCATGGGGACATGGTGGCATGGGGACATGGTGGCATGGGGACATTGGGGACATGGTGGCATGGGGACATGGTGGCATGGGGACATGGTGGCATGGGGACATGGTGGCATGGGGACATGGTGGCATGGGGACATGGTGGCATGGGGACATGGTGGCATGGGGACATGGTGGCATGGGGACATGGGGACATGGTGGCATGGTGGCATGGAGCAACATGGGAACATGGTGACAAGTTGGCACGGTGTGATGTGGAAACGCGAGATCGCAGGGGCAACAGATGGCCTCCCTGGATGCGAGCCCTGGATGCGAGGCCTGGATGCGAGCCCTGGATGCGAGGCCTGGATGCGAGCCCTGGATGCGAGGCCTGGATGCGAGCCCTGGATGCGAGGCCTGGATGCGAGCCCTGGATGCGAGGCCTGGATGCGAGGCCTGGATGCGAGCCCTGGATGCGAGCCCTGGATGCGAGCCAGGCACCCAGATGCACTCCATGCTGCAGGTTGAAATCACTTGTGAGATTTCTCAAAAGATATTTCTCAAAAGTGACTCCATGCTGCAGGTTGAAATCCCTTGTGAGAATTCTAAAAAACAACCATCATTCCCATTGCTTCTGCTCCCTCATCCACTCCTCCTGTACCCACCTTTTCCTAAATCCGTACTAGCACGAGAAGAAACTCCACCTTTTGCCTAAGTACCCGCGAGAGTCACCTTTCTTCGAATCTGGCGGCCTTCTCTGCTGCGTTGTCCACTGATGCGTCGCTCTCTGCCTGCTGCCTGCTCATCACATGGCACGGCGGGGTGGGGTGGGGTGGGGTGTGGCATGCCATGGCATGGGATGGTGGGGGTGGGGTGGGGTGACAGATTTACTGCAAGGCATGGCGCCGTGTGGCATGACATGACAAGGGATGGCGTGGCATGGGATGGCATGGCATGCCATGGCAGAGCGTGAAAGCGCGTGTGATGGAAGGGGGTGCGTAGATTTGTCGTGCATTTGTGCAGTCGAGGGAGGAAATCGATCAATGAACGGCACTTCACGGATGCATGGCACTTCACGCCATGCCACGCTGTAAATGGCGACACTAATATTCCACAGACGCCACACCAACCTCCACAGCGGGATTCTCTCGCGGAAAGAGCTGATCAACGTGCTCTCCTTCTCCGTCAGATGCGCTGGGTCGTCGGATTCGCATCTCAGCGCCAGGACGGCGGCGTACGCCTTGGGATTCGCGAGGAGAGGGAGGGGGACCGGCGGCGACGCCCACTCCATCGCGCGAAAGACGCTGCGCGCGCACCCGCGTCTGTCGCTACGGAAGGCGAGCTTCGATATTCCCAAGACAGGTTCTGAAAGGAATGGGTCAATGAGGTTGGGGGTGGCCTGTTGTGGTTAGAGTGGGAGACACGTAACAATGTTTGGTCCGGCTTTCCTTTACGTGGAAGATGTTAGACTTCGCGAATCGCCAGCCACGACGAACTCCGGTTGCGACCTCTCTAACGGTCATGAGCTGGAATCGGTCAGGTTCATAAAATGGAAAGCTAGGAGAACGCAGGCTAGGTGTTTTGGGAGGTATTTCAGTGCATCACCTGTCAGGTTGGCGGATCAGCCTGTGAAATTATCACGAAAACTTTGTTCCTTAATCGCGAACGCCAGTCACTCATGTAACCTTCTTTAGCCTGCCATGCGACAGCCGGTTGCGATATAGGATTGATTGGGCAGGCGATACGTCGTACTAGCCTCGATGAACCTCGATATTGCCGTAGCACCAACATGAATTTGAATCAACACTCGTGAACTCTTCGATGTCGAATCAGAATTGCAGAATTTGATCGCACTGGACATTCTCGAAAACTCTTTCACCTCACTGCACCATTACCACTTTTCGCCTTTATGTGTTTTCGATTCCTACTCTCGCCACAACTCTACGCCTTTAGTACGGGCATTATTCAGGCAGGTTGTTCTGTTGCTGACACATGGCGTCAACCGCAGATGACGCCGTGATTGACGTTGAGGAGGATGAGGAAGAGGAGGAATTACCGTTTCGTTGGGGCGATCCCGCTCCGGGCCCGAGTCGTGGCGGCAAGCGGTTTTACCTGTGGTTCGAGCAGGGAGGGGAGCGGTTCGACATTTACGACTGCGTGTACTGCCAGGTCCGATGCATGTTCGAACCTCATCTGTCCGGTTTCTTGACTGCTCAATGATTAGCGTTGCTTACGCATGTTTCATACGGGGGATACCTCGCTTGCACGACTAAAAATGTCAAGCCCGTTTTTAGTATACCTCGCATACACCCGCTGATAGCAATAGTAGACCAGAATTCTAATTCTGAAACCTTTCCTGTATTCCCTGTACCGCGTCAGGCAGAAGAGGGGATGGACCCGTACGTGGGGAAGATCGTGCGCATGTACGAGCTCCCCCCCAGCCACCGCGGAAAGCGCAACAGCATCGGCGGAAAGCCAGGCGAGCGCAAGGTGGACATCCGCTGGTTCTTCCGCGCTGCTGACGTGCAGGCGGAGGGCGGGCAGCTCCCAAGGGACGTGCGCCCCAACGAGGTGTTTCTGGCCGTTCCTGAGGGCACCCAGGGTGTCACTGACGCCAATAAAGTGGTGAGTCAGAAACTGAGATGGGACGTTGAGTGAGTGAGTGAGTGAGTGGGCAGGGAGGGCGGGCAGCTCCCAAGGGACGTGCTTGTCAATGAAGTGATCCTGGCCGTTCCCGAGGGCACTCAGGGCGTCACTGACGCGAATAAAGTGGTGAGCTGGAAAGCAGAATGAACAGAGTGGGCAGGGAGGGCGGGGAGCTCCCAAGGGACGTGCGCCCCAACGAGGTGTTTTTGGCCGTTCCGGAGGGCACCCAGGGGGTCACTGACGCGAACAAAGTGGTGAGTCAGAAACGCAGACGGGACAGGTAGTGATTGAGTGAGTGAGAGAGTGAGTGGTGACGGTGGGGAGCTCTCAAGGGACGTGCGCCACAATGAGGTGTTCCTGGCCGTCCCCGAGGGCACCCAGGGGGTGACTGACGCCAATAAAGTGGTGAGTAACAAACGCAGAGTGAACAGGGATTGAGTGAGTGAGTGATTGAGTGAGTGAGTGAGTGTAGTGGTGAGGGGGGAAGCTCCCAAGGAAAGGGTGGGAAGCTCCCGGGGGACGTGCGCCCCAACGAGGTGTTCCTGGCCGTTCCCGAGGGCACCCAGGGGGTCACTCACGCCAATAAAGTGGTGAGCACGACACGCAGAAGGAACAGGTATGGAGTGAGTGAGTGAGTGTGTGAGCGGTGAGGGCGGGGGGAGCTCCAAAGGGACGTGCTCCCAAACGAGGTGTTCCAGACTGTTTCCGAGGGCACGCAGGGTGTCACTGACGCCAACAAAGTGGTGAGTGGGACTTTTTTGGAGACGCCTTATAAGATATTTGACTGGCTTTCAGTGGTAAGCTGGACGAGTTTTTGCTGGTCTCCTATTCTCCTCATCTGGCTCTCCCACCCCCCTCGCCCCATCCCCCCCACGCCCCTCTTCTCTATCCGAGTGCAGATAGTGGTGGATTCCCGGGCGCGCATACTGTGCGTGTCTGCTGACCCCCTCTCCTTCCCCCCCCTCTGCTCTCCCGCTTCCCCCTCACCTTCCCTCGTCTGTGTGGAGAGCACAGATAGTGGTGGACTCACGGGCGCGCATACTGTGCGTGTCGGAGGACCAGCGCAATCCACAGCCGAGTGCAGCGCAGGTGGAATCAGCTGAGCTGGTGTTCTGCCGTGCGTGGGACATGCAGCAGAAGCGCGTGCTGGAGGACCTTCAGGTGGCTATTGACGACTTGGGCTCAGGTGAGTCTTCAGGTGGAATCAGCTGAGCTGGTGTCCCGCCGCGTGTGGGACATGTAGCAGAAGCAGGTGTTGGAGGACCTTCAGGTGGCTATTGACGACTTGGGCTCAGGTGAGAGTTCAGGTGGGATCAACGTGGCTTCAGGGTGGAACCAGGTGAGGCATCAGGTGGAACTAGAAGAAGAGGGAGAGGGAGGAGATGAGTGAGGTCAGGTTGGGCAGCACGCGGTTCGTGGATAGCTGCTCTTTTTGAGTCGACTCAAAACAAGGCTCATCACACACGGATTTTGAGTCGACTCAAAACAAGGCTCATCACACACGGATTCTGAGTCGACTCAAAACAAGGCTCATCACACACGGATTCTGAGTCGACTCAAAACAAGGCTCATCACACACGGATTCTGAGTCGACTCAAAGTGAGGTCAGGTTGGGCAGCACGTGGTGTTTCGTGGATAGCTGCTCTTTGCTTCATCAAATGCACCAGAACCAAATTATAATTAGATAAACCAAAACTGGCACATGCATGGCATGGCCCATGATGCATGGCACATGATGCATGACACATGATGCATGGCACATGATGCATGACACATGATGCATGGCACATGATGGATGACACATGATGCATGGCACATGATGCATGGCACATGATGCATGGCACATGATGCATGGCACGTGATGCATGGCACATGATGGATGGCACATGATGCATGGCACAGAGGAGGCGGTATTCAACAAACCGGCATGGGTGCAACAGCAGCCGACCAGTGGGGCGACAGCAGGAGAGGAGGAGGACAGAGCAGCAGGCGAGGAAGCAGGAAACGCGGTTACAGGGGGTGCTGGGGAAGTCAGAGAGGAGAAGGATGGTGCTGTGAGAAACGACAGGGATGTGAACAGGGAAGAAATGGGGATGGAGGAGGAGCGAAGGGTTGGGGAAAGCGGAGGAGGAGAACAGAAACGTCTAAGCAAGAGGATGAAGGTGGAAGGGCAGGTGGGGGAAAAGGTCGGGAAGCAGAGCAAGGAGAAGAAGGCGGGAGACCCGTGGGACTTGGAGGAGGATGAGGAGGAAGGGGAGGAGGAAGCGGAGGAAGGGCAAGGGGATGAGGAAGAGGAGGAGCAGGAGGAAGAGGGTGTTGAAGAGGAAGAGGGGGAGGAGGGCAAGGAGGAAGGGCAGGAAGGTGGAGGCAACCGTTCCACGAAATCAAGTGCGCTGAAGCTGTTAACTGAGAAATCGGCCCTGGCAGGACAGGCGGGCAATGGTGGGCCCAGGCAGGGATTGCCGCAGGGACTGCAGCCTGCAGCAGCCCCTGATGGGCCTTCTGAGGAGCCTCAAAAACCCAGGCAGGGATTGCCGCAGGGATTGCCGCAGGGACTGCAGCCTGCAGCAGCCCCTGATGGGCCTGGTTCTCGAGCCAAGCTGCCTGTCCGCCCCTCCCAGAAGAAGCTCCCCCGGATAACACCTCCCCCTGGGGCTGTGGCTGCTGGGGCGAGAGGAGGAGTGGGCGGAGTAGGAGGGGGAGGTGGAGGAGGAGGAGGTGGAGGAAAAGGGGGAGGAGGTGGGGGGAAAGGGGGAGGGGGAGGGGGAGGGAGGAAGGTGGCTGGTGTGTTGTCAATGGCCAATGTTCCGGCCAATAGGAGGAGCTTGTTTGAGAAGCTGCAAGGGAAGAAGAAGGGGCAGGGAGTTGGGAGGGTGGGTAAGGGAGGAGAGGGGGTGGGAGGGAGAGAGAAGGGTGCTGAGAAGAGTGCTGAGAGAGAAGGGAAGCTGCCAGAAGGACAAGAGGTTGTGGCTCTTGGGAGGAGGATAGAGGAGGAAAGGAGGAAAGAGGCGAGGAGGAAATTGGAGGAGAGGAGGAAAGAGGAGGGGAGGGACGAGGCAGGGAGGAAAGAGGAGGGAGGGAGGCCTGTTAGTGATGCAGGTGCTGCTACTGTTGCTGTTGGTGGTGCTGCTGATTCTGGAAACGACTTGGACGCGTCTGAAGAAGATTCTGTAGCAGAAGCAGCTGTAGCAGAAGCAGCTGAAGCAGGGGCAGCTGTAGCAGAAGCTATTGTAGCAGAAGCAGCTAAAGCAGAGGCAGCTGTAGCAGAAGCAGTTGTAGCAAAGGCAGCTGTAGCAGAAACAGTTGTAGCAAAGGCAGCTGTAGCAGAAACAGAAAAGGGGAGCACAGCATTGGAAATTCTCACAGAAGCAGAAGCAGAAGAGCCTTCAGCAGCAGCAGCAGCAGTAGCACCAGGAACAGCATCACTGTTAGCACCATTACTGTCCGTTGCAACAGCAACTCCACCTCCAGCAACGGCAGCAGGAACGCCACCAGCAGCAGCAGCAACAGCCGCAGCAGCATCTCAATCAAACGAAGCAGTAGCAGGTGCGACTGTGGGGGATACGGAATCGGCACCAGCAGCGGTAATACCCGTCCCAGCAGCAACAGCAGAAGCATTACCAGCGGGTTCATCAGGAAGAGAAGCAGCTGTGATGGAGACACCTAGTGCAGAGGCGGCTTCGTTAGTGTCACCTGAACCACAACCACCACCAGACGCTGCTTCTATACCTGCTGTTGCTACAGATGCTGCTGCTACAGCTGAGGTTGCTACTGATGCTTCTTCTACAGCTGAGGATGCTAAAGCTGTTACTACAGGAATGGAAAAAGCAGCAATGCAACCTGACTCAACAGCCGTCCAATCAGAAGCGCCTGAATCTGCCACGTCAGAGCCGGGTGCTAATGCTGACATGGCGCCGGCTGAGGGAGTGGATTCAGGGAAGGGAGAAAGCGAGGGTGGCGCGAATGGAAGGGGAATTGATGGTGAGGGGATGGAAGGGAAGGGCGATATCGAGACTGCAGTGCCTCAGGAGAAAATCGACCGTGAGGGAGTGGTGGTGAAGACAGAGATGACTTTTGAGTCGACTCAAAAGTCACCTCGTTTTGAGTCGACTCAAAAGTCAATCGATGGTGAGGGGATGGAAGGGAAGGGCGATATGGAGACTGCAGTGCCTCAGGAGAATATCGATCATGAGGGACTGGAGGTGAAGCAAGAGAGTGAGGAAAAGGACGAGAGTGAGGAGGAGAAGGGTGAAACCGGGAGTGACGAGGAGAGACCAGTCATAGACACACGCTTCTGTTGGCCCGTGCCTGCTGCTCCTCCTGCTTCTGCGTCTCCTGCTGCCAGCGCTGTCACTGCTGCCACCACTGCTATTGCCACCACCGCTATTGCCACCACAGCCGCTACTGCTACTGCTGCTGTTGCCACTGCCGTTGCGGCTGGTGCTACTGGGGCGAAGGCGAGGCAGGCAGAGAAGAGAGAGGCAGATGGATACAGGGTACGCTCCTTTCTTTCCACCTCACTCCCTACCCGCCTTTCCATCTTTCCACCTCTCTCCCTATCCACCTGCCCACCTACCCACCTTCCCCTTTCCCCCACAACCTTCACCTGGATGTCAAATTTTCGATGCACTGGAGATTCGTCTCTCACCCTCTGTCCGTTATTACCCGCCCTCCACTCTCACCCGCCCACCTCTCTCACTGCCCACGTCCCTCCGTCCTTCGCCCCTGCAGTGGAACAGCATCATCGAGGGGGCGTTGGAGGAGCAGCGGGTGGTTCGCATAGACAACATCCCTCCCTGCACCACGTCGCAACAGCTGCACGTGAGTCACTGTCAGATGCACTTGAGTTTTGATGCATCTACAAGCGAATCTCTTGCAGGCCTCTTAAGAATTCTCCAGATTGCTGCAATGCAAGCCAAGCTGCAGCCGTCCACCACATGCCATGCATCCATCGTTACTCTTCTCCCCGTTCCCCACCGCATCCCCGCCCTCACAGGAGGCCATGGTTGAGCTCTTTTCAGACTTGGTGGCAGTGAAAGTGCAGCCGGCCACCACGCCCATTCCCCCCATCGCCTGCCCTCACCCCTAACCACACCCCTGCCCGTTCCCCCGCTTCTCCTCCCGACACCGCTCCTTCCCCCGCCCTCACAGGAGGCCATGCTCGAGCTCTTTTCAGACTTGGTGGCAGTGAGAGTGCAGCCATCCACCACGCCCATCCCCCCCATCGCCATCCATGCCTTTGCTGTCTTCCGCACCGCTGCTGCCGCCGCCGCTGCTGTGCTCTTCCTCTCTGCCAAATGCGTCGTGCCCTCCCACTCCTCCCGGTAAGGTCCTTTTCAGACCCCTCAGCAGCCCGCCCTCCCACTCCTGAATCCTGGTTCTGCTGTGGTCATCTCTAGTGGTAAGGGCGTTCTCAGGTGCCTCAGCAGCCCTGCCGCTGCCGCCGCCGCCGCCGCTGCCGCCGCCGCTGCCGTGCTCTTCCTCTCCGCCATATGCATTGTGCCCTCGCACTCCTCCCGGTAAGAAAGGGGCGTTCTCAGGTGCCTATCACTGGTCATAGCTGCTGCTCCTGCTGCCACCGCTGCTGCCGCCGCCGCTGCCGTGCTCTTCCTCTCCGCCATATGCATTGTGCCCTCGCACTCCTCCTGCTGAGGCATCGTACCCTCTCGCTCCTCTTGGTGAGCCAAGCTATTCAGCAACTGCTTTGGCTACTCCCTTCTCTATGTGCCGTCGCTGCTGCCACTGCTGCTGCTGCCACCCCCGCCACTTCCGTTTCTCTCCTCCCACCCAGATGCATTCTGCACTCCCATTCCTCCCATCCTCTCATTCCTCAGCCGCTGTTTATTTTTCCCCGAATAATTGGACTAGCCGCTAACTCCCTTCCCAATTCTTGTCTGACAAACCCAGATTTACCCATCCTTCATCCGTGTATGCCCCAACTCTACCTTTCTGCTCCCATTTCTATCCTTATCCTCCACACCCTGCCTGCCACGTGCAGCCCTCTGATTGGTCGCCTGCAGCGCCCACCAGCAGAGGCACCATCAGCAGTGGATGCACCCTCAGCGTATCTCGTGTCCCACGGCCCTGGCTACTTCTCCATTCGAAACAAACGTGGCGGCCCCGGGCAGTACTCGGATGACAAGGTGAGGCGGGCATGCGTGCATGCATGGTACTGGTGATGAAGGCCAACTGTCAACAACCAGTGTATGTTTTTTGAGAATTCTCGTGTATGTTTTTTGAGAATTCTCGTGTATGTTTTTAGAGAATTCTCGTGTATGTTTTTTGAGAATTCTCGTGTATGTTTTTTGAGAATTCTCAAAAAACATGCGTACTCGGATGACAAGGTGAGGCGGGCGTGCATGCATGGTACTGGTGATGAAGGGCAACAGTCAACAACCAGCAGAGGCACCATCGTTGGTGGATACACCCTCGGCCTCTCTTGTGTCACACGGCCCTGGCTACTTCTCCATTTGCAACAAACGGGGAGGCCCCGGACAATACATGGATGACAAGGTGAGACAGGCGATATGCAGGTTGGGTATCGGCGGTGAGACAGGCTCACAGGATGGGTGTGAGCAGTGGCGCCATCAGCGGAGGGATGAGCACAGATACGAACAGGTTTTTTTTTTACCTAAAAATGTTCGTCACGAACGTGTTCGCTGTTTGCGCGAACACGTTCGATGTTCGCCCTCGTCAGATTGCCGAGCCGCGTCGAACACGAACAAACACCTTAGTGTTCGTCGACGAATTGCCCGCGACCAAATTTAGGGTCGCGGCCATTTCTGTTTGAGCTCATTTTTTTTAGCTCAAACTAGTCGCGACTAGGTCGCCACCCCCAACCCGCCCTCTACCAGCCTCACCTACCAGTCTAAGGCCCTCGATGCTTCATCATTGAGGCGCCATGAGGCCAACACCTACTAATAGATTGTAGGAACTATTATGAACGGGCATGTTTAAGTAGTTGGCTAGCGATTAGGGTTACCTCCGTTCAATGCACACGAAGGTGGAGAAACTTTGCCCGTGCCATAAGACATAGGGTTACTCTAACGAAAATTTCCCAGGGGCGAACACGAACGTGTTTGCCACGAACACGAACGTGTTTGCCACGAACACGTTCGTCTTCGCCTTAGTATGCAAGATGTTCGCCCTCACAGGCGAACATCGAACACCATTTTTTGTAAAAGGTGTTCGGCGAACCGAACAGTGTTCATGCGGGGCGAACGCGAACACGTTCGTGTTCGCCCCTTGCTCATCCCTAAGCGGTGGATGCACCCTTGTGTTTGGTACCAAGAGTAAGTGTGTTGTTGACCAGAATGATTGGTACTCAGAATAGTTGCCTTACTTACCGTTATGGCTGGTACTAGAAATAAGTTTGTTACTTATCCTTATGGTTGGTCATAAAAGTAAGTGCAAAACTTACACTTATGGGTGGTACTAAGACTATGTGCATTACTTACTCTTATGGTTGGTATTAGGAATAAGTGTGTAAGTTACCTTTGTTGTTGGTACTAAGAGTAAGTGCGTTACTGACTCTAATGGTTAGTACCCTGAGTGAGTGCGCACTTACTGAATGGTTGGTACTAAAAAAGTGTGTTATTTTAATGGTTGGTACTAAGATTAAGTGCGTTACTTACCCTTATGGTTGGTACTAATAATAACTGCGTTACTTCTATACTGGTGCAGCAGAGATATTGCTCTTGCCTAAATCTTACTCACTCCATTCGCCTCATACATCCCTTTTCCCCCTCCCCGCCCCTCCTTTTGTTTCCTCTTTTCATCAGAAGAACAGCATAACTATGTAGCACTGTGCTCGTACCCAACAAAGTTGGTACGAGCTGGGCGTGAAGTGGAGTGCGGTGCAACAGATAATCGTTTTTGCCTCATTCCCAATCACTCCACTCACCTCATTCGTCCTCTTTCCCGTCTCCTCTCCCGTCTCCCCTCCCTCCTTGATTCCTCCCCTCAGTAGAAAAACAGCATAACCACGTCGCACTGTGCTCGTACCCAGCATAACCACATCCATTTCCCGTCTCCTCTCCCTTTTCCCCTCCCTCCTTGATTCGTCCCCTCGGTAGAAGAACGCCCTAACCACGTCGCACTGTGCGCAGCCCAACATAGTTGAATACGAGCTGGGGGTGGAGTGGAGGGCGGTGCAGCAGAGGGAGGTGCACATGGTGAAGGCTTTACTGAAAGTACACCAGGCAGAACTCAACAGTCTGATGCAGAGCAACCGAGATTGATGGATTCTTTTACTGATACCCCGAGTCTTGTATGGGTGGAGTGGAGGGAGGTGCAGCAGAGCAGAGGGAGGTGAATGTGGTGAAGGCGCTGCTGAAAGTCCACCTGGCGGAGTTGAATAGTCTGATGCAGAGCAACAAGAAACTGATGGATTCTTTCAGTATGTGTGGAGTGGAGGGAGGTGCAGCGTGCAGAGGGAGGTGCGTGCAGAGGGAGGTGCGTGCAGAGGGAGGTGCATGTGGGACGGCTTCTTATGAGAGTCCATGAAGCAGAGCTCAGCAGTCGGCTGCAGGTGGTTTGAGATTGAGCTGATGAAGGGGATGTGTACAGTTGTAATATGCACTTGTTTTTGAGACTTACAAAGACACATGGTACAAGTAAAAAATAATCACACCCCATGAATTGCTTCTTATATCCCTTCAGCATCTTCTCTCTCAAATCGTGATTTTATATCTCTAAGCGCATCTGCTAATACTGTAGCATTCGCCTGTACGGTATCCAAGCAGCCCCCGTGGCTGAAAACGAGGTGGTAGGTGAGGGAGCAGGCGTGGGAGAGGTGGTTGTAGCACACGACAGCGCAGTTATCGGGCCTTATCTCCAGCACCGATGCCCTTTCCGGCATGAAGACCAGGTTGGTGAGCGCTGCCCCGTGCCCCGCTATAAAGAGCCGTGCTCGCCGGAACAAGTTGCGAGCTGAAAAAGGGAAAGAGGCGGGGGGGAAGTGGCAGAGGGTGAGGGTGTATTGTACCAGAAGAGAGGGCATGAAGACCAGGTTGGTGAGCGCTGCCCCGTGCCCCGCTATGAATAGACGTGTGCGGCGGAACAAGTTGTGAGCTGCAATGGGGGGGAGAGAGGGAGGCAAGGGTGGGGAGGGGAGGGGGGGAGGGGAGGGGAGGGGAGAGTGAGAGGGGGGCAAAGGAGAGAGGGGGAGGAGAGGCAGGGGGAAGAGGCAGGGCGGACAGGGGGGAGGGAAACGAGGGGATGGGGTGGATTGTGAAAGGAGTGGGAAGAGGCAGCGTCTGTACCTGCTGGGGCGACAGCGGCGGGGCGACAGCGGCAGGGCGACAGCGGCGGCGGAGCGTGGTACGAAGGTGCGTGCCAGGACAAGAGAGAATAAAACCATACCTTCCAGTACAGTCAGCGAGCCAGTGAAGAGCACGATTCTCTCCTTGGGAAACGCCCGCTGCACCACCGCCTGCACGGCCTTGAAGAAGAGGGCATTTCCTAAGGAGAGGATCATGACAAAAGACACAATCGTACCTTCCAGAACAGTCAGGGACCCAGTGAAGAGCACGATTCTCTCCTTGGGAAACGCCCGCTCCACCACCGCCTGCACCTCCTTAAAGTTACTAATGGATCGCTTCTTAGAGAGGCGCTTCGCCAGCACCACCACCCAGTCGGGCGGCAGCGCCTGCGCCTGCTGGGGCGACAGCGGCTGTGGTGGTTGGTAGGACCAGTCGGGGCGGAAGAGAGGCAGGCCGCGCGGGTGGAGCAGGTGGGTGCGTCTGAGGGATTGCCAGAGCAGCGTGGAGGGGTTGCCACAGTCCTGAGTCATGGGCTGGAAGGAGGGGGGGTTGGGGGAAGGGAATACGCGTTAAGAAGAGAGGCAACCCCAGTGGGTGCAGCAGGTGGGTTCGCCTGAGGGATTGCCAGAGCAGCGTGGAGGGATTGCCACAGTCCTGAGTCATGGGCTGGAAGGAGGGGGGGTTGGGGGAAGGGAATACGCGTTAAGAAGAGAGGCAACCCCAGTGGGTGCAGCAGGTGGGTTCGCCTGAGGGATTGCCAGAGCAGCGTGGAGGGATTGCCACAGTCCTGAGTCATGGGCTGGAAGGAGGGGGGGTTGGGGGAAGGGAATACGCGTTAAGAAGAGAGGCAACCCCAGTGGGTGCAGCAGGTGGGTTCGCCTGAGGGATTGCCAGAGCAGCGTGGAGGGATTGCCACAGTCCTGAGTCATGGGCTGGAAGGAGGGGGGGTTGGGGGAAGGGAATACGCGTTAAGAAGAGAGGCAACCCCAGTGGGTGCAGCAGGTGGGTTCGCCTGAGGGATTGCCAGAGCAGCGTGGAGGGATTGCCACAGTCCTGAGTCATGGGCTGGGTGCAGGGGGAGGGGAGGGACGAGATGGAAAGGAGTAAGAAGGGTGGGATACATGTTGGCGGAAGAGTGGATGCCCGCGTTGGTGCAGCAGGTGGGTCCGCCTGAGAGATTGCCAAAGCGCCTTGGAGGGGTTGCCACCCTCCTGAGTCATGGGCTGGGTGCGGGAGAGAAGGGAAAAGAGGAGGAACCAGGATGGGAAGACAAGACACGTGGAGAAGAGAGGCAGAAGGAAGAGAGGCAGCCCTCGCGGGTGCAGCAGGTGGGTCCGTCCGCCTGAGGATAGCCAGAGGGCTTTCGAGGGGTTGCCACAGTCTTGCATGCGGGCAGGATAGAGGGGAAGGGGGGATTTAGTTTTGAGACGTCTCAAAACGAGGGGTTGCCACATATGTTTTTTGAGAATTCTCAAAAAACATACGCCACAGTCTTGTATGCGGGCAGGATAGAGGGGAAGGGGGGGGGGGAAATGGGAGGAAGGGGTGGGGCAAGAAGTATCCAAGGATATATGAGCGGGTGTCAGGTGGTGGCACGCAGGAGCTGTTACCAGGTGGTAGCAGGCAGGTGGTAACATTCAGGGACCACATTCCTTCAAGTCTTGAGACATCTCCAAGCCAGCCAGCCAGCCAGGCAGCACGAGCGGGAGCAAGCAAGCAAGCAAGCAAGCCCTGACTGACCTCGTAGAGAGTGTGAACGAGGAAGAGGTCTGCCTTCACGCACGAAGGGCAGCGACCGCAGTTTCACATGTTGTAAGGCATCTTAAAGCCAGCCAGGCAGCACGAGCAAGCAAGCAAGCACGCCCTGACTGACCTCGTAGAGAGTGTGCACGAGGAAGAGGTCTGCCTTCACAAGGGGCAGCGACCGCATTGCACCGTACTTCACTCCTATCAGCACCTCACCGAAGCGCTTGTATGCGTCCCACTGGGGTCATGAGGCGAGGCGCGTGAAGCGCACAAGGGAAGGGGCTCGAGAAGATGAGATGAGGTGACTTTTGAGTCGACTCAAAAGTCACCGTTGGTCATGAGGCGCGGCGCGTGAATCGCACAAGGGAAGGGGTTCGCGAAGATGAGATGTTGCTGTGCAGTGCTGTTGCGAGGTGAAAATCATTTGGAATGGCTGGCAGAAGGAGCCAGTCAACAATCGACAAGAACAGTCAAGAACAGTCAAGAACGGTCAAGAACGGTCAAGAACAGTCAACAATGGTTAAGGTTGGTCAGGAGCAGACACGTGCATCCATCCATTCAGCGATAATGGGGTGGGGGCGGAGGGAAGGATGTGCGGCAGCAACGACCGCGCAAGAGGAAACAATTCACGGACAGTAGCAGCAGTTAACAACGGTCACCAACGGTTAAGAACGGTCAAAACAACTCACCTGCATGTCTTCAGCGAGGATGGGGATGGATGGCAGGATGCGAGGCAGCAGCGGCGCGGCCACTAGGAAGAGAGGCATGGTCTCGACAATAAAGTGGTAGAAGTTAAAGCCCTGCGAGTACGCCCAGCTGAACGCTGCTGGTAGCACGTGCACCTGCTGCTGCGCTGAGTAGGATATCTGCTGGGGAAAGAGGGAGAGAAATTCATCTTGAGGCGTCTTCACTTCAGAGGCCACATGTACAGCCTTCATCATGCAACTCCACAAATGCAAGTGATTTCTGAGAGTTCTCAAGAATCTCCTGCATACTTACGACGACGCCACATGTACAGCCTTCATCACGCAACTCCCTGAAGACACGTCCTCTCACTCATGCACCTCCATGAAGCAATTGCAACCTGGAAAATCTCTGCTACTCAAAACGCACCTCATTAAAGCGGCCGCAGCCTGGGCGCACAAAGTTGTGAGTGCGGTTGAACACGGACCCCTTGGCCGTCACATACACATGCTGCAGCTGCATCAGCTGCGGGGCACTCGGGTAGTGTGGGCTGAAGTCCTGCTTCTGCGAGCACGACTCGTCGTACCCATCATACACGTGCTTCGATGTCCACCCCTCGCCTCCGTCTCCTCCTCCTCCTCCTTCTCCTCCTCCTTCCCCCCCTCCTAGTCGTCTTCTCTTTCCTCCCTCCTCTCCCTCTCCCCCTCCTACTCCCCTTCCCTCCTTCTCTCCCTCTACCCCCTCCTCTTTCAACCGCCTCTCGATTCTCTTCGGGCAGTTCACGGGCGGTTCAGGCCAATATATTTCCGGCTCCACTAGGTTCGGGATCAAGCAGGCTTGGAGGTTCGGGAAGCGGGGACCGCAGGAGGCCATGGAGGGACAGGTGTCGCCGCGGCATTGGGCGAGAGTGCCCCACTTGGGGTCGTGCTCGAGGTAATGCAGCAGCACTCGCTGCTGATTGGACGAGTTGAAATCGAAGCCTAGCGGCTCAACGAGGAGGTTAGCCCGCTCGCGGTGAGTCCTGGAGCAAGCAGAACAGGGGGAGGGATAAGGCAGAGAAGGGGAAAGGAAGGAGCGGGGGGGGGGGGAGTAGCATGACTCGTTGCTGGTTGTGCGAGTTAAGGGCGAAGACTAGAGGCTCAGAGGAGGCTGGCCCTCTCGGGATGGGTCCTGGGGCGAGCGGAACAGGGGGAGTGATGGGGAAAGGCACGATAGCACACCTGATGGGCACAGGCACGTAGTACTGCAGCTCGGCTTCAAAGGCCTTCACGTGCCCCACCAGCTGCAGCTGCCTCCGATGCCCCGTGCTGCCGTGGCCACGCATGACGATGTGACTGCTGCTGCCGTTGCCGTGCGAGACGACATCGGTGGTGCTGCCGGTGCCGTGCGTGATGACATGTCCCCTGCTGCTGCCATTGCCGTTCATGATGGAAGGTCCGTTGGCATCATAACCGCGTGCGCCACGAGTGGCGCAGGCCAGGAGCAAGACGACGAGCGCAATCCACAATTCACTCTTGGAAATTCCTGAAAGGCCGCTTAGCTCCCGTACCCTACGATTCCTCGTTTGATTCAAACGACGCATCGTGAACGGCGCAGAACGCGGGATCCAACGATGTCAAGGTGGGAATGCGAGATTCGATAGTGGTAATCAGCCCCGGACTGCTGCTTCCTTACAATCCTTCTGAAGACTGAGATTTTTAGATTGATATACGTCGGGGACAGAAGATTCTGGATGGTCACCGGAGTCGGCCAGAACGACGCTCGTCATCCATTTTAAACTCACATTTGCTGATCGATTCGTTCGCTGCTCTTGCGACTGCTTGAGTCGACGACTAACTATGTGACTCCTAAAAACTGGACATAAAAAGCGGCATGAAGAGAGAGGGAATGAAACCGACACAGGAATCTCATGATGGCGGAGAACACCTACCCACCGACTGATCGCATTTTCAGCGTTCTTCAATTTCTTTCTCACAATTTGAGAACCCTGAAATTGAACGAGTGAACGATAACTGCTTGGTACCGTCTTGAGCCACGAAGAATAACGGCGAACACTGTTGATCTTGTAATGCAGATGATGGACAGCATCGAACGTTAGCAGGCGTTCGCATCCAATCCCAAGGTCGTTCAACAACGCTGCGAACCAATAGCACGGAAGCAGGGAACGAAGGCTTTGTCAATGGAGGAAATGTTTTTTTTTTTTTTTTTGGGTTGCGAAGCAACCCTTTACAATCGATTTTGGCAAATTTTATTTTCATGTTTTTCATTTTTTTTTAAACATGAAAATAAATTTTGTTAACTAGAGCACCCTTCCCATGCTGTGTGCATGCTGAAAAATTTTTAACGATGTTTATGGTATATTAAACCATATGATTTTTCTTTGTCATTGATTTTGTGCATTTATGCTGTACTGTTATATATTAGTACCTATGTTTTACTGTTAAATGGTGCTGTGGTAATGATAAATAAATGCATGATGCATAAATAATGCTATATGGTGCATAATGTTTAATACGGTAGTATGATATGTCATGAATCATGATGCACATGCATGCACATAATAAAATGCGTGACAGTTAACAACCCAAAAACTAAGCTACCGCCATCCCCTGCCTAGCATGGGGGGGAGGTCAATAGCATAGATTTTGAATAATCAACTATCACATGAAACAACACAATCTGTCAATCCTAAAAAAATGATCAACCCTATCAAATCCAGTTCGAAGTGGCAACACACGAGTCACTTTGTGCGCCAATGAACCTTTTGTGAAATGATAGACCTGAGCCATCTTTTTAAAATTCACAGACATGCATTGTTGATGCAATGATGAACATAAAAAATTACACATGCATGCAGACAATGACACATACGCACACACACACACACGAAGGCAGACTAACGATAATAGAACCGCATACAAATGCACAAACAGAAAAGACAAGTAGGAAGAAATGAAAACAAAAGATGCAAAATTTATGAACAGCAATCTAAATCAAATTCCACAATCCAGCATTTCCCAATCGCTTGGCGCAATCATAAGGTGATTAATCTGGCGTACGCGCAACCTGGTGAAGAAAGAAAACAAGCATCACAAGACGAAGAAAGGAACGAGTAGAAGGGATAAAGAGAGAATACGGTGAAAGAAAATCAACCGAAAGGAAGAAGAAGAGAAAACAACAAGAACGGATTCAAAACAAGGGAGAGAGGACGAGAGAGAGAGGACGAGAGAGAGGGGACGAACGAGAGAACGAACGAGAGAGTGAGAGAGAGAACGAACGAGAACGAGAACGAGAGAGATACAACGAGAGAAGGAGAGAACGAGAGAACGAGAGAGATAGACGGAGAGAGAGAGAACGAGAGAACGAGAGAGATAGAACGAGAGAGAAAGACTGACAGAGAGAGAGAACGAGAGAGAGAGAACGAGAGAGAGAGACCGAGAGAGAGAGAGAGAGAGAGAGAGAGAGAGAGAGAGAGAGAGAGAGAGAGAGAGAACGAGATTGAGAGAACGAGAGAGAGAGAACGAGGGAACGACAACAAGAGAACGAGAACGAGAGAACGAGACAGACAGAGCGGAAAAGAGAGAACGAGAAAGAGAGACGAGAAAGAGAGAACGAGAGAATGAGAACGAGAACGAGAGAGAACGAGAGAACGAGAGACCGAGAACGAGAACGAGAGAACGAGAAGGTCAAGGCATAGGGTAAGTTAGCAGTGCAAGAAAAATGACAACTTCACTCATGCAAAGCTTCACAACCACTGCTACTTCATACATACAGAAAATGACAAGTTAACATGGAAAGTCAAGTTGTTGATACTACATGCAGCAGATACACACTTCAAATCTTCCTGCGAGCAAGGAGGGGTACGAGCCAAAGTTGAAATTCCGAGACATATATCAATTTTACAACGACTTAACAACTGCGTGCCAATTTGCTGCAGCCAACAGCTAACGGCTAAGAGCTAGGTCGTACGGAATGAACAAACGAAGGAGGACATGAAGACCATGCAAGAGGATGTGAAACCGAAAATTAGAGAAAATAGGATGTGAGATGACGGACTGAAAGAAGAAGAGAAGAGATTAGAAAGAAATACGAACTGGAATATCTAAATAAAAAAACGGAATATGTAAACGGAGAATGCGCAGGACGCTGAGTGTCATCATCGGCATCTAAATCTCCGGCGGCCTCTCCCTTAGCGCGCCTGGCACGAGCAAAAAGTCATCAACGCGCCAAGCACAAGCAGAACGATTCCAGCAAGAAGTTACAAGAGGGAAAACAAAAGAGAAACACGGACGGAGAGAAAATGAGAAGAGAGATAACAATAGCGGATGGAGAGAGAAGGAAAGGAGAAAGACATACGGAACCTTGAATATGCAACAAAACAGAGGTAACAACAACAAGGTAGCAAAAACGAAGGCATGATACAAAAAAACGGAAAGGTAGTCTTGACGTGACGAAGGCATGATCTCGAGTTAACTTTCTCCTAATCAACTTAAGTAGGCTAACGATAGTCTTAACAAACTAGCAACACTTGCTATTCCTACTCTTCCAGCTGCTGCTACTCTCTTACCTAGAAACTGGAATAGCGTGACAGACAGGAGTGGTTGGAAAAGAAGCAGAGGAAAGGAAAAGAAGGAACGTAAAAAACCTAACCACCTCATTTGTCGCGTCGAGAACATCCGATATAAGTACGACAAACGAAGGTGTCGACGGGTTTAGCACAATGGTTTGAGTTTGGACTCAGAATCGGAAGGTTGCAGGATCGATTCTTCCTGGTGGTCGAATTTCACCTTCAGAAAATTGTAGTGAAAGCTCGATAAAGTATGTTCAGTTTTTGAACATCTTATACAACGTATACAACTAGACAAATAGCTTCGCAACCCTAGGTCGACTTTGTCGCCCCTTGTTTTATTTTTATTTTTTTATACGGAAAATTACACTAAAAATATAATGTACAAAACGCATCAGGCAGTCGTAACTGTATCTGGAGGGAAGAGCCACAGTAGCATGTACCGTAGTCTTAAAATAGGCTAGGAGACAAGTGTCGAGAGTGATGATTGAGTAAGGAGAGACAAGGAGATACAAATGTCGACCTAAAGTGTTGTACCCTTTAGAGGGCAACTCACTGTAGCCTATCTAACAATATATAGAATATATAAACATTTGACACACCCCCATAGACTAAGTGAGGGGCATCAAAACAACCAACGGAAACAAAGGGTCACAAGATCAGTCAAGAACAAGCATAAAAAACAAAGCTCAGGGTGGCGCTCAGAGTCACCACACACTCCGAGCACAAGCAAGTAGCCACAAGGCCAGTTCAAGAGTTTACTAGTATATATATAGAAGCACAACAAGTAGAGCAAACAGCAAGTCTACAGCAACCGAGGGCCTACCTCAACAAGCCCCAACTGCACACAGAACCTGTGGTGGTCACCAGGCGCCAAGGCCTTGGTGAAGACGTCGGCAGTGTTGGCCTGTGAGGCCACAAAGTCCAAGCGTGCCTGGCCGCGTCGCTGCAACTCTCGCAGGAGGAAGTACCTCACGTCAATATGCTTCACTCTGCTCTCCAGTCGAGGCTCTCGACACAGGAGGATCATGGCCTTGTTGTCAGCGTACAAGGTCGGTGCAGAGCGAGGCCGCTCACCAAGGTCGGCGAGCAAGAAGGTCAACCAGCGAAGCTCCTGTGCCGCCATGGCACCAGCGTAGATCTCTGCCTCTGCACTGGAAGTAGCCACAGACAACGACCGTGTAGACCTCCACGACACAGCACCAGCTCCCAGACTGAAGCAGTAACCCTGAGTCGAACGCTGAGTCTCCATGTCGTCAGCGTAGGAAGAGTCGCAGTGACCAGTCAACGCCACTGGCTGAGTCCCTCCAAGCACAAGCCCCATGCCTGATGTAGTCGCCAGGTACTTCGCCACCCTCACAGCAGCTGTCCAGTGGACAGGGCGGTGTCTCCCAGTCGCAACAAAGCGAGAAAGGATGCTGAGTGGAAAGGCGAGGTCCGGTCGAGTACAAGTCATCAGGTACATGAGGCAGCCCACCAGCTCTGCGTAGGGTCCACTGGACTCAAAGGGCTCGTCAGGAAAGGGGCCCGTGAGTCTGTGGTCAACAGCAAGAGGAGTGGGCTGTGTGGTGGAGAACTGGAAGTCGAACCGCCGAAGGACCTGCTGCACCATGTGTGACTGCGTCAGTGTGATGGTGCGAGCGGCTCTGTCCCGGGTGATCTGCAGGCCAAGGTAGCGCTGCAGCTCACCCAGGTCAGTGCACTTGTGTCTCTTCTGCAGTTCGGACTTCACCTGAGCCAAGGCTGCCCTGTCTGCTGTAGCAAACACCAAGTCGTCGACGTAGACAAGGATAAAGAAAGGAGTAGAACCCGCTCGAACAAACAGCGACGGGTCGGCGAAGGACGGGCTGAACCCAAGG